AAGCTTTACAGCTATAATATACACTATTTTGGCTTGTAAATGTTCTAAAATAAAACATTAAAGACTTTTCTTAACCATCCCTCGCTGCCCACCCCACTATAGGAGATTTGAAATAATGGGCCTGTTTTCAGGAGTGGGCGAAAATTCGAATTTTAATTTCCATTCACCGAGTCCTGATGAGCGTCATTTTCCAAAGAGGAATTTCACGCGAATATGCCTCCAGCCACTCCTTATCCACGGATCATCCTTGGATGATTACATTGAAGTAGGGAGTGCGGATCAGCCGGCCCTGATGAACTCGATATGGTCTTTGTGAGACCCTCCAAATCCGCCCACGAATTCCTTACGATTTAGATGTAAATTCAAACAGCTAAGCCTTTCGTATGTCGTATTTGCTACCAGACTGCTACAGCTATTCAATCCCTTCCATTCCTGCTAGCAAAAATTTTAATCCAACTTTACCAGCTGCTCCGGCCAGACCATAACCTTTCCATCTCCCAAAACCCGTTGACACCGGCCAGACTTTTGTTGCAGATGTACGGTCACTGGAACAACCTCCCCCCAACTCATTTCTAAAGATAGCCCAAAAATTAAGCAACCAGTATTTTGGGGACATGTTTTCCAAAACTTCTCGCGGAACTATGTCTATCCAAACGGGGCGGTTGTGTCGTCTTGAAAACAATGACAGCTGCCAGTGGATGGGGATGGCTTGATGTTTAGGGCCATGTCCTCTTCAAGTAGTAATCCCAGCCTCAATAGTGTCGCTTTTTCCTGTCACATGGTCACCCATATTTTTTGAGGAGTGTCCTTCCACGCACCAAATATTTTCGTCGCACATTGCATTGCTCTAAAGCTTGCTCAGCAGCTGGGATACGACAATTAAACGGCGACAATTAAATTGCTGGTGAGTAGATTTCTGTTAATGAATTTTGAGCGGCTATGAGTGTGACCCGGAAATGAATCACTAATAATTGCTTGGGGGTGATGCTTACTACGTTTGCCCACATACGATACATATTTGATAGAGCACTCACGACCGGATTTTTTTTTAGTTTTATCATACGCAAGCGTTCCTCTTTCTTACTTTGAGCTACACAAAATTGCCGTTGTAAAATAAAACCAGCTCTTTATCAACAAAACGACGACGGTTTTTTCAACGGGTAAGCAGGGCTTTTCCTGGCGCGTCTAGCGGGGCTAAATTGGTTGATTAGATCATGGAGAGATGTCAGAGATGTAGGGCTAAACAAGGAAAGATATCCCCTTTACATCCCCTGACTCCTCGTGACTCCTCATCGGAATCATGTCTGGCCATCTGAAGTGAGTCAGGGTTCAAGTGGCATGTCGTTTGTTGCGTCGCAGAAAAGCGGATTCGCCGTATTTCATGAAACGTTTGCTTAAGCACCTACTTCGAGAGTCAAATAAATTTTTTAGCCAAAAAATTTACGTAATCGATTACAAAAACTATAGCGTATTGTCAGATTCTGTCCATTTCAGTAATGCGCTTTACAAAACGCAACATTTGCTCACTGAATTACATTTTATAGAAGGTATCAATCCAGATTTAAATGTACGCCCCAAAATTCATCAAAATATGGTACCCCTTGCATGATCAAAAACTTTTCGCGCTCCCCGCAAACAACATCCGGGATGCATTCCGGGGAATTTTGGAGAATGGTCCCCCTCGTGACAACGTATTCTTTTCAATGGGCAGAGTTCCGCAAAGAATCGGGAAGTTGATAAAGAATTGGATGGGGAGAGCCCTCAGTAGACACGCGTTCCCACGATTCACTCTCCCCTTTCTTGGCTAGGGTCATTTTGTTCTAAATTCGTCGCCACCCCCGAAATGTCTAGTCAGGGCCATTCGCAATTTCCAATTCGGTCCTAGGGCTTACTAGTTTTAGTTTCTCTCTTACCCTAGGATCCCTTGGATGCCGTTCTGAACCCAGCCAACAGGGGGGCGGATCCTGGTGACGTCGACAAGTCGACCTCTTCGCCGCATTCATCCCCACCACCTGGCACCTCAATGCAGATGGTTTTTCATTGTCAAAATCGTCGGAATATTTGATCACGCTCCAATTACGATTCCCGTCAGCCATACCAATAGTCCGTTCGGTTCGTTACCTGATTCCACAGTGTCCGCCCTTTCCCACGAACTGCCACCGTTTGACACTTTTCACCGGCCGCCTGCATGTCATTTAGGGCGAGCTACCCTTTATCTCATTTTCAGAGGGTTCAAACGTGCCTCCCGAAAAGTTGAATGGCTTTTAACTGGACTGCTCTTCGGTTCTTATGTCGTCTAGCCCCCCTTTCTAAACGAGCTATCCAGAATTACCCGTAAAAACTGGCCGGCCCCTGCCAAAGCATCCCCAGCGTTTCGGTTCTTCTTTTACTTTGCCTTTTGTGTTTTACCCGGGAATATCTTCCAAAATCCCTCTTACATATAGTCATCATCTCCGCCTCGCCAAGATTTTACAGTGTTTGTCGGGGGCCAAAGTTGGCCAGACAAAGCCGAGATTAGCCTTTTTTCGGTCAACGCGAGGGGCCTGCCCCCTCAAGAAAATTGAAACGAGGATCAGGGTGGAGGGGCAGAATTCTACCAACAGCTGATGTGGAATTGGGGATGGGGAGCCTTCAGCCATCGTCCTTCTTTGTTGACATTTTGCCCCAAATCAAAGCCATCGTGCCCGCCGTGGTCCTCAATTTCAAGGCACCGAAGGTAGAAGCGAAACGCTTCGAAATTTAAACGAAAAATGTCATGCTGAAATTTTTGAAATCTGTTTTAGTTTTGTTTTCATTTTAGCGTTGCGTGCTCGAGTCTGGGATTTTGCAAGAATTTCGAAACTCGGAAAGGTGCAAATCAAAAACACCGAATTTCAGAAATTTAGGCATTTCGCGATTCTAAATATCCCAGATTATGAAATTCTAAAATTCAGAAGGAAAAAGGCCCAATACCTTATAAAATCTGTGAGTGCAAAGATCTACCAAGATTACCGTAGTTTATCCCCCAACTGTACCCACCGACCCGGTCATTCAGAAGTTATTTTCTGTTCCGTCACGTCGGATTTACATCGAAATCCGGCCCCACGGGTTTCGTCTCGTCATGTTGCGTGGGTCCGCCGGAGGTTATTTTTCATGCTGCGCATACAATATTCGTCGTTGGCTAAATGCCGGGAACAGCGTCTACTCCAGACTCGAGCCCAAGCTGACAAAGAACACACCCCGCACCTTTTTACAAATATCGCACAGTTTGTCTGTTCTGTTTCCCAATATATTCCGCTTGAAGCGCTATATTCTCGTTGTTTGCGGATGGAGGGGGCAAATATTTAGAGCTCGCATTTTTCCCAGGCGATCGGAAAATAATTACTTTGGAGGGTGAGCTCGAGCTGTTCATCTAGCCAATATGGACGGGGGATAGCGGGGGGCACATTTTGCTGTTTTTGTTCTTGCTTGGGGATCTGGGGATTAGGTCAAAACTGCTAGAAGGATAGCACAAACCATCCTAAAGGTCGGTAAAAATGTGTTTGGCGAAAATAGAAACAACATTGAATCCTACCTTATATAATTTTGGGGTGTATCTCTGTGTGTGTGTGTGTCCGGCGCTAGGGAGGGCTACTTTGCATAATTCCAAAAAATCCAAATTTCCTCATTCTTGCAAGTTGCGCTCGCGTGTGTGGTCGGTTGGGGGGGTGGGGTCCGAAGGACCCAAGCTATCGGAAAGTCAAATTTCTCATGCAAAGGCCGCATTCCAGCGCCCAAGGCCCGCGAAGCGGGTTTTGGGCGCTGGTTGTTGAATAATTCACGTATTTTGTGCCTTAGATCCTCAACGTTAAATTTTGCCGCTATTTTAAATCCTGCTTTGAGTTAGATGATTTCTAAAAGCTTCTGTCCGCACCTCCCAAAATACACAACCTTTTTTTGCCGGACTCCCAGCCTCTCCCCCAAGCAAAAACTTGTCAACCTTTTTGCCCCTCCCTAGGACCGTAAAGCCATAGAAAAAAAAGATGTTTTTAGGAACAGCCCTAACGGCCGTAGAGCTGTGAGTTCTTTCTCTACCTTAGGGCCCCCCGTTCGTTCCTATTATTTTGCGTTCAATTTTGCCTACAAATCCAAGTCCCTGCAGAATGCCTTTTTCACAATACAACCATTTTGTGGCTTCCTTGTTGCCGTTTTAATGTGCGACTAACACCCACCACCAAATTCGAACAATACCTTTCCATCTACGCATTTAACAATCCGGGTAATGAACCCGGAAAACCCGACCACCTTCCGGGGCTTCTTTTGCCATTTTGCCCCAAAATCTGTTTACCTGTGAGCCAAATGTTTGGGTAGAATTCGGGTGAAGGGGCGACGTCGACTTTGGAAGAAAACAAGCCACTTTCGGTGTAATGAGATCCGCTGAAGGAGCTCCAGGAAGGGCTGGCAGGCATGTTGCAAATCCAACGGCTAACTAAGGGGGTTTAGAACAAAAAGGAGGGGATGGCTGGATGGGATGATTTTTGGGGAGGGTAGGGCGGTTCGTTAAGGGGTTGTTTTTGGGGGGAAATTGGCAATAATAGCCTACTGGTGAGGGGGGGAGTGATGCAGCGTAATGCATAACTGAAAATGGGTGTGATGCTTTGGCGTGGAGGGGAAGAGAGCTTTTCTTTTGGTTGGCATATTGTGTGCTGAACTTTAGATTTTGGATTATCGAGGATTCTGATCGAGGACGAAGTTTTGTTAACCAAGTGATGCCAAAATTAATCCCTAATTATATTTAAAAATTAGTGTCTCGCTGTGACCTCGCATGTAAATTCCGTGTGTATTCATCAGTAGAGAAAAAATTTGAGGGTATTTTTGATACGTCATTAGGTGTGTAATGGTATTTTTAATGATACTGCCGGTTTGCGCTCTTCGCCAGCTTACCACCATTTTTTTTTGAATTTTTCCCTTGTTCTATTAAATTTCCCTAACCACATGTAATATTTTCCAAACCTTTCCATCTAAGCTAAACTTTCCAGGGAATGCGCGTAGCCGATGCGCTCCTGTTGGGTAGCGTTACATTGTTGATTGCGTGCACAAACGGGTCACCGGCACCTCAATCCCCCGAAAAGCCGCAAGCCCTTCCGGCTAAGTGCCTCGGGCTGCTCGACCGTCCATCCGTGTTCATCCACGAGGCCGTCAAGGTGAGGATGACGCGTTGCCTTCAAAAGTTTTGCGATGATTTTTAGTCAGATGTCGTCACTTGGGGCGACGCGTACACGCTGCATTGTGAGGCCACCGCATCACCTCCGGTGAGTTCGAATACCCTTTAGATTGGCACACTAATTTAACACAGTATTATAACAATCTTTTTAGTCCGGAATCACATGGTACAAAGATGGGCAAAAAATCAGCAAAGACCTAAAGATCGAAACAATGGAGGGAATTATTGAGACAGGTGTTGGTGGGTCTATTTCAAGATACCTCGAAAGTATTCGTTCTCTTTAGAAACACGCGAAGGTCGACTACACATCCCTTGCTTCTCCCCAAGCATGGAAGGCGAATACACGTGTGTTGTAGATAATGAATGTGGTGTTATTGCCAGCTCATCCACGAATATCACACTCAATGGAATGGCAAGGCGTAGGTTGCCACTACCATTATTCATAGAAATATCTATTTTTAGCGAAGCGCTGCTTGAAGGATATCTCACCCCCTGTCATCGTGGAAGCAACGACGAGTCGAGTAGAGCAACCCCAGAATAACGTTAGAATGGTATTGATTTCTTAGAAGTTAGAGATATGTTTGAATCCAGATTTGCCGAGCCGCCGGGTTGCCGAAACCAACGATTTACTGGACAAGGATTGACGAGGATGGAAATGATATCTCCATCGAAAATGATGTTCGCTTCCAGGTGTGTTATTAAAGACGCAAATAAGTGCCGAATAACATTCGCTTTGGGAGGGGTTCCTTTTTTTGTAGAAAACCAGCCTCCGCGGCGAGCCTTGATTTTTGCGCTAAAACATAACTGCCCGGCTTGTCCGTGAGAACAGCTTTACACCATTCCGGTTTTTTAATCATTAGATTCAGCAAATCGCGGAAAAAGCAAATTTGGAACTTTCCACTGGGAATTTAAATTTCCCCCGTTTCACGCCCTCTAGATGTGCTGAAGGCTTCTCCGTTTTGGGGGCGGTTTGGGACTTCTTTGTCGCTTTAAAACAATTTATCGATTTTCAGCGTGAAGCCACCGGTGACTTGGTAGTCCTTGGGCAGCTGAACAGCGACGAAGCTTCGATCGACCTGCGCTGCACGGCACAAAACGAATGGGGAGAAGCCTTCACCGAGTCCTCGATCATCTACGTGCTCCCGGAAAACTCTCCATACACCCTGTAATTCACCATTTGGCCCGCTGTGTGCCCCTTTAAACGTTTACTGAGGCCCAACCAATGAATTCCCGTCCCGGTTTCCTTCCCCTTCTGTTCGCACACTTTCGAGTAGATTCTGCTTATAAAAAACGTGATCCCCCATAACTAACAGCTAGGAATACACAGGCCATATCCATAATGTTGACATCTCACTGGTGATCTCAAAACACTAAAGAATGGAGCGAGCCCTCCCGCAAATGTTACTTGGCCTGGAGCATCTAAAATCGTCGCTTTCTATCGCATTTTATGTGTATTTAAATAAACGGCCCATCTGTTTACGTGTACGCGTGAAAACATTTGACGACCAGAGGGCGGCTGGCGGATCGGGGAAGTGAAAGCTGGGTGGAAAAGAAAGAAGCACGTATGGTTTGGCAGACAGAGCGGCGCCGTATAGTTTTTGTAGGTTTCTAGAGGTCGGCGATTGTTGAAAACAGCAATGAGGTAATGTTTTTGGTTGGGCGAATTCATTCTTTGAATGAGCGTGAAGTTGAAGATAAATAGAAGCATTAAACACTAAAAAGCCCAAAATGCCTGCAATCGAACAACCCTTGGTACAATCAATCGGTTTTTTTGATGCCAGAAGAACCCCCTTAAAACTCCAACATCGATTCCCCCGAAATCGGGCACACATCCGGACCATTTCCCCTCCAAGGGGGAGCAGCAGCTCAGTCGGCCTGAAGGGAATGTTTTGACAGCCATGTCTCCCGGCAAAAGCCAAAAAGGAGAATGAGGATTAAAGGGGACAGTTAAGAGACAGGATCAAGGAATCGCCAGAGGTGGATGAGATATGTGAAGATGTTAGAGTGGCTGCTGGACTGAGGATGAGCCACTTTCGCCCCTTCAACCCTCCTCCTCCTCTTCATCCTCATCCTCCACACACACACACAACTGGCGCTCACGGCATTTCGATTCCTCTTCCCCTCCTAGCACCACAGTCGAATGGCAGCTTCTTGTCCTCCGCCATTCCCCCCCACATTGCCTATACCAGGGCCGATCCACCCCATCTACCCCATCCATCCCATCCATCGTCTCAACCTGCCAACCCCAGGTCTCATTCCGGAATCTTGCGCTCCTTTCCTTCCTTCTTCAAACTACTTTTTTGCAGACCTAAAGAACACTCACCATTCTCGGGTGTTGCCTTATTGGCAACTCATCGTCTTGCCTCGAACTCGAGGCCAAAGTTCTGATCAGAGGATCTGAAAAGCCAATGCTCCCCCACGGCTTCCCTTCCGCAACAGGTCCGGAAAACCTGTCTCATGCCTGCAATATGCCGAGTTTCCTTTTAATAGAGCTCTTCATTAGCTGGTGTTTACACCCTCATATCTATGAGTGACGTCATGACTATCGCGACATCATGCCCTATCATAGCAAAAGTGACGCGACAGTGCTTGATGAAAAGTGAAATTTCCTTTCGCAACCCTTGAACTTATTGGATTACCCATTTCGATTCCATCTAACAAGCGCCTCTGCTCTCATTTCCTCCTTCTATTCTTATAAAGCAATTGGCCATCCCTTCAAGTCATTTCTTATAGATGCGTATATTTTTAATACCATGGTTTTTGGCTTTATGCCAGCTTGCCCTCAGCCAAGATCCTGCTCCCCCACAGGCTTCCTCCCAGGTATTTTTCCGCTTACCTTGTTTTTATCAAATCCTAGCCCACTCAACAGTTTGGTGTTGACATTTTCCCTCTATTGCGACAAATCCCATTAACGTGAGTTTTTTCAGGTATTTTAAGATATATTGACAGTAAAGCTATACGCTATTTTTGTAGAGTTGGGGGTAGAGTGCTTTTATTTAGCTAATATCGATCATATCTCTAGGTTTGCACAACACGAAGCCCTACACCACCAAGCCGAAAAAGAATTTCTCCGACAACAAAAACAATTCCAAGACCAGGTATTTGGCATATACTTTAATTACTTAGAAAATGAATGATTTAGCTTCTACTCCATCCGTTCCAGCAAACTTTCGTTGGTACCGGTGGTGGGGGTGGTCCACCACTTTTTGCCCCACCAACTAACAGTATGTATTTCTTCCTAGAAATGAACAAAATTTCTTAGATTATTATGAACAACCACAAACCGCCTATCGACCTCAAGCGGTACCACAAATCAATCGTGTGTCAACTCAGGTTTGATTTAGATATGAGAAACTAATGCAATTCACAATTTACAGCCGCTTCCTGTAGCCACCAGAGATATCCAGGGCCAGCAGGTCGTTGTAAGTCAGCCAGCTCCATTACCAGTTCAACAGCAGGTGGGCAATCAATCGTTATGTTTTATTACCCTTTGCCTCCTAATTTACGACCATATGCCAAAATGCACTATTATAGTTTTCAGTTGCTATAAAACCTAACATGCCGTAAACACTGATTTTAGAAAATTGCTGCGCCGGCTCCAATCGTTGCTAGCCCAACCCGAGTACAAACAGCTGGCGTGGAAAGTGCAGAGAGAGTAATATTGATGCACAATCCCACGATTTCATACTTTCAGATATTACCAAGGCCAGAACACATGAAAGCCCCGACTCTAGATAGAATTACATCGAGCAAAGAAGATCCCCCATTTGTATGTATTTTACAGACTTCTGAATTAGTCTTTTTAGGATCCGATCCAAAACGCAATGGTTGCCCAAGTACTACAAGTCAATTCTGATGGTACCATTTCCTCAAAAGCCAATTAAAAAATCTTAGGCATCGACCGGCTCCATGAATCAAAACCGAACCATGCTAGGCGGAGGGTAATGCCAATTCTGAAGAGTCACTTCCGCTTTAGTCAAAATCTGGGACTCGTAGCGAGGGAAAAGCTAACGACAAATCCGCAGAAACTGTCATCAGGGGCGAAAGGACGTTTACGGCATCTGAAGTCGCCTAGCAAATTTATTTGTATTTATGCTTTTAGAGCCATGATGAGGATACCCTAGAAGTGAATACCAAGGATGTACCCACGGCTAAAAAAGAAGGCAACGTCGATATTCAAGTAAGATTTTGAAAAACGTTTACGTCGTTTTAATATACAATTGCAGAAATTCGGTTTAGAAATTGTTTCACGCCTTGGATTTATCGCCTGATGAGAAGCGGGAAATTGTGCAGCATGTTGAACAGGTCTGAAAGAGCTTAATCCAAAGCGACGCCTTGTGTAGCTGCTGAAAGAAGAAATTACACGAAAAATTCTTCGAAATGCCGGATTCAATTTGAATTCAACAACTAGTTTGGTCCCGAGTTGGCCGAGAGAGACGACGATAACGCAATTGTCGACTACAACAATGACTACGACGTTTGCGACAACTCCATTCCCGGCTACAACCAGAGTAGTTTTTCCTTATTTTTACCAAAAAACCCAATCTTTAGCCGTCAATCACACTTCATGGTACTGTTGAAGAAGTTCCTGAACCATCACCAATCAAGCATATGTCTGGCACCTTGCATATCAGGTAGAAATCTGCTATATTTTCACGATCGAGTTTCAGGGACCAACCGGAAATCCGTGAAAGCCAACCGGCCCCACCCAGAATGAGTCTAATTGACGAGACGAGCGTTGCAGAAAGCAAAAGCCCAATAGTGCAACCTGGCCAAACCATTAAAAGTAGGATTCGAGAGTTATATTATCTTCCGCTTTAGTTATTGGAGCAGAGCAAATCCAGCCGCAGGTGAATCGACGCGTCAGCGATGTGGAGGAGGAAGAAAGATCTTTGATTTATTTCAGAACAGGAAGTTTTTAGGGTGACCCCGATTGGCCGGTGCAAACCACGGATAAGCACCTGTCTTTTAATGGCAATCCGCGTACCGTAGAAGAAGGGATAGGGTATGTCAAATTGGGAAAAGGTGAATTATTTTTAGAAGAATCCATACAAGGCGGATTCGGCCCGAAGCTGATACCCTTTTGCCGGATGCTGTTGATCCGGAAGTGACGGGGGAGCCATTGGATTTGAGTGGTTGGCGGAAGTTTTTTAGCTGAACTTGGATTTAGAGGCAGATTCGGTAACACCAGCTGGTGAGAGGATGGTGGTTAATGTAGAGCCAGTCACAACGACTACTGAAATGACGACAACTACAGATTATCAGGTAATATTTTGTGGCAGGAAATCAATCGTTGTTTGTAGCCGCTTTCAAAGACGAACTACCTTCCACCAAGGATGCGAAATCGGGTAAATCAATTTTATTATGCCTAACGAGAAACTAAAAACAGCTTCGCGGTGTTAACCCTGGCTCCGCCCGGGAGCTGGGATAATCGACAATTTACATAGGCTAGTCATATGCAATTCTCATCCATAAAAGTGGAAAAGCGGCCTCTCTTCCTCCTGGGTCAGCCGATTTTTCAAACAGTAATTAATTATGAAGTGCTCTGTATACCTGTTCTTAACCCGTTCACCTCCAAAAATGTATGCAAAGTTGTACGCTATTTTTATTATATAAATGAAACTTAATATTTTAACAGCCCCACGTCATGACGGCTTTCCAACGACTCGCCAATGACTATCGGGCAAGACTTGAAGGCACGGATAGCATGGGTCGACTACTAGCCAATTTCTACAAAGATGCCTACATCGTCCTTCGACAACGAGATGTATCATCGGTATTTAAATCCGAAATTTAAACAACCTTATTCAGTCAATCAAGCGACACCCGACCAGCCGCAACAAAAATCGACACCGCAAAGTGTTCCGCGGCCGAGTTTAGTCCGGCTGGTATCCGGTTATTTTTTTCGATGATCTTCCCCCCTAAAACGCAATACTGAAACGCTTGTACATACCTACCAAGATATTCACCCCATTTCTTCGCTCCCTGCTCATCCGGCTACACACGTCTTGCATCTCTACCCAACACTTTTAAACCCACCAAGAATTATATGCAATATAAGTTATTGTGGATTTTGTGATTAACAACAAGCCTTAATGTATAAGTAATTTATTTATAAAAAAATGATATAAAATTAGTTGTTTGCGTATGGACACTTTGCATAAAAGTCTTAAAACATGGATTACGCAAATATCGGGAATCTTACAGAAATATATAAATAATGTATTTTAGGGAGCATTCGATCGAAAAATAAGCACAATTGATGATGTAGATTACCGTGCATTGATCAGCTTTTGGTGTTTTGTAACTTATTTGATTGATGTAAATTTTTTCAATTTTAATAGGGAGATCTATTCTTGTGAGAATTCGTGGGTTGTATTTAGTTTTTTTGTCAGGTTTCAACTTGCGAAAGCGAAATGCTAACCAAGATTATTAATTTTACAAATATATGCAATGTAGGAAAAACAGACTTTTCGATTCATCATGCACCCAACACCGTGCCGCTAATGGAAAATTGGCGGCTTTTGCCCCACAGGGGTCCTCCGGTGAAGGGGAACAGATGCGTGTGATTGGGCCCTCTTCCATACACAAAAAAGAAGAAAAAGAAGAAGGGAAATACGGCGATTGATCCGCGCTTTGTTCGTGATGGATGTTCCCGAACATCAACCGTCTCCTCTTTTTCCGCCGATCCAAAACTCTTGCCACACAGCCGTTCACGGTTCCCCAGGAATTTTTGGGTACCTTTTGATTGGCTTTTCGCGATATATTAGCTTACTGCTGCGTTTATTGTGGTTTTTAAATAGGTTATAGTAGTTTTTAAATAGGTTATAGTAGTTTTTAAATAGGTTAATAAGTTTTTTGTGCATGATACCGTTTTACACTAACAAATTTTGCGCGAAAAGCAACGTGCTCTTCTAAGTGTCTATAAATCCCGTAACAGTGGATTTGTATCTATTTGGATTATCGCCTTCAAGTTAATCTATTAATTAAGGAACAATTTTTTGAATACACACTTTGAAAAAACATTCAATAAACGTTTTTATTTTTGTTGCATTCACTTCCGGCAATTGCGTTAAAAAAATGTCTATCAATTTCCATGGAACGGAAAATGGCGGCAGTGTATGGTTGTCGGCGCATGGATACAGAATGGTCTCATCTTTTTGGACAGGATATGACTGATGATCCATGAAAACGGTCATTCTACGGGTCCCGATGGACTTGTCTGGTAGTCTGTAGCCGGCCGGATTTCTCTATATTCCGTTTCTCAACAGAGCCCATACTGATATTCATCATCACCCACTGCTTTCTCGTAGATTTACTGTGTCCCATATCCCGTTTGGCCTCGAAACAACTATCGCGATCTGTGATTAGGCGAAAAACTGTGCAAAAAAATTCGAGCGCTTTGGAACGCTCTTTGTTGATCTTTCTGCTGTAATATTTAATTTCTTTTTAGTTATTGAATTTAGGTGTTTCCGAAAAGACGGAGGTACAAAAGTATTCCCAGTATTTGCATTGATTTGCAGCCGGCATTTGTCTTTAGATCAGGTTCTATTTTATTTTGTCAGTTTTGGGCTTACTGTAAAGTGTTTTTACTCAACTTGGAGTTTCGATTCGGGACCAAGTGCATCTTGTACAGAATTTTTCGCTGATCCCGAATATGTTTTCCAAATTTGCTACGGACCGTTATTCTGAAAGTTATACGGCAATTATAACCGTAGTTTTCACCAAAATGAAGGTATCCTTATAGTTTTCGATTTTCTTCATTAATTTCAACGTCAAAATTGACTAGGCGTTGGCTCGACAAACATCCCACAGCTCAACACAAGCATTTTAGATAAGAAATGAGATTTTTATGCAAAAAGCAAAAGCAATGATGCAGGGCGGGGGTTCGAACCGTCGCCCTGCGCTTGGCAAGCGAGCACTTTGCCAATGCACTATGGTGCCAACTGGGTAGGGTGCTGTCAGAGGGTACTTCGGGGCCCCTGGGGAAAACAGCCCCAAACAAGGAATAGTGGGCCAGCGTCTGAATTTTTGTCATTTTTCGGCCTAATTGTTAGCAAAAATGATTTTTTAAATAAAAGTCCGTAGCAAATTTGGAAAACATATTCGGAATCAGCGAAAAATTCTGCACAAGATGCGCTTGGTCCCGAATCGAAACTCCAAGTTGAGTAAAAACACTTTACAGTTAGGCAATTATTTCCGCACATTTTTGCATAAATAAGAGCCTAGTGTGTCGATTGTGGATGTTTAGCTTAATTTTAATATTCCTATGCTTTATTTTCACTTTAAATTTTAAAGCCGAATCCGGGCGAAAACACCGCTAAATAGCAAAAACGTTGATTTTTACTTTGCATTTTTAGTTTTCAAATAAAGTGTTATAATGTCCTTTTCTCAGTTGATTTTCCAGCCGAACGATCCCAAAATAGATAAATCCTGTAGGTGTTTGTTTTGTGTGACATTCGGCATTCTGCTTAACCAGGAAAATCGAATTCTTCATGAATATCACCTTCCGGATCCTCTAGTACTAACCGTACTACGGTGGATGCGTTAAAAATTGTGAGGCAGGCGCGGGCGGGATGCCAATTCAGCGTGAGACCCAGTTTGGAGATGGGCAAAGAGACGGGGAGGGGGGTGTGGGCCATAAAGACTGTGAACGCAGCTGATTAGAATAGAAAACGAGCCGATGAAAGGGGGGAAAGGGGGGCAGAAATACATGGGAGGAGACCCATCTCTTGTCTTCTTGTTTTCCAGCTGTATGAAATTGCCTCCATCAAACATCGGTGGCTAGGGGGTGGGGTGGGATTCTGTAGTTCTGTATTCGTGAATACAGTAGTTTTTCGAAAAGCCTAGTTTTTGTGCTATTTTATTATTTTTCGTTATTTTCAGAGTTTTGGAATCGGTATTCTCTTTAATTTCGTTTTAGTTAGTTTTTCACACGCGTCGGGTAGCGAGTATTCCGACGTTTGGTTTTTTCAAAAAATAACACTTATTTCTTGAACCATCAAATGTTAGATATTTCCCTAAATATCCTCGATTTCTCTTAATTCCGGATCGACACCTTCAAAACGCACTTTTTTCACTTGTGAGGCTCTTCCACTTCACCCCGCAATCTTTGAATTTCTGCAAAGCGTCTTATAATTTTACCATCCCCATATTTTTTAGCATTCCTTAAACCTTTCACACTCCCGACTTTGCCATTGGATCCTATCCAAAAACATGTTTTACCCCCTAAATCCCCTCCCCCCTATATTCCCCCGCGCTAAAAAAACTGATTTAGCATATTTGACAGAGTGGGTGGGGTGGGGCACTGGTTCCCAAGCGGATTATTTTTTAGACTGTGAGATCGTGCAGTCGATGCCGGCGAGCTAGTCGGCTAAAAAACGGTCCAACCCGAATGTAGCGTAACTCGAAAAGGCGAGACGATAGGCATGAAATGGGAGGAAGGGTGGACTGTGTGCTGCCGGTGTGTGTGTGCGCAAGATTGATTTGGTCTATCCCTGCCAATCGTTATTCTCTTTCGTTTTTTCATTTAGCAGCACAAACTAGCCGTTGCTCTGTCCACAAGCGACACCTTTCCATCGGACCCTCCGTCGCTTTTTTCCTCAGCCTCCTTATCGGCCTCCCCCATCATTGCAAGCAGACCCACGGCAAAAATAGCGCAGTAAAATTGTCACACTTTCGGAATGGAGAGCGTAAACTGCTTCTGGATGGAATTCATTTATGAAACGTAGACCGCTTTTCGTTTCGTTTTTTGAGCTTTTCTCAATCATTATCGGCATTCAGGCCCCCAGGATTTCAATAGTCTCGATATGTGCTCCATCATAACTGCATGTGATCTGCATAACTGTGATCATAAATGCATTTTGAGTTTAAACTGAGATTAAATCGCTCTTCCAAATTTATTTTGCCCTTTTCTATGTGATCTATAACACTTAAGAACTTTTTACGACATCTAAATTGTTTCCCATGCTCAATTTTCTGTTTTTAACCCCAGACATTCATTCTTCACATCTTTCAGAGAACCAAAAATGTGGACACCATTTGGAATCAATCGATTCCATTTCTTATTACTAGTCACCTGGCAATTCACCATGTATTTTGCATCCCAAATGATATTCTCGATCTTTGCCAATTATTACCCACGATGGCAGCAACCAGATACCCTAGCATATACAAAGGTTCGTCAATTGCATAATTTGCATAAGAAATTTAGGACTGTGGAGTATACAATATGTACAACGGTACTACCGTAGCGCTGGAGCCCCCCGCTTATTCATCGGCTGCCCTTGAGTATGATATTATTGATCCCGAATATCAATTTTGTTTAGATTTCATTGGATTTGCCAAACAGAATACTTCCAAACCTTCTTCTCGCAGGTTAGGGAATTGTGAAAATTTTGGTCCGATTTTTACAGTTCTGAATTTATAGAATTTCTCTTTTAGGCTGTATTTGCTGGTGTTCTTCTGGGAACGTTTTCGTTTGGAACAATCTCCGATGCTTTCGGAAGGAAACCAATAGCCGGATTCGCGCTATGCCTTGGCGCTACTATGAACTTCTTAATGGGTAGGTTTAAATGAACGGTTTAATTGCAGTAAAATTTAGCGCTTGCCCCAAATATCTACTTACTTTTGCTTGTGCGCTTTTTCATGGGCCTGTCAATTGGTAAGTCCTATATTCAAGGATTCTGATCTGCAAGATGATTTATGCTAATTATTTTTTAACCACTAAAATAGGTGGTTCCCTGGTTGTCGTGTGTACCTATGTCATGGAGATGCTTGAGCCTCAACAGCGAATGGCACTACGCGCTTTCATTAATTGGGTAAGTGATAGCTTTTTCGATCTCGATGCCTATTTGGGATTAAGCCATACTCTAAAACCATATAAAGCTTGTTGGATTATTTTAGCGCATTATTTTAGGGAGTAGCCCGTTTGATGCTTACAATCGTTTGCTACGAATTCCCGGATTGGAGAACATCGTCTATGATTAATGCAGCAATGGTCACTCCAGCCATTCTCCTTGTCGTATTCCTCTTTCCCGAAAGCCCCAACTGGCTTCACCACAAGGTATGCTATTTAACTTTAATTTTGTAGAAACTATTGTCGCTTTTTAGAACAAAAATGAACAACTGGTACAAAGCGAGAAGAAGATCGCCAAGCTTGCCGGTATCCCGTATACGCCCGGTGTCCATAGACCGGTCGAACGATCGAAGGTATCTAATTTCTCTTAAAGATCGGCTAGAAATAGTGTCTGTGTGTCATTGCGAATTTGCATGGATCTTCATATCAAGAACCTACCAACCCATTTCAGAACTTCTTCGAAATGCTAAAAACTGGAGGACTCAAGAAACGTCTAGCTGTTTTGTGGACTATGTGGTATATCTTCTGTAAATTTTCTCATATTCCGGGAATTCATAGGTTCTCGGCTTCGATCTGTGGATACGCGACCGATCTAAACTCAAGTACTATCTTGGGCGATCTTTATTGGAACCAAGTTGTCTTCTCTGTACTGATCGCTGTCTCAAAAATGGTAAGGCAAAAACTGTAGAAGCCGGAAATTGGCGTTTAGGTTCTTGTGGTGGTTGATGCGAACTTTGCCTGGTTTACCCGACGGCGACTTCATCAAGGAAGTCAAGCAGTCGTTTGTGTCTGCTTCTTGATTTTGACGATTATGACTGTTTTCAATCTTTATTTGGTGAGAAATATTTTAATCTATACCAAAAAAAATATTAAGTTTATATTACTCATAAATTGCATTACTCGTTTACTCATTCACGAATGCAACTTCCAGGACTCGATCGCATTCCTTGTGATCAACGTGATTGGTACCGTATTCATTGAATATACTTGGGATGCTTGCTACCTATGTGCCGTCGAATCAATCGAAACTTCTAGCAGGTAGGCGCCTGTTTTATTTTAATGCATTAATTAATTATTTTTCAGAGCTTCCGCCACCGGCTCCTGCTCCTTTGTTGCTCGAATCGGTGCTCTTATTGCCCCTGTGGTAGGCCTAAATATCGGATTCAAAAACTTCTGTCTAGCTGAAACTCCTCAACCAAAAATGGGCCCCATCCCTCTACCTCATCGTGACTGTCGTCGGAACCATCAACCTCATCGTCTCCTACACCTTGCTCATTGAAACTAAGGTCAAATATAATCGATTTTTAGAATATTTATGTTTTAGAACGTCGACCTGGATAGGGTGACAAGCGGCGGGCATACCGCTGAAGAAAGCCCTATGCTCGAAAAGGAGGGGAAGAAAGATGTGGAATAATAGGAAGTCAAGGCACATGTGCACACCCAACACTGCTGATCTTTGTATAAAATAAAGAGTTTATATGGTTTCATTGGAGACATTGGTGATTCAACACTTAAAGCTAAGCACAAAAACAACTTTCCACAGTTGTTTTGTAGCCTATTTTCATGGGTCTGACGCAATTGAATGGGTACTCATGCGGCTAATTCCCCGAAACCTTGCAGGAAATGTTACCAGGACAACAAAGTTGTCCAACACCTACGCAGAAAATTCCGCACCTCTGCTGCGCCAAAACTGTGAATGAAAGTCAAAAGGCTAAAATTAAAAGAAGGTTTAGAACGGAAGTGACGTGCTAAATTTTAGCTACAGAATCCAAGGTCGTTATATTATCATCCGTAAAAAAACGTTAACGATCAACGAACATTTTTTACTATAAAAAATCGGGTAGGTAAGAGGTCACCAGATGGCATTCAGAGCGAGAATTAATCAAACGAAATTCCCGCATTCGATAAATTAAACCCGGCGCACCATTGTTTTAATTGCGCAACTTGCGGCATTAATAGCCCAACGGAAACCTACCGCGTAAATAATAAGGCCGTAGCGCATCATAAGGACACTACTGATCCCATACAACGCTTCTTCTAACACCTACTTGACCTTTAAGATAATTCATGAAAATTTAAACCCAATATTCATGAACCAAGTTTTATTTTATCAATAATTAAATTATCAATCCCATCAAATTTTCTTTCCCTATGACGTTTCGCAAATACCGGCTGACGACCGCGATGCCAGCCAGATTAACAACCAGCCGCGTTTCCTCCAATCATTCTCAAGTCTAGCCCAGACTAGCCGCCCTCTTACATGCCAACGCGCCGATACTATCCACACGCCTTTTCCTCTTGCTTCGGCCTGCCGCCAAACCAGCACTCGACATTTATGATTACGCAACGTTTTTAAAACCATAGCAACATTAAAAAATTATATTAATCGATCCAATTTATTCGTGAATCGGTTTAGCAAATTATTATTGCGCACCCTGCAACTGGCAACTTTTTTTAAACAGTGTTATTGCGCCGTAAAACCTACTAAAAGCGTTATTAATAGAAATGGGCAATTCGGACATTTGTGAGCTCGCAGATTACTTCAAATCAATATAGTTGTCTTTTCCAATAGAGCTTGTGTTGTTTGGACGACGCCCTTTAACCTAGAAACTGATTTTAAATTCTTAGCCTCTGAGGTTTCGTAAATCTTTATCTCGATTTCATATGTTTTTCCCGGGAATTTTTCTATGTTAAACTAGAGGAACAAAAGTGGATTTACTTTTTCAGACTCGGGAAGATGAATGAAAGTGATCTTCCCCCGATCTCAGTGCCTATTCCTCGGTGGCACTTCACTTGGGACGAGATTCGGAATAAGGTTAGTTATTTTAATTGTTTTTAATACATGCTTCAATATTACTCGGATTCATTGTAAATAAACTATGTTTTATTTGTTATAAGCCTCCTTTGCCTATACAACCACACATTCCCACATCCTACAAGCGCTGAAAACACCCATGTGGTTCATTGAACCAATATAAGCCCGATCTTATTAAAATATTGTATGTAAAAGTCGATTTTCCAGTCAGCGTCGCGAAAACGCGGCATGTCTTACGACGATGAGCTGCGCAAACGCCAGGAGTCTGCCCGGTTTATCCAGAAGATGGCCGATCGGCTGAACCAGGGCATGAAAGACAACAGAAGCAAAATGTTAATATTCTTATCTCTGTTACGGTTGTAGAGACCCCTGACCGTCCACAAAATTTTAAATGCAAGTGTTTTAGTTCGCAACTGTGCGTCTGCGCGACAATCGTCCAAGTGAACCGGTTCTTCTACTTTCATTCCTTCGACGTCTTCGATTATCGGGTATGAATTTGCAAATACGGTATGATGTGCAAAAGAGATCCGATAGCATTCCGAAAACATTGTAACGTTTAGGACGTCTGTGCTGCCGGGTTGTTCTTATGTGGTAAATCCGAGGAATGTCCTCGCAAGTTAGAACACGTTGTCCGTATATGGTGGTCGCTGCGCTTTGAAAGTCATCCAACCTTGCCAGATAAGGTCATTTTCTCCCTGCTACTACTATAGAATTTCGGCTCAAAGCAATCTGTGTTTGATGTAACTTCTAATTTTTTAGTACTTCAAAGATGCGATGAACCGAATTCACTTCCTAGAGAATTGCATTCTTCAAACAATTGGTAGGTCTTTGAAAATGTAATATACGATGTTTGTATTCAGCATTTGACTTGCGGATCGACCTTCCGCATACCGTTGTTTTGCAACAGATGAATTCGATCAACCATGGAAAGCGGATGCTGACCGAGGCTGCTTACTTCTTTGCCACTGACGTGTTGGTTTTTATTAAATGTCAACCAGATGCTATGTGACACATGAAATTTCTTTTTTCAGGTTGTGCGTAACTGATTGGTCAATCAGATACACGGCCCCTGAAATTGCGGCAATGTGCATATATGCGGTCTGTGTCTGGGCTGATCACGAGGTAAACCCCCTTACCTCGAATAAAACCCGAAATTTGAGTTGGACTATCAACCACAACCCTGGTATAAATCATTCGCCCCCAGCTTAACCGAGGAAAAGCTTCGAGGTAAAATTACCCAATCAAGTGAAATTGGCCGCTTCAGAGGGAATGACCGAATTCTTGTCCGTCTACACACGCTACAAAGAGATTCAAGGGAGCCTTCGCTTGGGCAAATTCAGCCAGAAGGGGTATCCCTTTATACGGAAACCCGGTTCACACTATTATCTAGGACCATCAAATTCCCCCCGCCTGGCGTCCATGCCGAGATTGAGAGTCGGAAGTAGGTTTGAGTCAAATGTACCCGAAAAATAAACTTATGGATATTCATCTACCTGGAACGGCTAGACTTTACTTTGCCCCAAACCGGAATTTCTTAAAATTTTTCGTAATGTCCGCTACTTTGTCGGATTTTCGACTACGCCATTCGATAGAGTATCAAAAAATATACTATGAGTTTTAATTACAGTCCGAAATAATGGAATATAAAAAAGTTATAGCGAAAAACTTTTGGGAACTTCCGGCTGGGCTGGGGGGGGTGAAGTCAAGTCGAGCCCCCGGAGCATCCAGAACTCAAAACTTTTAGAGCGGAGGGTGAAGCGCCATTGCCTCCACCTCCTGCACCACCGGTTATCCGGAAGACAAATTATGACGAGTACAAGGCAAGCTTTCCCTATTTTGCAAATACGACATTCTTCCAGAAAAACGCAGCACGTCATGCGGAACAAAATGCTCATCTGCAAACAGCGCCGCCGCCGCCGCAACCCCCTCGTCAAAGTTTCATGCCCGACTTGAGTGATATTGGAGGTAGCTACTTTCTAACAAAATCTAAGGATGAAATTTTAGCCCGATCCCGAAACGAAGCGGCCCCAAGGCCAGAGTTTGGAGCACGTCATGATATTGTCCCCCGTGCTGACAACGGCAGGCCTAGAGACAATCGCGATCCAGCACGACGAGAGGATAGCCATAAAGAGGTTGAGTTCATACAATTAAATTTTACCTACATCTGCAGAAGGCGCGTCACGAGGAAAAACGTCGACGTGAGGAAGCGATGCGGCGAAGCCATGAGCGTCCGCGTGAAGAAACCGACCGCCATCGTAAGCGCGAAAGCGGGCCACCTGGCGGCGGCGCATCTCCCAGCGGCAATCCTCCTGTGTAAGTTTCAAAGATTTAGAAACTTTCACTGAGATTAACTCTCACACATACCATACATGTTCAGGCTAAAATTACGCTTTAAAATCCCGTTCAAAAAGGAGGTATGGGAGACTCTTTGTCTTTTTTTTGTCACTGCGTTTAAACTTCTCCTATCGATTTACCTTTCAACCACCACGAGATTTTTTCGATGTCGTGCTAGATAGTAGTTGCCTGTGACGCTTCATTTTTCCTATTTTTAGTGAAAAGAAGCGATTCCCGCCTGAGAACTACAAGCGAAGGACCCCACCGCATAAGGTATAACTTTTACTGTTAGATAGGGCTCTTTTTCTAGCCAACACAGCCGTCCTTCTACAAACGTCGTGACGATGTGGAGGATGGCGAAGTGCTATGAGTTCTTAATTTTGACCATTGTGCTTACACTTTGCTCGTTTTTCAACACGCTTTCATTATTAGGCACATTATCCATTACCAACGAATTTAGTAACTTTCCCGGGAGAAACATGAGGCTAGCACGAGAATAAAAGTTGTTAAATTATTTATTAATCGCTAGGGAACGAAAGCATGATTTTTTCCGCTTAAAATCAAACCCAATAATGGCCTTCGTTCCCTGTATGTCTGCTACAAAGCACAAGCATTTTAACTCTGATTTTATAGGGTTTTTATCTTACTGGTTGTATAATATCTTGCGGGCCGAAAGTAATGGGGGATTTTTATATAAACAAGAAATGATTGCCCGTTTCCGTAATGTTACGTGTCTTTCCGGTAAGCGATAGCTCATGATTGTAAGAACTCAATGATGTTAATCTCCGGTCGATTACATTAGTACCTAATATCGTAGCGGGCCTTCAACCTTCTTTCCCATTTGGTTGATGACCGGAGATTACCGCGCATTTACGTGTCCACAAAAAAATTCGCGGCTGGGCTAAAACCGGCCACTCTATCTTTATATCTCACGCAATTTCGGGTAGACAGTTGTGAACATTTTGCCCGTTTGCTAATGTCATTTGTGTTGAGAGGTTCTATCGAGCTTCGCCTTACGATATCCCCCCATATGGTTTACAACGTGATTTCTATAGAACGGGAGTTTTTCAGTAAGCAAGAGTAGAGGCATTCGTCTCACCAAGAAATATATCGGTTTATATAATCCTTTTTTTTGTACCTCGCTTGTCCTTTAGCCGTTAATCAGCCTGAAAAACAACATACTAGGCCTGATCCAGCAAACAGATTCACTTTGGGTTTTTGTTGTTTCCCCCCTTGTTGAGTGCCATTTCGGCAGCCCGGCGAATCGAGCCCTGTTTTGTAAAAAATGTTTTATCGAGCCTCGTCTTGGCCTTATCCCGTGAATAAATGTTTTGCTACCCGTAAAAATGCTCTTACAAGACAACGTTTTTGATGGAAATCGCCGTTTCGAGCTGGGATCAATCGTATCTTTTGCAGAATTTTTTGCTGACTCCAAATCTGTCTGGATTTTTGCTAAATAGCTCGATTTTAAAAAGATACAGCCATTTTTTTCAGATTGTTTTTAGACCCAGGAGAAGTCATATACCATGATGTGTACCATATACCTTTTTTTTTAATGCTCCAATTTATTTGAAGAGAGCCAATCCTATAGAAAATTTTGTTTTGATTCGAATGATGTATTCTACTAATGCGGTACAGAAACTAGGAAATATGTTAGAAACTCGGAAATGTTGAATGCGCAAAATTCTGTTCGCTTGTGGTTCAAATTTCTATGAAGCTTTATTACATAATATTCGGTAGCTAAAGTGAATGGGAAGTGTTTGGGGGGACGAAGACACTAGTATCCATATACAGCCTGGCCACAAAGATATTCCTGCACACGCATAAAAAGAGAGGGGGTTGAGGGTGGCTTCGATCGATCCTAGGGTTAGATGGTAGGGCCAACGGGTTCCAGCCCCATTCTCGCCACTACAACCAAAAATATATCACTGCGCGGCAGTCTTTTTCGATTGAATGGAAATGAGGAATGCCTGGAGCCATTTCAGCTCGGCCTTCATCATACGGCTTGCTTGGAATTTTGTGTGAGGTTTTTTCTTCTGAAAAGTTTCAAGGTGTAATGAAGTCGAGCGGAAATGGCCCCTAGACGTTTATGAAAGGCAGCAGGCTTACGCTAGAATTAAGCAAGAATTGGCGTTTTCACATTTCCTCTGTTTCCGAAAATATTGCGTAAGCAAGCGCAATAAAATGGACAGGTTTTTCCAATTATCCAAAATTCGTATTAATTTCTGTCCACTTTATACATGCCACAGCCAACGTAATACACCTTAGTTTTTTTTGACATCAATTGTTTTTTAGCATAACTGTTACCGACTGAGAAAAAAAGCAAAGCATCACAGAAGTTACTGGGTATTTTTTTAGTTTTTTTCAAAACGTTATTTCGTATTTGGCATACCGTGAACGAATACGAAAATCAAATCACAATCGGCTAGCACAAAATCAGACACCGATCGGGAATCGATATGAGGTGGATTTGTACAGTAACAAAAAATTCTCGCTTCGCGTTTCTGAGTGTACAAATCGCAACCCATCGTCCCGCAACGATGAAGACCAAAATCCTGAATAATGGGTAGGTGGAAGGCCGGCGCATATACCAATGCCTCGTCATATTAAATGCACATATCAATTACGGGAGCGCGTACAGACGACACATAAAGAATACTCCCTATTACCACGATTTTTATGGAAAGATTACTAGAAATGGAAAGTTTGTGCATCCACAATGTGCTGGCCGTTTCAACATTCAGCAACCTTACTTAAAATTCGAAACGGCCCCCACATCGCCGGCAAAATAAAAGTTACTGTAAAAGGCCCGCTTTGGCAAAATTGTTAGAAGGCTGTGTGTGTGTTACAAATTTACAAATTATTGGTGGATTTCGAGGGTTTTCAAAGTAGCCTTCGAAATCAGAGACAAGCACTACATACACTGACCCTTGCCTCAAAATTTTGCCCGGTATTGCAACGATTGTTTTGGAATCACATTGCCTAATAGTATTCGCTGCTTGCCAGGGATATGCTTTCAGGAGGGAAGCCGCATTATTCTGAGAAAGCCCCATTCCAAATGGATGGCTAATGGACAGAAAATGGGCCTTACTAAAAGCAAGCATCGAAAGGGTCTAACCGGAACGGAGGGAAGCTAAGGCTCTAAAAATGTGGGAATCCTGTATACATAGGGGTTGATGGTTGGCTATGGGACAGTGACGATTTAGAGGTCGTCAAAGCTCATCAGTTCTTCGTTTGCGGCAACACGAGCTGGGGCTGAGTGATCGGATGAATCGAAGAACACATCATCGATGCTGCTTTTCTAAAATCAATCGATATTGAATTTAGTAATTTTTAAAGGTAAGCGAAAAAAACGGCTAGAAGAGGCTAACCTCCTCCTTGTCATGATCAATCGATCGCTCTTCTCCCATTGCTTCGGCAATTCTCTTTGCGATCTCATCGCGCTCTTTCTCACCGGTCCGATCCCCGTTGGCACTTCCACACCTTAACAACAAACTATGCCTAATATCTCAACAATATTGATATACTCCATGTGTAATACCACAACCAACGCACCATTCAACCCTGGTAGCGTGCGGCCCGTATCCACCATCACCAATGACAATGGGTATTGTCTGGGTACCAGCCCCATGCGCCTGCGAAACTTGAATCGGCTGGGTCTCATTGATTGAGAAAAAGGTGAATTGTGGCCCCTGCCACAGACGGCGGTGCGGAGCTGAGTATGTGCACGTGTCTTCCACCTGAAATTTGGGCTTGATGACTTGTTTTCGGGTTCCTTTTTGGCTGCACCCAAGGTCCATCTGCACTTTGTGAGAGACTCCAATGCGTGATTCTTTGTCTAGCCACCAAGCCAAAGTTCGAGCCTCAAAAACTTGCCTGTCCATTCCATTCGTTGTTTGGATCTACACGATAGCTGTCGCTTCGGACGCGCGTTGGGGTTGCGTCGTACGTCGTCCAGCGGATTAATGGCGAGAGCGGTTGCAATGGTGTGACAACATCAGGAGTATTTTTCGTCCTAAAGTTCTTAAGATTAAGAATCAATGCAGAAAATCCGTACCTGAATAGTGTCCAGCTTGCTTGGGGCACGATGTCAATTTTGATGGGAGCATCAGCTTCTTGCCCTGCGCTTCCTCGCATACCGTATTCGTACAGGATGCCATCGAGTGAAAGTACAAGTACGCTTGTGCTCTAGAAAATTGGTTTTTGAGTATTGGGGATAGTTGTACCTTGATGTCATTGACGGGTCGACTAGCAAAAGCTAGTGCCAATTTTCCTCTCCGGGTATTGGCGTGAGGGCCGAGGGTTGAATGGGTTAGATCGGATGCCCATGCAGAAAGGTTTTCGGCGTTCAGACGACGATTCTGTAAAAAGAATGGCATTAATCGATACATAAATACCATTTATGGAAAGTTACTGAAAGGGTTATTTAAAGTTACCACATACCCGAATCTTTTTCGGTGGCCCCAAGTACAAGTGGTGGTGGGAATGGCCCGATTCTCGGGTTACCACTTGCTCGTCCAAGGCTACCAGCGGCTCGGTGAGCGGGATGTTCCCTAGAATAGTTTATAATTGAAGATATCCTTCGTTAAATCACCTCATAATATAATGTTGACCGCTCTGCGATCGGTGGCGATCATCACTGAAATCGGCGTCGCTCAGTCCAGCAGAGCGAGTGAATTTTGACTGTTGGTTGTGCAGTCGCCCGGCATGGGTTCGGTTTGTGGGTGGGCCACCTTAGATTGAAAATAGTTGGTAGTAACACTTCGCTTACCATATGGGTTCAAAGCGAATGCGTGGACTGTGCCATGATTTGTGGAGATGCAGAGCCATCGGGAATCGTTGGAGAATGTTGTGGACAACACCTAAATTAGATATAGATAGTTTTTTTCGTAAATGAACGGATGCATAAATTAATAAATACCTTTGCCGGGGTACTGCCTCTCGTTAATATGTACAAATGCTGAGCTGCACCCAGCGATGAGGTGCCAGAATGGAGGAGCAGGGAGAAGACGTTGAAATCCCTTGCTGTAGAGTCAGCGGTCACCTGAACAATATATTGTTATCTTGTATGCTAAGATCTAGCAAAGGTTCTCAAATTAAATATTTATTTTAACCTACCAATAATCGCCCGTCTTGCGACATGTCGATGTGCGAAATTCCACCATGCTGTGCGATGAAATGGGCCTTGATATGCGAATCCTCCTGAAAATACATTGATTACATGTTCAAGTTTAATAATATGTTAATCAAAAACCTAGGGGCTTTTAGGCTTAACTTACCCAGAATATTTGATTACTATACAAATGTAAGTGATTTCCATAAGATATCTATACATAAGGCGCTTCCGGGTTATCGGGGGTCGGTTATTTTAGCGGGGGTCGGTTGCGAACTTTTTTCTATAATATCGTGCGGATCGGCTAATTAAAAACTGGCCGTTTTTATAGACTTGTGCGCCGTTTGAAATGGTTCTGGGCTGTTAGCGGGGGAGGAGACATTAAGAAAAACGTCATAAAACATGTTGAAAAAAATTTCTTTTTCGGTCTAACGTATATGAAAATGGCTAAAACCGCGCTATGACCCTAGATTTCGTGACTATAGGATAAATATTTTTATAATTTTTGATTATTGGAAGCTACTAAAAACAGTATTAAAATAAACTACAATTTACCACTAGGCAGGTATAGGCTAAACGAAAAGAAGATGCCAACCGACCCCCGCTAAAATAACCGACCCCCGATAACCCGGAAGCACCTATGTTAATCAAAAACCTAGGGGCTTTCAGGCTTAACTTACCCAGAATATTTGATTACTATACAAATGTAAGTGATTTCCATAAGATATCTATGCACATATTACTAACCTTTGCGTCCTCGCGGTACCAACAGTCCAGGCAGGCTACCGTAATAACGCCAAGCGGCTCTTCCTTTTTGCTTGAGCTGCTGACCGAAGTGACCGTCCGGGAGATAGACTAAAAAGCAAGACGGTCAGATTATTAACATTTTGAAAAATACCTTGACCGCGGACAGCATTTGTCCTGTATAGCTGGCTTCAGTGACTTCGACCGGTGCTGCAACACCGCCAATGCTCACTAGATCAGTTCGAACTTGGCTGTCCGACCAGACAAGATATGAATTCCGCATTGCCATTGGAAGTTGGGAGTCAAATGTCGCGACCTACAAAAATTAACATTAAGACGCAACTATAATAATTGCTTTTTAGTTTTTCAGTCTGGCTTTTCTCACCTCAATAGATCGCCTTTTCTGCAACGTAAACTGGTCACAGACAGTTAGTCGGCTGCCAGCAGCCACTACCAACCATTTGCTCGATGATTCGACCTCCAGGATGGGATCGTCAAATGTCAATTTGTGAACCACCTAAATAAAATTGTAGAAATGGAAGCAATCCCTTACATTGGCTGTGCCCAGTGATAAGAACCTCAGACAGCAAAAAAGTGTCTCGGACCGTGAACTGCTCGAATCAACCAACGCGAAGAGTGGTCGCTGGCCGTCGAACCTAGATGAAAATTCGTTTCGATAAACATAGAAAACCAACTTGTCTCTTGCATCCGGCTCCATAGGCTCCGGCTCGCTATCCAGCAGCTTGCCCACCCGCAAAGGACCTTGTCGCTCGCTCAGCACTTCTTCGCAAATTCCACTTTCCTACAGAATTTTTTAATTATTTTCTTTCACAACCCTTTCCTACCGTTATCGTCCATAATTGAAAGCCCCGCGCCAACCCAATAATGATCAGGTCAAGAGTCTTGTTCGGGTCACCAACTAAAAATATCGGTTTAATTTTGCCATCAATCCCAACGCTCAATTTCAACGACAAAAAATCAAAACGAACATTTTGTGACTTTTTGAATGTCAACCCATTCAATCTTCTCCGGTTGGGCTGACGGGGGCAAATTTGCCTGGGCGCTGATTGGAATAACGTCTTGGACGAAGTCGACCATTGAGGAAACAACGTCCGATTCCCTAAAAAAATTTTGAAATCCGGGTTCAGGATTTGTGCTTACGGAACGGCCTGTGGCTTGACGATGATCCCTTTGGTGTATTGGGATAGATCACGAGAGGATTGCCGGGGGGATCCCATCCTGTTCAGGTTTGAACTTGACTCTCTTCTAAAATATTCTATTGGGTTATGCAGAAATTACGGCTACAAATAAGGGTCGGCGCTGATTGCTAACTATTACGCCACCAGCCCAAAAATTTGGAAATGTTTGAATTGCGGATTTTTGAAGATTAATTTTTAGCATAGCGGTTATCTATGTAAGATACCATTTTCTAGGTCTATCCGTAATTAATAAATTTTTATTTATTAGGAGACCATTTACGGGACCCTTTCTACTTTTAAGTTATCTTTATTTCCAAGGTATGCGACTATTAGGTTAGGACTATTACGAGTTAATATATCACATTTTATTGTCTAATTTTTATTTTTTTTTCTTTATTATTCGGTATTTCTTTATTTCCAAACGATACCACGAGTTATTCGCAGCCGAAAAATAACAGTCACCCCCGGCCAACCCCATTCCCTATTGAATGTTATCAGTGATTGACAGTCCCCGTGGCGCCTTGTTGAAGTCAGACTCCCGCTGTTGGATAAATCGAATGATAGTTATTCGAGAGGAGAAAGCCAAAAAGACAGAGGAGAATCCCCCCTTTTCAGTTCGTCAAAATCACCTATGCTCGTATAGGGCCGGCAGTGAAGCGATCGATGGGGAAGGCGAGGCACTCGTGTTCCGCGGCCCTTGGGCTACAAAACGAAAGAATATATTCACAACTACTAGACTATAATGCTAGAGGAATTAAATCTCCGAAATAATACGCTGTCTGTAAATATAGTGTAAAATCTACCAATAGATTGCGGTGGGGTCGACGAGATTGGAATTGAAGGAGTGGGTGAGGGGAGCACGGGATATCTTATCCGATCATCCTAAAATTTGTTATACAAAAATATTCCTGCAAATTTATGCCAAGAGACATAGAATCTAAGAAAAATACAAATTAATATCTACCTTGCTTGGTTCCGGATCTGGGACCAATACATTTAATGTATCCGAGTCTGGATCCGAATCCCGTTGATCCTGTTCACAAATAAAATCTTCAACATCAGAGCCTGGCTTTGATTGTGGCTGCGGTTGGACCTGAAATTAAGATATATTATCAATAAAATAATATAGACATTCGATTAGCTACTAAAAATAATTCATCAATTTTCGGAACTACCTGCTGTATTGGATGGACGGCTGTCTGCTGATTTCTCTTCTTTTTCCTTGAGGTCATCGTGGCGGTTGGTTGTGAACCGTCGCGCATTCACCAACCTAACGTTTTGTAAATTGAATAAAGATGTAGAAAATAACCATACAACCAAACAGGAATACACAGGTAAATAACAACGTGATGAAATTGGGCAACCTGGATCTGATTAACATGTCGAAACCGGTTTGGGCAACCAAAAGAGGGATTCGTGACTCACAACATTATTAAAAGGGGTACTTTGTCATGAAAAAATATCCGCTTCCATTTTTTTATATGAACTTTGATCTTCATAAAATTTTATAGTTTTTCAAAATATTTAATAAAGTATAAATTTTATAACTAACTGCACATATCTGTTTTATAATGTATAGTTCAAGTAATTTTAAACTATTATTTATATCCTTGAATCAAGTTAGCCATCACCTATCCGCAGTTGGGGAAACCCAAAAATTCTCTAGACAAGGGGCGGCCCCCCACACCCGACAAAAACACGAAAAAATCGATGATGGCCTAGGAACTTTCCCATTCCTAAAGTCAACAAAAAAACTTTTCCCGATAAATATCGGGGGTTCGAATTTAGACACCAAAATACTCCATATCACAAAGTTCAAAATATAATAATTGATTCGAGCTGGAGTAATTACTTCGGGGGCCATCGTCTGGTATATGGGGGTCCGGGGCCATTACTCGGGCTATCCAGGCAAATGTGATCGTCACGTGAACGGCCAACCCAAAATGGCACAAAATTAAAAATAGAAACTTTTTGAAAAGTTACTGAAAAATCGATGAGTGCTTCAGGGGACAATATGGAAATTCGATACTTTGTGGTTTTCCCGATTGCGTATTGGCAGGATTGGGGGTTTTTTTAAAAAGGAGTAAAAATGTGGATAAAGCAGCTTCCAGATAATTAACAGCTGTTTTATGCAGGTCTTTTTGAAGGGGAAAAGTTTTGGGGCAGTGCGGAGCGACGGGAAAACCGTTAAAGAAATCGAAGGGCGCGTGACATCCTGGATCAATGCTTCATAGAGGGTATCCCCGGCCATCTGGCCATTTTTTCACCAAATTCAAGACCACGAATCAATATCTAGCATCAAAATAAACATGTTTCATCCCCCAAAACAAGGTCTAAAGCCCGAAAAATAAATAGAGAAAATGAGAAAAATGTTTGAGATAAAATTTTGATTCTTCGGATCAATAGTCCCACCTAAACCATGCGTCGATAGATCGTGAAACCGATTTAAAGCCGCCGGATATGAGGTGATCGGGGGCCAAGATACGGTGGGCGAGGCTTGGGGGCCGATGTCACAGGGCCTGGTCAAATGAGACGACGAGATGCTACGGGAGGACACGTGACGCCAAGCCGAGCACGCAAACAAGCCCCAGTTCACTGACTGGAAGCTCTGCCCCTCCACCCAATACCCAATCTCTCATCCCAATTCTTCTCTCGCCCCGCCACCACCCCGCGAAACGTCTCCCTTTTTTGTCGACAACATCCCGTTGACTAGCTGGTAAAGTGAGCTGATTGAGAGTTAAACTCATTGAATAAACTCTCATTTTTTGCTTGGGATCTTTGATTCGTTAGCTAAAAAGGTATTGAAATATCGAAGATTAACGTAATTCCTCAGCTGTAAGGTCCCAAACGAGTATGCCAGCCTCGACTGGCAATTGCAAAAAATGTAAATTCTTGTAAGACAGTCTACAAAAACGTAAAAGCGGCTGGATTTTTTTACAACAGTGTAAGCGTGTATTTTCATCTTATAATGTGCAATGCACACATTAATTAGTAACCTTTATGGTTTTGGTTCCTCGTTCTTTGTTTTTTGACACGTATGTGACCGGAATGGGGAGTGTAAGTGGTAATGCCGGAAAGACATTTTGTGATTGGGGCGAAGGCAAGGATGGCACCGGTTTCAAAGTGTAGTCTATACGGTCATTATTCGTTCTTCTTCTCTTCTTCCGGCTGTTTTGGCGTGAAGCTGGCCCAGGCGAGCTGCGGGTTTACCTGAAAAAGAAATTGGACAATCTGAAATTAATGACTAAAACAATATAAAAATGATACTGACCGTCGAGTCGTTGGACCATAAATTGGAACCAAACCAGGAATATCCAAGGTTTGTACCAAGCTCTCCGACATTCGGCACTAAATCGTCATCCCGCAGCGAATGCATCTGGTATGCAGAGGTGGACGGTGGCTCGAACGTCGCGGTGTGTAGTGACTGTTGGCTGGGTACGGTAGGCCAGGCGGGGCTTGATTGAGGCACCAATGCCTCGGCCGAATCGAGGAGACTCTCGATCTCCTCCTGAGTGATACCACCAAATTGTGGGACTTGTTGTGGCATTGGCCAGCTGCCGAGATCGAGGTTTGTTGCAGGGACGGCAGTTGGAAGCCGATCTAAAAGGAGGATAAGCTACCGTATACCAAACTCACTTCTCAGGCCATCACCGTAGACAAGCTCCTGGATACGATGAGATGGTGGGTCGTCCAGGAATGCGGGGAGCCGACCACCAGGGATACTGCTTGATGATGAGGCCGATGTTTGCGACTGAATAAATATGATAAATATTGAACCATATTTCCTGTAAAATAAGTGGCTCCATTCAACGCACCCAAGCACATAACTGTAGTAAAACTTTTGAAGCTTACCCTACTAAAGGCAGACCCTTGTGTTGACGAACCACTTTCATGTCGATTTTTATCATCTTGCGTTTTCTTCCTAGGTGATTTCTCTGAACACCCGAAATATTTCTCAAACTTTGTCTCTTCACCTTTGATGCCCAAACCATGAGGCAGCAAATATCCGGGATGATCATCCAGCATCGATGGTTCATCGAATAACCCTTCAGATGCTGCGGCCAGATCCGAGAATTCCGCATCCACGTTACCGCCTAGTTACGAAGTCTTCTGTCACGATTTGTGAACAAACCGAGTGCCTCAAACTGTTCATCACTCCATTCCGGAAGGTCGCTAGCTTCAGAGAAACGCGAAGGACTTGAGGTTCTCAGAAGGCTATGCTGAAAGCCGGCCATTGTATAGCGAGAATGGTTTACAACCTGAGATGGGACAGGTGAAATCGAGGGCACGGCGTTTGGTGATGGCTCCCGGGGAACGAATGGCGGCTAAAAAGCGGCCATTTTGATTTGTGATTTTTCCTTACAGGTGGCTCCAAATAGCCGTTGTCCTCGTTCTGCTTAATATTAGCAGAGCTTCCAGCCCGGGTTGGAAGTACTGCTGCGGTAGCTTTTTGATGCTTCGCAGCGGGAGGGACTCTTGAAGTCGTCGATCGGCTGCTGTCATCAGATTTTCGAGATGAACTGCGGTTTGTCTCGCCGGCCGTGGCTGAATATTTTGAGAGGAAGCTTATACTTCTAGAATCCAGACTTACAATTTGTTGCCAATAGATATTTCGGGTCTGTTTTCTCAGCTTCCTTACGGCTCTTCCGAGACACTGTAGCTTGTTTTGGCGAACTGTTACCCTTTCCACTAAAAATTTGAATAAAATTCTAATATGTTTCGCATACGTTTGTTTGGGTTGTGGTGGTTTTGGAGGCTGGGCGGGTAGCGGTGCCACCGGTTGGACCTTCTTGACACCCTTTGTTTGGAGGTCGGCTTCTTTTCTTTTGAGCCGCTGCTCCCTCCAGCGTTGCTGAACCGGACCACGACGCTGAAAGAAATTCGTGGTTTGGCGTGGAGGCGTTATTAGATACCTTTGGTGGTGTTGCAGTTCGTTGTGTTTCGTCGGCCGGTCGAAGGAATAGGGTGAATTTCCATAAACGATGTACGATTGCAATGACGGCGTTGGCGGAAGAGTAGAAGGCCTTGGCCAATGCGCCATCATCTTCACGCGCCTGTACGGAACTTGGCATCGTCGTAATGTTCGATGGTACTCCTATAACCGTATTCAGGTGGTCCTCATGGAACTCACGTGGAGATGTAGGGCCGCCACCAAAATGGATGTTATTGAGGTCAAACACCTAAAAATACTTGAAAATTGAAAAGCTTTCTAACCGGCCGAATATTGCTGAAAGTTTCCTTAATCGCACACGTAACCGCTCGATCTCCTTCCAAGTAAGCACATGCTACCACGCAAACGAATGTAAATCTAAAGAAACGTGAAAATTCATCGAAAACATCCAACTTACACTAACACGGTAGCACAACTATAGTACATCAGATTTTCAAATGGCGGACGCGGAAGAGCTTGATGACATCTAAAACACCAAATCTCCTAATTAAACTATCCAATTACTTTGACATCATATCATATGGCACCGTTGCTGCAATATGGTATACCCATGCGCTTCCATTCATATGCATATAGAGTTGAAGGTCTGCGTCGTTGACATGCGACAGGAAATCCGGGGTAAACCTGAAAGAGCGGAGGCCCTATGACTATGTTTTTAGAACGTACGCCACATGAATTTCATAAGTGTCATTTGGTGCCAGTCGGAACGGGCTGCAGTTTAGAATGCGGAACCCTCGGTTCTCGCATGGTACCCCGCTGATGCTCATGTTGACAACAGTGAATGGAACCTAAAGAAAAATACATAATTCTGTTTTGATCCTTACCTCGCCCGTATTCTGAACCATAAAAGGCCGCCTGACCGTCAATGTTGAAGTCAATTGATGCAGCAATCCTGTAAAATAGAAACTATTGTTGATTTTGAGTATCATGCTTCGTTTTTATAGTTTGGGACAAGATCACAGAGGAAAACAGTGTGCTTTGCAATTGGACAAACGACAGGACCAGGGTATGATACGGTAGGGGCTTCATACCCACGATTTTCATAACAGCACATTGAATCTGATTGCCCTAAAGTAGTAAACCAAGTGACTGTTACTAATATATAAATATATGTGAGAAAATTATGATACTTTTTGGATTGCTACAGTCGGTGAGATGATCATGACGAATTTCGAAGAGTAAAGGCGTTCGTGTTCGAGAATCGATACCGCCAACCTGAATTACGTGTTATTAGTATTTTCAATTATAATGTTTATTTTTGCTTACCTGCATTCCAATCCTTGCTCCACGACCGTATACCGTAACAGGTTCAATGACGGTTAGATTGTTTCTAATCAAAAGAAGCGTTGATCGCAGCTCATAATCCGATGGTAAAAATCCAAGTCGGACCCGGATTTTCATATGTGGCTTCAGCAGTAACGACAGCGTAAACCTTAACGAAACTTTTAGGCTGAGTAATACAATTCTATACCTCGGCACGGTCATCTTTAGATGCTTTTCCAAATCTTCGCGCAATTCTGGTACGGGAGAATCTGGCTTCAACGTAAAGAGTTCCGTATCGCGGAGGGAGAACATGAGTGTTTCGTTCATTTCCACCTTTAAGAAAAAATTAGATAAATGCGTTGCAAAATTGTAATACCTGATTTGTCAAAGGTGACGCCAAGACATCCCGGAAGAGGTCAACAAGTAGTTCTGCATCAGGGTAGATCACCAATGGAATTATTTGCACGACGATCGGACTCGATGTTGGGTTTTGCAGCGTGAGATTTACAATCTTAATTAAAGGATTCTTGCTTGTGCATGCAGCTTACCGTGAAATTTCCAAGCGCCGTCAGTGGGAAATGGACCGAGTTTCGGGTCAACAGTCTTGGCCAAACCATCTCTGCTCGAACCGGGACCTTAATTAACATAAATAGATAATTTAATTGCTGTCCAACCCTGACGTTCTTGGCAAGTGTAGTGTCAATCGCAATCGTTGTGTTCAGCCACCGGCCTTGTTTCTTCAGCAGGTCTTCGTAGTTACCGCGCATTCGTCTGGAAATCATTACGATTATAATGAGACTTAGTGGCGTTCATACCTATACAAATACTGATCCACTTGGGCAAGGTTTTTCGGCAGGTTCAGGCCATGCACGAACCATTGCCCATCTAAATAATGGTATTTTAAGAATGAATTTTGGCCTTACCTGAACTGCCCAAAGGCACCCCGAGATAGCAATCAATTCGCGGGCAGTTGAAGCCTGGATGTAGAATAACACGGCCTAGTTCAGCCACTCGCCCGGATCTAAATTTCATATGACAAATTTTCCATTTTTTGCATCCGTATTTTTGATATAAACCCACTTCAACTCCAACGGCTTGTTCGGATCAATTGCGTCAAAATAAACCCGAGCATCGCGGTCAACACTCGAAATTTTTGTCACCGTCATATCCATATCAAATGCGTTAAATATCTAAAATATCTGTTGGCTAAATTCTCTGAAATCTGGCACCTTGAGCGATCGATATGCCAGTTTTCCAGGGTGCATCATTCCAAAGTCCAATGCACTCGGGATCGCGAGTAAATTCCCGGGTGCCACCTTGTAGACAATAGGGAAATGACGGCTTTCGTAGTCAGTCTCGAGTTTGAAGATCAAATCATCGCTGTTGCCTATATTTAAATTTTTCTATTCAATCCTTGATGATTCGCACCTTCATGTGCATCTGGGGGTGACCGCAAGGTGATTTCAAAGACTGACGTCTTGTTGGCTTCAACCAAAGAGTCAGTACCCTATTAACATAATGATGGTGAAAAAAGGGAAAATTACTGACCTGCTTTAGCTTCCTTTTCGCACGTGTCAATTCCGTTTCGTTGTTCGCTCGATACCCAATTTCATAGAGTTGCATGTAATCTGGCTTTGGTACCCGTAGATTACGCAACCATACAGACGCTGGATTGTCGTTTCGAACTTCGAACTAAATTTGAGCAATTGTAAAGGTATTCTGGAAATTTCTAGGTTTTTAAGGTTACACTTACCCGAATGGTTCTCGAATCGTTCCTTTCCAGTAATCCAAAATCCAGCGTCTTTTGGTTGTCGGTGTACAAGTCAACGAGAACCCGTCCATTGAAGAATTTCACCGGTAGTGTCCAATCCGTGATGTTTGTGTGCACGGTCACATTTGAACTGAAAAAAGACTAAGAAATTAGGATCGAAACTTACATATATCCTACAGGAGCTCTCCTATTGTATTTCAGCAAAAATACAGAACCAGTTTCACCAGGCTGGATAATGGTTATTCGATTGAAAAGGCGGACCTAAATCTCTTCAAATTAATTTTTTTGGACTTGGATAATACCGTCATATAGGCTTTAAGATCATCTGGCAACGAGATATTCCAAATGGCTACTCCAAACGGAAGATTGTTGATGAGCCGAACCTTAATATAACAGTATTATAAAATAGTGGTAACTTACTCCTCTCATGAATGGCGGCCTCAACGAATCGTGTAAGCAAAGGTCATTTTCAAAAACATTGACTTCCCTAAAACTATTATTGAAATTAGGTATCAGACCATACCCCTGATAGACACGAGCCATAATTGGAACCGTCACGTTATAATTTCCTCCCCTCGAAATGGCGATTATTCTGCCAAGCGCCGTTTTCACGGCCGGCTTTGTTGTGTTCATTTGCACACGGCTCGGATCCAACCACACTTTCACTAATGGTGTCGGCACCGCTGAAAATACAAAAGGTAATACATTTTTCTAAAGTTTAGGGCCTTACGGTTTTTGCACCGTTTTGAAGGCGGCACCCGAATCGGAGGTGATTGGATATACTCCATGTATGCCAAATTGTGGTCACCACGGTCGATGTAAAGTTGCTGAAAAATAAACGTAATCTACCTGACTTTCTAGTTTGCATACCTCAAAATCAATCGCCGAATTTAACGTAGAATATATCGTAAAATTTAATGGATGTGATCGAGCGCCATTCGGAATTAGACCAAAATCTAAAACCAAGATTGTTGAAAAATTAAAAAAAAATACCTAGATATTCTTCATGTGGAAAAATCCCATTTTTCTTGGTCACCTCTACGGGATAGGCAATGTAAACCTCCTTTTGGGTCGGCTCCCTAAAACCAAAGCTCCAAAACGGGTATGCAAATTACGGTGTCGCCAGTTCGCCAACAATTCGGATGAATGCGGTTGTATTGACTTCACCTCCACCAAAAGTTACAAAATCGCCAATGCGCTTGGTTTCGTATGGTCGCAGTATCTGAAGAGGAGATGTTGAGTGATTATGGTAATTACCAAATTTCGTGCTTCTTTCTTTAACTTTTCATCCCATTCAGGTTTAAGTTCAACGTGGATATCGCCACCTAAAGACCATATTTTTAGTAACTTTTCTCATACTTACCGCTTGAGTGTACTTCCATAATTTTAAGAGTATGCTCATGAGGATTATGTATGCTAAAAAAAAGTTAATTCTCGACTACTTGGACCTTACGTGATTGGTTTTGCGATTGTGCCATTTAACGGTAGCCTGGTTCCAGTGAACGTTTGCAACCGATACGGATTTAGAGCACCCGTACCAAGCAACTAAATTAACAAATTTTCCCGGAACATAAAAAATTACTTGGTAGTGTATAGTGCCCTCTGGAATATGGACGAGAAGCTGGCCAGCCACGCGGCCTTCGTCACGGGCAAGAAAGGCTACTTCCAGCCAAGCATCATCGTCCGGCGATTCCAATTGCTAATTTAAATTTTGGGTGATAATTTGGTTATTTACCTCTTTATCGAAAAAGTTTGTGTAAAAATTGATCGTGGAGGCCATCAACGATACAAATTTGACGGCCTCCGGCTGCCGAGATCTGACCCGTACTCGACGAACCGCAGGGATCCCGATCGATCTAAAAGTTTTTCGTATATTCCGGGTATAGCATAATACTTACTGATCTCCAAAATCCAGCATTGGCGGGTCGAAAATGAGTGGGCTGTCTGCATCTGGGGCATCCCATTTTTTTGACGAACCCCTTAAAATTACTTACTACCTAAAATGCTCTTAACTTTATTCTAATTTCCCAAAAATTCGGTTACTTACCTCAACTTCCCGCCAGAAAATAGGAGGGCATCATGTGTGGAGCTTTCAGAGAAATAGTGCAACTCGCTGCCGGTTTGCACAAATGCCGTGTGGATTACTGGTAACTCGGCTAGCTCCTCAATTTCATCCTAAAAATTATTCCTTTAATATTTTGATGAAACATACATTTGGATCATTTGCATATATCGTCCGCAGCAGCAAAAATAATGGTAAAAGGACGGCCCTCATGCTCTCATTTGTTCGCCGGCTAAACGTGGAATTACAAAACATGGAAGAATATAGTAGACAATGGAAAGAAAGCCACAGAAATTGGGAAAGGAATATCGACCCCAACAGTAGTCGCCCATTAGACAGTCAAAATTCCCATAGGTGAATGAAAACAGAATCTGTAATGTCTTTTTTAGATGAGCGACCAGGGAAAGTGTGGAGTCACTAGCCATAAAAAGAGACAGCCAAGATACGGAACCCCCTTTCCCAAGGTTCCGCCACTTTTGCATAAGCTATCTGTTTAGGGGAACGGCTTAGACCTCGGAACTCTGGTCCCTAGAAAAAGTCCTCTTCATGTCCTGCAATTCCTAGACCTATCAGTGTTTCATCACGCGTCTTCCCATAGTGCCCCGGGTGGGACGTCGCGTGACCTTGAACTGCAATACGCCTTGCCGGGTCAACTTTTAACGGAATTATCGACCGGCAATGAACAAAACCGGTTCGTGTTTTGGAGGGTAGATCGTTTGGTGCTGTGAAACGAAGGGCAAAACGAGTAAGAAAAAGATCTGGGGGAGCATCTTAAAGGGGTAGCAGAAACAAGGTGGGACTAAAAATAGTTTTTTTTACTGTAGGATGCAGAGTATTACTTTTACCCTGGGATATGCCCATAGATTTTAGGGCGTCTTTAAGATATCCCTTCCATGCTCCTTAAACCATGTCAATCGAACCCAAACGCATATATCGACTGGCAATATCGGGCAAAAACTTGCATCTCAGCTGCGGGAAAAACTGAAAAATGTCAGAAGGAAGGCAAACAAGGGAAAACAACGATATTCCGTAATCATAACCTAGGTGTCCGGTCCATTTTAGGGAGAAAAGAACACGTCAGCGCGCGGGTGGAGAGCCATGTAGTGCGGAGGAGCTGGATCGGAACGGGAGAAGGAGCCCGAGGGGGTAGAAAAGACAGTGGTAGACCGGGGGAATGGATGGGGGGAAGGTGGGAAGAAAAAGGGGCTCCGTCTTCGGGCAACGGCTTCTTCGCCTTTGGGTTACGGTAGTTGGGTGCGAGAGGTTACCTTACACAATTTTCAACTTTTAAAGTAGAGTTTTGGATATAATAATTTATGGCAAACTGGAAATGTGTCGTGTGTTATTTTTTGACGTTAAAGAAGTAACAGAACCGGGTATACAAGGTGTTGAAAATACGGTAAGTAATAATAGTCAATATACGTACAAAATTATGCAAATTTTTACACTTTCGCACTTTTTAACGCTTATTTACTGGTAACACCCCGATAGCTCCAATAAAAACCATAAATTTCTATATTATGCTAATGCTATATGAATTAGACGTCTAGCTCGATCTAAAAGACAATCGATGAGCCGAGAGCACTCGGCTCCCTACGCTATCCCCCCACGTGTACCCCCTCCTTGCCCCCTCTACCCCCCTTCGAGCCATAACAGGTTCTTCCATCCCCTACGGCCTATTTCTTTTCCTTCTCCTCCTACCCCCACCCCCGTTTAGAACCATTACTTCCATGACTATGGCGGCACTTGCAAAAAGGCAACCGGACTATCCCGTCATTAAAGGGATTTGAAACTTTATGTCTCAAACGCTGGATGGAGTCTGGCGGGCCGCTACTAAATTAATAGCCTTGATTATACCAAAATAAAATAAGAATAACGGAGGCCTAAGCTGAAGTTAACGATTTACTAAAAAAAACACTAACCAAAATTTCTAAAATTCTGCTAATTGGGATCGACCCGGGGATTTCACCAGCCACACTACGAGTTCGTTAAATCATTTACCTGAGCGAAATACCAAAACCCGAAAATCCATCATTCAAAATCAATGTATTTTCCTTCAATAGTAAGCAATTTATTTAAATTTCGATTTCCTCATATGCCATATTAGCGAGTCAGATCAGCATAAAAAGTGCTTCGAGGAATTATATACACTACCTAGGCACATATTAGGGCCAAAAACAAGTAGTGCTAGGAAAATCCAGTAATATATTGCTGATTTAATGTCCTAATTAAAAATGATGACATTGATAGAACAGGGAAAAACGCCAAAAATGCATAGATGCTAGGGAAGCTTTTAACAATACTCTTTATAGAATTTTATCGATATCCCAATCCCAACAAAAGCTATAAAAGAAGCTACATGCAAAGATAAGGTTAACGTGCAAATTTGGTCGTTGATTGGGGCTACGAGGGGCTCCGTGCGCCAACTGTCTCATGCGCGCTCTGCGGCGACGGCTGGTCTGGTGAGGGCCGAGTGGTGCACAAAAATTCGTTGACGTTCTTGTTATCCTTTTAGGTTTGATTTATCAAGTTGTTTAGTAGGTTTGTGGTTTTTAATATGTTACGGGTGAAAGTGTCCCCTGCGGGTAAAAACTCTAGAACTTTTCCGATGTCCATATGTATTGAATTATTTGCTAAAGTATTTGTTATAAAAGGCCGTCCGCGAGTCACCCGAACAGACCCTAATATGGCTTGGCACAGTTTTTTTCGGCCCCGTTTTTTTGACGGCATCTGAAAGAGCATGGTCAAATTAGTAGGGCTGCACAGTTTTGAAAGTTTAAAAAGTTAATTTTTGGGGTTAAAATTGGAATCAAAGTGGGCGACCCTCAAAAATTATCTCCAAAACTACTGCACCAAATTGGCTAAAAATTGGTGACAATACCTAATTTGGGATGGGGATCATTTCTCTAATACATCGTAAAGCACGAAAATGAGCGGAACACCGGAATCTCGCGTACCCAAAACAGTAATTTTGGATTTTCTATTTTACGGGTTTCCGAGGGTAACTTCTTTTTACTATAGAAAGATGCACCAGAATATTCTGCGTTGAATGATGTATTTTTCATTTTACCCTCCGGTTCCCTAGTTCCGCTATAAAGCATTTACTGCGCGCAAAACAGCCTCCAGACTAGGCCAAAAACCTCAAAACTGGCAGATTTTGTAATTGAAAATATCAAATCGTATCTAGAGAACGAGCTGAATCCATTGCAAAAAAGAGCAAAAAGAAATAACGTTTTTGAAGGGGGGCTGGGATTGAACTCGCGCGACCCCTGGATTGGTAGGCGAGCACTCATGCAATCCACCACGGCCCCAGAGTGGGCTTCCAGGCGAAGGGTCCGAGTTCGATTCCTTCCGGATCTCAGCCCATATTTAGAGGCTGAATTTCTTTAGAGGCGAGATTCCGGTGTTCCGCTCATTTTCGTGCTTTACGATGTATTAGAGAAATGATCCCCATCCCAAATTAGGTATTGTCACCAATTTTTAGCCAATTTGGTGCAGTAGTTTTGGAGATAATTTTTGAGGGTCGCCCACTTTGACTCCAATTTTAACTCCAAAAATTAACTTTTTAAACTTTCAAAACTGTGCAGCCCTACTAATTTGACCATGCTCTTTCAGATGCCGTCAAAAAAACGGGGCCGAAAAAACTGTGCCACGCATTGTTCGGGTCTCTCGCAAACGGCCTTATAAGTATTCCTTCTGCAGGCTTGCTAGATGCTTATTAGGCCGTTTCTCGTCGCATCCATTCATTTGAGTCTGCTAACAAACTGAAAATAGCCTATTTAGGAGTCATTATCGTTTTTTTTACAAAATTCTAGTGGTTAAAGGAAAATCCTTTATCGCAAATTTTTCAAGATGTCCCTCCCACGTCTCGCTTTGGTTGCCCGTACCGCCACTCTGCGCACGGCGCAGAGGAACAGCTCGGGCAGCTTCTACGGCTCCAACAACTTTGATGGGTTCAAGCAGTCGCTCGGCGAGCAGTTGAAGACTGCTGACGGTAAGCTGCAAATTTCGCCAGAGATCTATGCAATACGAACAAATTGGTGGGGTTTGGGCTATCCTTCAAATTAGGCGGGACGGAGGGGTGACACGTTACCCACTCGGGTGCGATATAATAAGCGATTTTACCCCGAAAAAAGCTATTTTTGAGCCTGTAAATGACACGCTAATGTTCTGATTTTGGTATTTTTCAAATCAGCAGGGTGGAAGTGACGTAAAACCGTTGAGACTTAAGCTCTAGCTCCTTTCGCGTTCGAGTTGTAGCTAGCTTCAGACAGAGACCTCAGTAAAGTCATATTAGTTTATGATTCAAAACCAAGTTCACACCTTACCTTTCAGGCACCTGGCAGACATGGCGTAAGATCTTCTGGATCGCCTCGGTCCCGTGCATGCTGATGACCATGTAAGCTACCAACTTTCTTTTTGATTATTGTGACCCATCATAGGTATGCCGCCCTGGTCGATCACAACAAGCACCACGCCAAGGGCCGACCGGAGTACAAGGAATACTCCTACTTGACCACCCGCAACAAGGTAGGGTACCGAAAATTCATACGTAACAACAGCCTTTTCTGCTTATTAATGTTATTATTCTTATGCGGTTTACCAGGGCTAAAACACCGCATCGCGTCTTTTCAAACCTGGCCCCGTCTCGGAGCCATTATCGTTTTACTTTGCATAGTTACTCACGAATCCCCATACAAAAAATGAAAATGATCCGCTTCTGCCCCGTTATATAGGCTCTACGCACTTCCGGATAATGCTGATCGCCTCCTAACAAAGAGGTTTCTCGATATCTTTACAAAAACTTAATTTTAATATCGAAAGCCGCCCGTTTCTATAATTCTGAGGCGCGTGCACTCATCTAGAGAGCATTACGCACCTAATGACGTTTCAAACATAAACGTCCTTTGAGGCTCTAGGCGTGGGTAATTTTAGTTCCAAACTTTGTAATTCGGAATTATAAGCGGTGGAGTAATCGATGTGCTGAAATTCAGTGCAAAACAAAAAAGGACACCTTTCCCCTTTACAATCTATTTTCCAGCCCTTCCCGTGGGGTGATGGCAACCACACCCTGTTCCACAACCCCACCGAGCAGTGGGTGCCCGGCGTTGGATTCGAGAAGGAGCGCGAGCACCACGGTGATCACCACTAGACGGATTCTGGACGAGCTAGCATTCTTCGTATATATATAAATCTCTGTTAGCCATCGATTGTTTAAAAAGGTACCCTGATTCTGATAAATAAACTCGACCCGAAACAATTTGAATCTCAACAAATACTGCACGTGAGAAATTAGCAATATTAAAGGAAATATTAAAAAAATTTCGTTAATTTTAGGCTACAAATGTGTAGTACTTTGGGTGCGCAATTTCCATATCTTATATCTTTTCTTAATGCGGTTATAATTTATGCAAGCATTTTCTTTGGCAGAGGCAAGTGATATCATCAGATCCGATGTATATGTCGGTGGTGTAAATATGATGGCTCTATATATACACACAACCTTTAAATATCGCAATAATTAGCATATGCCTGGGAAGGGAAGGGCTCTGAACACCCGTTTCACGGTCGGCTTTTTGGAATGTAAGGAGTAAGGACTAGAGATTACAGGATGGCTGGGGAAGGAGGAGAGATTCCGGAGGAGAAGCAAAATATCTTGGTTTTGGGTCATGGGTCGGACGGGTCAAAGTTATTAAAATCCTGGCACCAATTTTGAAGATTACAATGTGATGCGGCAGTCCCGGGAATTGCGTAATTGCCTATTATGTTAGAAGTAATTTAAAAATTAAGAGGCCAAGGTGCAGTCTGTTTTTTTTTAATTTTGATAGGCGTTTTAAATAATAAATTAACACTATTACCTCAGTATTTTTGTTTTGTCATTTGTTCTTTGTGGACACGTCTTGGCTACAACGGCTGAGGCTTTCATAAGATCGCAAAAATTATGGGGGCAGTAAGGTGAGGGCCGTTTACCAGTTACTTGATATGGCATTGCGGTATACTAGATGATAGAAGGGATGGGAGTTGTTGGTTGGGGGAGGGGAGAAGCAAGCAAAAATAGGGTTAAAATGAATGGCGCGAGTTCTTTCGTGAGTTGCTGCTGCTACTGTCGACCAGGATGTACTCGCGTGAAAAGCGACGACCCGTGATTCCTGAAATTTTTGGTTAGTTTTAGTTATAATTATCACAAAAATCTTCCGATATTTGGTACTATTTTATAGTGTGTTGTTAATTTTTTCTATCACTATTTTAGACGATATTTTATTCTTAGGTAACTAACGCGTAAGGAAATTATTTTATGAGCGATTAATCCGCGTTCAAACAATCCTGAAGAATCGCGAAATACTCGCAAAATATGGGGCAGTAGACATGCCCCCCCCGTTAACGAACCAGATACAAACATACCAGATTCTTGCCGGTAAGGTGCCAAGAGTTCAGCCACGGCACTAGTTGCGAGAGTCGAATCTTCATGTGCCAGCTCCGTAATGCCCGTACCCAATTTCTGAAAAAATCTTTTGTATCCACAATCCCAACAAACCTGTGTAATGCATTCATGAAACCGTTGCATCCGATTCTCGAGTTCGGTCAGCTTCCGAATATATGCAACACGATCTCCCTGAGGATTTGCCCGCATCCCATCCAATTCGTCTTGCACCGTAGTAAGAAGCTGTTGCAATTCTTCAAGCGAATATTCACTATCGGCTTTTTCCCGAATCTAAAAAAACAAACAAATAAATTCGAAAAAGGTCTTATACCTTAGATGTTGATTGCCCTTCAGGATTTGGATACATTCGAGCAAACGCCTCACTATCCCTGCAATATTCATCTGCATCTGGAGCACTCCTGAGTATCGGAACACGATCAGGCAAGAATGTGGCTTGTGAAAGGGTGAGTAGACGCATTGACAGTTGTTCAACAAGATGTTTCACTTCTAGCTAAAAATCATAAAATATTAGTATATGGATTTTGGTCAGCAGATCTCACCTTGAAATTATTGAGCAACGCCGTTGGACGGGAAAAGGTGTTTTTATCTAAGGAGACGGCAAGCATCATCTCCGACCCGCACTGTACGAAACAGAAAGAGGCTAGCACCTTAAAATCACTTGAATACCGTCACAGGTAACTATTCATACCGATTCTGTCACAGCTGGAAAAAGAAACATCGATTTGATGCGGATACTATCTAACTAAAAGGAAAGAAAAGTGTTAATGAATATTCGACATACCGAAAGTTCACCACCAGCACGCAAAAATGAAATCTGTACAGTGTTGTCGCCGTAGAGGCCGTTGACAAATTTTTCGGCCAATTTTGGGGGGAAGAGTAGCGAGCCTGATGGGGTTTTTTTGTTTTATAGAGAAGAGTTCGGTTACCAAGATATTTTGAGAGGCTAAGAGCGTTAGGGAGGACCCCGTCTAGGACTTTAGCCATTCGTCGTTGTACTGCCCAAGCTCGTGGTACCGCACCTGAAAGAAACCATTAGAATTATTCCTATTTCGACACTTACCTTCAACTGAAGTCGGCAAACGAATTGGCAACAATACCGATTCACATGGCCTCGCCGCTTCTACGGGTACAAAATCTCGACAGGATACACATATTGATGCTCCAACATCGGGAGGATGACGTATCCCCTGTAACAATTTCATTATAGTAACTGTTAATTTCGCTACCTGATCCCTGAATTGTTGACGTAGAGCACCAGCGACTAAGGCAGTCAGGAGCTCGATAGTGGCAGCTCGGAGTAGGCGTTCAGCCCGGGAGAGACATTCCGCATGCCCAACTTTTGTCCATGCTAACCATCTTGTTGAAGGTGCAACAGACACTGCAAATTCTATAAATTTATTCTTGTTTTTAGCAATTATAAATTATCTTAAAGTATTCAACTTATAATTTTAGCTAGCTAGTCCTTCCCTAGCCATCATACATACCCGAACTAATTTTATGATTAATTTCTCCCTTCGGCGTCGCAACGACGACTTCCTCGAGCCCAGCCGGTGGCATAAGGCTCGAATCATCTTCCGCATTTGATGGAGTCGCGGGTTTCCGACTAAAAATAAAACTTAATTCACCTAGGAAGAAACCCAGAATGGGGACAAAGCCCTTTGGAATACCTACTTTTTCGAAGTCGCCATTGCACTTGCTCCTTTGTCCCCGCTCATCGCCTTCCAGACGGGGTGCTCTCGTTTTAAAGAATGGCTCAACACAGTCATTGGACCACGGCATACAAGCTGCAAAAAAGAGTCGATAGCTTAGCAAATGATACCTGGACGGCCTGATAAACCTTGTAGCAGAAATGCAAAGGAAGGTTGAGGCGTGGATGGATGGCTGGGATAAAGGGTCTAGTCAACCGGGGCTCCACCTAATTTGCATGGGAAACTATGGATTCAGGTGGTAAAGCTACCTCAAAAACGAGTTGGGCGTCGGAGTAAAGCGACAAAAGTCGTGGTAAACAGAATGGATGTAATCGGGGTTCGAGGGAGAAGACGAGAAGGGAATGTCCAGTGCCGCTCTGAAAAATTATTGGCTCAGCTTAAATTATATGAAATTGGAATGGGTAGATAAGTTGTTTGATGACCAACCTCAACGGATGAGACGTAGCCAGGGATGACAACGCAAGAACATTGCATTGGCGGGAGTCCGTGAGGCTCGTTGAGAACTGCTTTTAGTTCTGCCGCACATTGTACACGAGTTCGGCTAAAAAAAGTGGATAAAATCTATCCGGCAATCGTTTCCTTAGGCTTTTGGGAGCTTAAATGAGTGTGGTAGTATCCATAGAGCAGCCTTTCTCAGTAAAAATGAATGCCAAACATTATGTACCTTTGATCCCATAAAACCACAGTCCCAGAGGTCGCTATCGACGACGAGCTCGACTTTACCAAACAACAATCACCACTGCGACCCTTCAACACTCGATTCATCTAAATTCAAATAATTCAAATATTTTAACTAGAATTCGATATTGCGACGAACCTGCTGCGCAACAACTCCCGCATCCGCTTCTTTGTGCAAGGCAACAACCGCTCGACCCGGAGAGTGGCCGATGGCTGGCCAATGCATATCGCAATGTCTAAAGAGCAAATTGATCTTGCTAAAAGATGTTTTGCATACCTTAGTGAACATTCTTGCTTTTGACAATAGCATTTGTGGGCTATGCAACAGAGAAGGCGGGCTGTGATGATGAATGGTAATGAGATGAGTAGGAGGACGGACAGCAGTAAAGTTAGCACGAATCCGAATATATACTGAAAAGGGGATTTTTTTAATCTCCTCAACCAAAAAATCGATGTTTTCAGAATCAGGATTTTCCAAAATCTTGAATTTTCAGGTTTTCGAGTTTTGAGAATCTCAGATTTTCATACTGTAGAATTTTATTTCCGAACCGAATGTCAGACCTAGAGGTTAAATTCGCTAAAGCTCTGAAAGTCGGCTTAGTCCATAAGATTTACAATCTTTTAAAAATTCTAGTTTTTTTGGAAATTCGAGTATGTAAATTCGGTATTCCGGTTACCGTGCTTCCTACGCAATTACTGCAAAATATTGTAAAGTTTTTAGGAAACTATGAAGCATCCACAAACCTTAATTGGTGTACAGACGACGGGACGGCTTCTAAACCGCAACAATGGTGGGCTGGCCCACGAAGGACCTCCCGACCTCGGTCCTTCGGAACCCACGGGCCCGCCAGGCATGCATGCGGCTCGACGGCCTCGCCACGCAGCCCAGTGCTCTAATCACCCGGTGATCCGCCTCACCCTCTTCTTTCCCTCAGGTCAGTGAGCGCTACAATATTCAATATCGGGTCATATTTTAAAGTCCAAGAAATGACACGCGAAAGTTCAGGAAAAAGTTGGAAATCAAGCCAAGCGGGGATGTGAAAGGGCTCACTAATAGAAAGGCGAAAATAGATAAATATGTATCTGCAGCTCCCTGAAGATGGAAGGCCTATAAGGACGTAAGTAAACAATTCACAGCCAGAGTAGCTTACTGCGGATCTTTGGCAAGCTCGTTAATAAGAGTACGGAAAAGAAATTGTATCCAAATTTAAAGTATCGTAAAGCTTATGTTTTTCTAAAACAAATTTTGAATAGTTTTTGGTTTGTAAGTTATAATTTCAAGGTTCCACGCGGTACATGGACCTGTGTTGAATTTGAACTTCCTCACTGCGAACCCAAACAACATCTATAATATACCTTAAATTTGAAATGAAAAAGCAAATAGGATTTGTTGATAGTAAAGGTATTCTAAAAGTGGAACCTTACAGCCAGGTAGCTGACCGGAAGCGGAGCCATTCTGGGGGGCTAGAGGCCCTAGGATGAGTGACACATTGGTGGGGGTGTGCGCCCGGGGTCTGGGCCCGCATTGAGAAGACCGCAAACGAGAAATAGAAAAAGAATGACCGCAACGCCTACGGGCACGCGCAGCGGAAGGCCCTAGATCAATGCCCCTCATTATGTTCTAATAACCCGGCTCTATGCTTCCCACACCATCACTGACAAAAATGAGGGAACATCTACGGAAAAAGAGAATAAAAACAGTGGTTACCCCGATTCGCGCGTCAAACGCTCACGCTAATCGGCAGTGTCCAGCCCCAACGGGGCTATTGGAACAAGTAATTTGAGGAAGACGGCTATCGAGGATGCTAGATGAGGGAATTATTGTATACGAACTGAAATGTTGCCATTAGAGATATCAAAGAGCCTAAAAGTAATGACGTCTAAAGTAGCTCTCCGGAAATTGCCAAACTCGGCTTTAGTAAATCCAATCAGTCTTGAATAGATGCATTTGTCCGTTTAAAAGTAGTTAAATAAAAGATTAATAAAAAACCTAAAACTCGGACGAATTTCATAGATAAAACCCGGAATTATTAGCATGAAACATCCCTGTAAATAACTGGATAAAACCATTCATAATTCATATATTTTATTCCAGGCTTGTAATGTAATGTAGATGAATTCGACGAAAGCCTAATTTTAAAATGCCAATGACACTCTTGATCTTCTGAGAAGGTCCACGATTCATGAAATTAACAGGGAGATGTAATGAGGCTAGAAGGGTTGAAATTTGTAACGATCTGTAGCACAGAATTTACAACAAAAATACGAAACGGCTGTTCGTTTTTAATTCACCATGCGCAGTATCAACTTGAGATAAGGCTTCGGTGTGCCGCTTAAATTTGGAACTCAAAAGATATTCCTGCGTGATTTCGAAATGTTTATCATTTTTGATAGTTATCTTCGTCCGCTAGCGGCCTGCTAACCTCGCCAAATTTCTCTGGAAGAGACATAATATCCACCATTTCACTGAAATACGTAATTATACACCCTTTTCTTTTTCTTGTGGGACGAATAGTTTGAAAACCACTCTGTGAGCTAACCGGTAAAAACAACGACTTACATCTGCTCTATGGTCATTCTATCAACTCTCTGGTTTTAGACCCTTTGATAAACGTCTATTAATGCATATCTTTTACCTTAATGCCCCTCCCTTGGCCTTTGCCGCTCTTCCAACCGTTGGGTGTATTGGCGCGTAGCAGTTGCCAAATCAGGTCGACGATGACGGCATGCCCTCGGGTAACGTATTGATAAGACGACGTGTTATGCCAGTTGTTGCTAAGTTCACTATTCCCGCATTCCCAACGATTCACTGGCTCAGTCTGTCATTCATTATCCTCTCCCTGCCCCTTTTTCAGTATATTATCGCCCCCTTTTCATTTGGTTTTCGTGTTTTACTATCGTTGCACCTTATTCTACACCTTATTTTACCCCTAAGAATTATGCTACTATTACCAGAGAGTTTGCTTAAAGTCATACTTACTTAGCGGTTTGAAGCCCAAAGCGCGTTTCTGATGTTTCCGCTGATTTATTGCCTTTGCAATATTGCGCAACAAAACGGAGACACATAGCGTAATTTTAAAAAAAAGAAGTACTAAGAAATATGCTTATTTGTTCCGAATTTAACTTTAGGTATCGTTATTCCTTTGCATAATTACTATCTTACGTTTTTAGCGCAAAACTCTATGCTACCAAAGTTGCAATTTTAGTAGACAGAGTTATCAAATGAACATGGGTCCCGATGGTGACGAGGGCTGGGATGAAGAAGGCAGAATGGAAGAAATGGTTTTTAATTTAATGGTAGGTACGGTGCAAAAATATATTAAAATCTCTTTAGCAAGAGTTAGGCATCGACTTTGACACAGCCAACGCTTATTTGATGACGTCCGATTGGGATTACGAGCGTGCACTCGCAAGTCAAGGGTTAGTGATATTTCAGATATCTTAAAAATATTTTTTAAGTGACCAAGCCGCAGCGATGGACGAGGGGATTCGGAATCGCCGGCCAGCCGCCGCTCCCGTGCCCGCTAATAAGTAAGCTATCATGATTTTGCAACCACTCTAAGATTTTCGACAGTTAGATTTTTAGCCATGGCTAGAAACGATTGGATGAGTGGCTTACATCGCAAAAACCGATAATGTTTAGTGACGCAGCTGTCCCTGGCCGAGCTGTACAGCCTCGCCAAGTTGGAATACTTGAGCTGCTTTCCCGTGTGATGGTGCTGCCCTTCTACGCCTTCTACTCGATATTATGCATTACCAGAGATCTTTTCTTCATGCTCAGTGAGTTCAAGTTATTCAAGCGGAAATTTCTATAGCTTTTTCACTCGATGGCTTTTTCAAACTCTTGGTTTGTCTTAAAGTGATCATTAGTGAAATGACAGGCCTAAAAACACCGCCCAATTTAGAAGCCCGTGTTTTCGGGCCTACACTCCCACCCACTGAACCTATCGAAGATGTGAACGATTTTATCGCTCGTCACGAAGAAGCCTTGGGCCCTGGTGGCGACCCATACAACTTTATTGCAGCTCCCTTCGTTGAGGTGATGCGGAGAGCCAAGAGTGAGCATCGCGTCCTGGCCGTTTTCTTCAGTTCCAATACGGTTTGTAAAAAATGTAAATCTAAGTTTAAAAATTCCAGGATGAAACGCGCCGTTTCCTGGGCACTCACCTGTACGCGCCCGGCTTGAAGCCGTTGCTCGAACAAATGCGGCCCTTGTTCTGGGGATGCAGCATTGAGCGCCCAGAGGGTAGAAATGGTAGGATTCAAAATTTCCGACCATACTCCATAATTAGTTTCCTCCCGAATGCAAGTCGAATCTGCGCCGTACCTGGGACTCTTCATTGTCACCGACTCCGTGCAAAGATTTGCGTCAGTCACAGCGTAAGTCTAGGTATCGGCAAGGCAAAAAAATCTTTTTAGCTCCGTAACACCGGATGCTGCCTTCGAGCGGCTGTTCAATGGATACAACTTGGTCAGGCCACAATTGGATGCCCTCGTCGCGCAACGGTATTCAGTCCCAATTTGCTTTTTGAGAAACCGTTTTTAGGGCTCGCCAAAGCGAAAGTGTGATGCTACGGGAAATGCAGGATCGGGAGTACGAAGAGAGCAAGGCTCGCGATCGCGAAGTAGCCGAGAAGAAGCGGAAGGAGGAGGCCGAGCGTAAGCAGCGCGAAGACGATCAATTGGCGCATGAATCACGAAAGGAGCAGCGCTATGCGGTAAGGTTTTTGAACTTCGTCACCATATTTTGTCCTAGAAACTCCGCGACTACAAGGAGAACCTCCGGCAAGAGTCGAAGGAGGGGTCTGGCGATACACGGATTCAAGTTACATTCCCGAACGGAACCCGTCAGAAATATTTGCTTGACAAGCACACATCAGCCGAGGTAACTCCACGTGCATGGCTAAATCGATAAAAATTCAGCGCTTCTTCGATCTGGTCTTCCAAAGCGAACCCTGCCCGTTGTACTTCAGTCTATTTCAAGCCGTACCACGACAGGTATTTAAAACCCAGATTCAAATTGATTTTTTAATTTTTTCTATTCGTCTATTTCAGGAAATTGGAATCGCCCCGACTTGGTATCGCGAGATCTGCGAGGAAAACTTGGAGGCTGGTGGCTGCACAATTGAAGCAATTTACCAACCACACGTAACGATCCACGACCTTAACATCCGAAACGGCGACAATTTGATGGTCCGTGATCTCGAGGCCTAAACTTGTGCGGGTTTTTTTTTGGGTGGTCAACTAGGAGAGGGGCTATACATAATAGTGAAAATATTGATTGTAAAAACTTAAGGATTTCATGCACAGTTCTGGCCTGCTATTATGATATAGTTTTTAATTCTCTGTAATTTTCGCTATACTTAAATCGCTACTTTCGTGCCTGCAAAGACCATCACAAGGTTGTTATCCATTTCCACCATTTCACACCCCGGATCGTGACGGAACGTGGCCATTCGCGTCCTGTTTGATCTCTTCAAAAATCCTGGACCTTCTAAAAGGTTGTTTAATGTTGTTCCCCCAGTCGTTTGTCCTGTGATACGACTCGTTCGTACGCCCATATCATAACGGGTATCCATTCCCCCGGATTTTTAACCGTCTCGGTTATTCCCCCCCCGTTTTTGTTTCCTTGTATTTCAATAAATTTTTTAAAGTATTTATAAGAATCACATTGGTATGAGGCATTGGTATGAGCATTTGTTAATTTTGAATTTATGAGGCAAATAAATTACACGTCGAGGCACACAGTAAGTGAACGTAAGAGTATAGCATAAGCGAGGAAGGAAAAGTGAAATGCTTGGACGGTACAACATGATATAATCTTCAACGGCATTTTGCGTGGACATATTGCTCAGTGAGCTCTTCGGCGTCGCGAATGTCGAAATTCTATAAAATTCATGCCGTTTGGTTATAATGAGCTATTTGGCGATACCTTTGTCAACTCGCACTCGTTGACCAACGTGTTTCGACTACCAGCATACAACATTTGCATGTCGGGAGGACACCCTAGAAAATATCAAACCCGAATCTTCTAAAATCTTCCAAAACTACCAGCTGGGCTGTAGAAGACCAAACACATTGGGTTTGAGATGCGGCCATCATCATGAACCTGTTTGTAGGACAGCAGAAGAAACCGTGGCTGTTGAGCTGGCAGCTCCTCGGCAACCTCCTCAATATCGCAATCCTGTAAACAATTTCCAGCTTAACGTTTTCGTAGCGTTCGACGCGCAAAATTTAAAACACTTAGTCAGACTAACGTTTAGCTCGGTATCGACCAAGAACTGCTGGGTGGCCTTGTCAATCTTCAAAAGCAGGGCCTGCGTGCCATCCCTTTTTTCGAATCGAAATTTCTTTAGCCTCTCTTTGACATCGTCAGGGATTGTGGAGATTGCGATAGTGCTGGCCATTGTTCTGAATTTTAATTTATGGGCTCTAAATAGCCGTTTTGATGGGAAGCAGACGAACAGTTCGGGATACTTGGATTTATACAGTGCTTTGCATGAACCAAAACCGAGGAGACATTAAATAACTTCATGCGGGGAGTTAAAGTATCGGAAAATCAATCTGCTCATGAAACCGCTTGAAACGACCAAAAAACCACGTTGATTAGCCACCAAGACGCAACTTCTTGAGTCAGGAAAAGCGTCGACACCATATTGTGCGCCCCTCTGACCGTGTCCGCCCCTCTTGGCAATCAGCCAGATCTGCCAAATTTCCTAGCATAGTGATGACCCTCCAATAATTTTGGGGCATGGTCTATCAGATTTTTCAGGGCCTCGCAGTTTACGTAACCACCTTTATCTAAACATATCGATTATAAATCTCAATCTAAATCTATTTTATCTGAACAAAACGCAATTTCGACGTTTTATAGATGACAGACATCAAAAAGAAGCCAAAATCGGCCCCGGAACGATGGGTCTCGATTTACCCAGCATATATCAACTCAAAAAGAACGCTGAAGGAGGGTAGACGGATTCCGGCTAGTGAGGTTTGTAGGATTTATTTACCAGACAATAACATAGGATAATTCAAACGTTAAGCCTCGTTTTTAGGCAGTTGAGGAGCCGACGGTCAAGGAGATTTTCGACATCCTTCAGACCAGCAACTATGCACCGGTTGCCGAGGTGGGTCCCGGAAGTTTTTGGATTTCAAAAAATAAAAATGCAAAAACTGGCAGATTTAAAAGTTGGTTTAATTTTTGGCATTTTTCGTAATACCAAATAGCAAAGCACCGAATACCGAACTCCCGCACTCTAAGACCGCGAACACTTGTAATTCTGAATTCCATAATCGCAGATTTCAAAACCCCGAATACAATTATGGTGTTTTCTAAATCGATCAATCAAAGCCGGGTCAAGGAACCTGATACTTTCCTTAAGTTTTCCTCGAAATCTACTTTTTCCTTGTTGTGCTCGCTCGGTATCTCGCCATGTTGGAGATCACAGCATAGAAAAAGAAGGTAATAAATCTTGATTTTAAAAAATGGCGGCGCTAGATTGACAAGTTAATTCGAGCTCATTGTTTATATGTTTAGGTCTTTTGGTATTCGAATTTCGAATTCGGGTGGAGTCAAATATTTCTTTAATTTTTATTTTGTGTACCCTTTCTATGGTACAAATTATGGTTTCAGCGCAAGATGTACCCCAGGGATCAGACATTGGATTGGGTCAAACAAGGCAGAGTGCGCGTCCAGCTTTATAATGATGATGGTTCGCTGAAGTTCCCGGATCTTGCCTCAAGTGAGTCCCGTGATGAATAAACATATACCGCCAACAATGAGTATGGACTTATTAACGGGACTAAGATGGGTGATTTTTACGTTTTTAGTTAAAGGGTTACGACGTAGCTCTTGACGGAGTGTTCTGGTTACTGCCAGTAGCAGAAAACGACATATTGATTTTAACAATTGACCGGATAAGCCTCTAAAATCCCAATTTTTACAGAATACGCTATTTATAAAAAACCTATAAACCCTTTTTCACCGTACTCGTTTTAGAACGAGCCCTCTATGCCCATGTTGCCGCAATGATCCCCAAACTGAAGTCACGTCAACCCGGCTTCGTAGCTTCCACCGAACAAGCCGCTGGAAGCAGCGGAAAGAAGAACAAGAAAAAGAAGTAGACGCCATTAGGAGCTCGGTATAAAACTTATTTCTGTAACTGGGATTTGTATTAGTCACCACTGGTAAGAAAAAGCACCGAAATATAAATTTTCTTCACCGAAATTGCCACTTATTTTGTTTCTAAACTGGAATAGTTGCTTCAATATTTTTATTTTCAATTATCTGGCTTTCCTGTGATATAAATTTATTGTTGTTTAATATAATGGTCATTGTGCTTGCGTAAAAGCCCAATTGTAACGTCATATTTATGTAATTTATGTCAGTGCTTTTGAAGAAAACTTATTTGTATGTATTTTATCGAATCGACACTACAAGTACGTACATGGACTATGGCATGGGAATAGATCGAAGATGAGATCTAGGCAATAGGAAGGAGTTTTGAACGACAATCGATTGCAATTATCAGATCAGAGATATATTGAATAAATTTTAGGGAAGGGGTTGATGATATTTAGGGTAGATTCAGCGAGCCATAGCTGTGAAGGTAGTGAGTGTCGGTGCTTTTTGTTTCTGAAACAAAATTGCTAGAAACTGCAGATAAATATTAAGGGGTTTAACTTAAAATAATCCTAGGGAAAAACTAACCAGCGCGATTTTGGAGGGAGATACGTCGGAGGGAATTGCGGGGTGGGAGAGGTTCTGGAACATCTAGATAGAGATCGTATGAGTTTGGATGCGGTGATTTTGAAGATAGTGAAGCAAAAGTATGAACTACTAGCTGTTTCAAAAAACTTCAAGGTAACTTACCAATATTCAAAACTGATCCCTTCTTCGGGGAGACGGCCAGAAGGTTAGCCCATGCGAGGGTGAAGGCATTGGAGAAAGACCAGTTGGAGCGGGATTCAGAGGACGACATGATTGCTGTTTCTAGAATTTAAGAGGTTATTTTAAAGCCACAATACAATTATAGCAAAAAAAGGTAGAAGAATGACTTTGGATAAATTGTAATAATCCAAAAACTAAAGTCCAATTCAAAAATCTGTAGAATAAGGGATCGAAAGACCACCCAAAAAGCTCGCCGTTCCTCAAAAGTGCGACTCAAATGTTCGAACAGTCCAATCTGTTGTTATTATATAATGCGATAAGTGGGCGGGCGCCGTGTGAGGGTGGGAGCCGGTAAATACAGTTATCAGCTGTCTCGTCAACCATCGCCTCTCCTTGTAGGAGATGCGCTGTCAACAAGAGGACAACGACTAAAGGCTATCGAACAACAATGCAGGAAGAAATGGCTAGTAGCAAGTACATTCTAATCTTTTACTTCTTTGATCACTTACAGATGTACCGTCGGGGCATTGGGTAGTGGGATGCACGTTTTAGGGTGTACCTTGTGTTAGGTTGGAGATTGGAAAAAGAGGCACTACCTGCGCGTTACGATCCTGAGCAAGACAATTGTGTAAACATCCGTCTAATTTTAAAAAGCTTTAAATTTAAAGCGATAGGGACAGACACAGCAAGCTCTAAAGTACCAGAATTTTTGAGAGAACTTGTATCTAGCTTAAAACTGCTCGGAATCATCGCCAAGCTGAATAAAATGCATCTCTAACATTTGTGAGAAAGTTTTTTGGAGGCGAGGGTACTTTAAAAATGGATCCTATTAGAGAAAATACAGTAACTGCTGAAACCATAACATAAATTTCTACCTACCTCCCTCCTCCTTTCGCCCCCTCAGAAAAGCACCGGAAACGGCTCCCATTGTGAACGGACAAATGGACACGTTTTCCCCCTCCAAGCCAAAATCCGCCGTCCGCGCAACAACATTGATTATGGGCTTAGGGTCAGGCAAGTTGAGCATGAACACGCCGCCGGGCTTCTCCCCTCACCCTCATTCCCTCCAGGTGCCCTAATCCCCCCATTGCCATCGGGAGACAAATGAAAAGCGGTGCCATAGACAACACGGTCTCGCCTCCGGGCTTTTGGCCGGCCCTCCGGCTAACCGACCGACTGGCTGGCTGTCTGTGGCCCATGTGATCTGTGGGAAGGAAGGTCGGGGTGAGATCGTTGGCAAATGCTTTGACCTCCCGACGTCACACATGCCTGCAGGCTTTTCCGAAAAATGGGATCGACACCCGAAAACAGCAACTGTTCGCGATTCCTTTGAGAGGTCAGGTTTTGGCAGGGGATACTTTGGGAAGGTAAGCGAGATTTATGGAAACCTACACGACGTAGTTCAAAATTCTAGATTAACTAAAGCGCAGGTGCTTTGCATCAGTTCCTCTGCGTAATTAGGTGCAAACGCGCGCTTAAAGCTAATTATACTTACTTACTATATATACTACCCGCGCTCTATAACAAATTAGAAAGGCAAACGACGACCTCGGCTTTATTCCTTGCGAAGTCGGGTAAGTTATATGCAACACCCTATTAAAGATAGATTCATATTTGCTATTCTTCCTGAAGAAAAAATCCATACTGTAAGATCCAAAGGCTACAAACTTTAAGCCGAACTTTGTGCCCACTTTACAGGCCCTTTAAAACCCAGAATTCGCTGCATTGATCACGGAAATCGGAGCGATGCGGAAGCTCAACAGGGGCCACCGAGATGCCTTATCAACCAAACAGCCAGCAGACAGCTTGATCGAGGGCAGGCACGCCAGCTTTCCAGAACGGCTGTTGAGGAGCTTTGCGGAGGACAACATGTGAACATGTGCGAACGGTTATCGGCGAGAAAAAGTTCCGGGTAACGACTTTTGGAGAACAATTAAAGCCAAAATTCAGAAAAAAATCTACAATTGGAAAAGAGTCAACCGGCACACCAACGACGAAAAACGTGACGAGGACCAGAGCACACTTACGCTAATTACAACTTAAACCTATTTTATGTTAATTGGCATAAACCTTCCTGATCCCTTAAATATAGTATTGCCCACAATTTTTAAATGACAAACATAAAAACCAAAATTGTTGTCTGGGCTGCACTGTTGATCACCCTGATCATTCACCACCAATAAATATCGCCCGCGGTATCCGGTTCTCTCTCTTCATCTCTTTTTATCATTCTCTGTCCTCCTTCCTATTTTCTTTAGTAAACAAAAGCAACACCAAATCGGGGGCGAAAGTCGGTGGCCGGTGGCTGGGCGATCGTGGGCGAAACGTGATAAATATAGCAACATGACGTATCAAATGTGGGGTGGCTACAGCTCGATGACACGAGCTGTGTTCCATTGGCTAGGGATAGGGGATCTATGGGCCGATAGGGCAAGAGCTGCTGCTGCTGTTGCTCCTGTTTATCGACCAGACACCTAACGATTTTCCTGCCAACGCCGTTAGCTGGCTGTCAGCCATTGGTGGTTGCGAAATGAGTGGGACAGCTTCATCCCTGGGGTTCTGTTTGTTTGCCATAGGAAAAAAACAGCTGCTGGAAGAGATAACAAGCTAACAAAGGTGCGGTAGCCGGGTCTGCTGACCGTATAGTAGCACGAGGTGTGACTCCAAAAAAAGTGACCGCTGCTGGTCTGTTGGGATAATTTTGGATGCAAATAGCTAATTTCCGACGCGATTTCATAGGTTTTAATATTGATCTAAGGAAATAACAGGATATACGTTTTTCGAGCATGCGTGAGGCTTCAAAGAGAGCGGGCTAGAGCACTACAGAAAACAACAAAAGAAACGCTTCAAAGGGCCACATAGTGCTCTAGATACCTCAAAGCCCTCGGTTATCCCGAAAAGTCTTGGTAAAAGCCCCTCCTCTTGCAATATTCAGGAGAAGCGCCATGCGGAAATAGAGCTTCGGCTTCAATTAGGGGAACGCCACGACCTATTAGCCGTCCCGAAAGGAGGAGCACTTTAGCTTTTAGGGTTCAGAAGGTATGTATCGCGGGCGCCGGGGATAATTGTCTTTCGATCAAGTCTGAAAACTTCTAAAAAAGAAAAATAGTAAACATATTTCATGCACTACTCTAGATGAACGAATTGCAACAAAAGATCGGCAATTTTTTTGGATACAGTCTAGCCGTCTACAGCAACGTCCAGTTTTTACGGCTCAGACAGCAAACAAAAGATCTTCTTAATTTGAGAGCTCACGAAAGCCGAAAAATGATTTTTATTAAACTTAAATCTGAACTTACTTAACACCTCAAATCGGGATTGAGACTTCGAATATGGATTTTAGAGCGAAAAACGTGTTAATGGCCGATTTATTCCACTTACAATTACACCTCCTTAATTAACATTTTCGCGCTGAAAAACATGCTTTTTTTACAAATACGATTAATATTAATAAAATGCTAATTAAGAAAACAAACAAGACAAAAAGGGCTTGGCTTTCGAAAGCTATAAGAATCATTCCGATTGGACAGCTAGAATGGACATCATGGGACACCCTGTAGTTTCCGGAATAAAAAAGGAACCCCAAGCGACATCTGGCCAATCAGACAACTGGTGCTCCACCAACGCCAGACATTACTATCCACCCCCCACTACACACACGGCAATTCGTTTTTTAGGGCCCAGAGCCAAGCGAGAGCTACGGCGCTGGCCTGGGACACATGTGTCAGGGATCTGTTTGAGCACAGATCTCCCCCTCTTTCTTTTCCTCACCAACATGCACAGCTGCAAACGCTTTTACTGATCCTGGCCGTGCAAAACTTTCGTAGTTCGTTCGGCACTAGCTCACTAAATTACTAAAATGAGCACCTCGGCCCCGTTGGCTGATTTGGAGATTGTTAAAACTATTGGTAAGTTGCGTGTCTATTAATGCGCTTCAGAAGAAAATCTTTACCAACCACGTTTAGGTCTCGGCTCCTTTAATCGAGTACAATTAGTGAAAAATCGCAAAGATGGAAGATATTATGCTTTAAAAGTCATGAATATGGCGAAGGTATATTATATCCATAAAACCATACGCGCCCAGCTGTTCTCCAGATAATTTCCATAAACCAAATCAACTATGTCCATCAAGAAAAAGCCCTTCTAGCCGAAGCCCGACATCCTTTTATTGTATCACTGTAAGCATACTTATATGAATTGCAATAATTTTTTCTACCTTTAGATATCATACAGCCAAAAATGACCGTAACCTTTACCTATGCACAGAATTCCTGAGCGGCGGTGAATTGTACACACATTTGTACACGAAGAAAGTATTCTCATTCAATATCGCCCAATTTTTCGCTGCTGAAATCGCAGCCGCCTTCACATTCCTACATGGTATCTCCGTTGTGAGTTATTTGTCTTTGGTAAATTGTCGTAATTTTTAGGTTTACCGTGATTTAAAACCGGAAAACTTGGTCCTGTCCGAACAAGGCCATGTTAAACTCACCGATTTTGGTTTTGCCAAGAAGGTGGCTGGAAAGTAGCTTTATTTCTATTTTGCAAACACTCCTAATTTAGAACGTTTACCCTTTGCGGCACGGCTGAATATTTAGCGCCCGAAGTGGTGACACGTAGTGGTCATTCGTTTCCGGTAGACTGGTGGGCACTAGGTATGACTTGTTAGGCAAAGTATTTCAAGGTTTTCCAGGGATATTAACATACGAAATGCTTACGGGGCAACCGCCGTTTCAGGTTAAAAAATTTATTTATCTAACTGCAATTCATTTAGGGGGCTAACCAAGAAGAAACCTACGATCAAATTCAGCGGACTGAACCACGATTTTCCGACTCTATTAATGCAGTGTCCAGGTCGTTTCTAAATAAATTAAGTATAATATACATAATTCTAGATCCTTCATTTCTGATCTTCTGGAAAAGGACCCTAGCCGTCGCTTGGGAACTACGGATTCTGAAGTGAAACAACACCCATTTTTCACGGAAATAAACTTTGGGGATTTGGAAGCAGGCAAAGTCCAGGTAAAGTTATTCTAACTTTCTTTTATTTTTTCAGCCTCCGATCGTCCCGCATTTGGAAAGGGAGGATGACACACTTTATTTTCCGCCGTTTGATGAGAGTGATATTGAGGTAAGAAAACCATAGCTTCAGGCGAATACTGAGCGATTCGAGCCTTTTTCAGACCACTTCAAGATTTTGTGTTTTCCAGGAACCGCCATCCTCACAAAGAGACCGTGATCTTTTCGCTGAATGGTGAATGGACAGTTGGGAAAAACCGGTTTAAATAACGAATGTTCCTCAACTACCAAACTTCAACCTTCAAAGTCAATAAAAATTATTTCGTTGCAAACAATTCATAAAGTAAAATTCAGCGTCTCTTTAGCGCCAAGCGGGTTATAAATACATAAACTTAAATACTCACTTTTAAGCGTTTCTCATTGAAACCTTAGTGTTGAATAAATTATTATTAATTATTATTAAATATCGATATTACAGAATTATTTACGATATGACTTTATTCAATGATCGCTGAAAGTATAGCTTGAAGCACAATCTGGCTACATGGGCTTTATGACCGGGATACGACGGCGATACAGTACTCCAGCTTTACGGTGAAATACCCGGAACGGTTGTTGAAGAGAAGAGAATATTCTCCCTAAGCATATATATTCGAAGAAAGGGAAGATAAGCTCACCTGCGGCAACTTCTGCAGCTGACCCTCTTCGGGTAATTTCGAAGAAACAAGGTGAAGTTTTGGGAACAGCATGTCATTTGGGTCCTTAAGAATTACCATAAAGTTTTATGAGGTCCTATGAGGCTTACCTTGTTCCGACAGATCGAAAAATCGACATCGCCGCTAACCGTGAAATCCCAGAGTAGGGAACCGTTTTCAGGAATTGCAATCGGGACGGCAAAACGTTCACTTGGCGCAATATCCTGCAAGCTGTCTTTCTATTTAATGAACGTGTTTTCACACCTTTTTGGCAGATTTGGGGCGTTCGATTTTCGATCGATGATAGTGTTGGAAAGGCTGGTAGTAGTCCTGGGAGGTGATTTTCTTTCTGATGCTCACACCGGTTTCATCAGCATATGGTAGCTTGCTGACGAAATCTCCTGAAAATCGTGATGAAAACTTGTATTAAATGGAAGACATAAAATTCCTTGAATTCCACCCACCTCCATACTCTTTTGGAACGAACCAGCGCGGCAAATGTTTGTCCGCAAAATCCTTCTTATCACCAATGATCTCAATTAGTTGGCAATTCCGTTCATTCAAGAAAACCTGAAGTACATTAATATTTTAATTAATTTCTGTACTGAATTACCCTGGCCAGCTTCCACAGCAAACTAAGTGCTCTTGGCGGATTTACGAGGAAAATTCGCTGCACCATATCAGGGAACCTACAAGTAATATACTATTTTTATACTATTATTTACCATTATTACTATTATTATTACTATTATTATTATATACTATAGTAATATACTATTATTTAGTAACAATATAATACATTATTTAACAATCTTTCTTAAAACCTACCAATCCTGCCAAAGTGTAGAACGTAGCTGCCACATCTTCATATATCCGCTCATCGGATTCAGATAGTCAGTGATATTAATTGTGGCCAGGTCGAAGACCACGATAAATTGTACAGGTCCTTTTGATGGATCTTGAAGGGCTTCCCTCCTAAAACATTATTTTAGCCCTCTATACAGCGTTTTATTTACCTCAAAATCAATTGAAGCAGCATCTCCGAATATCCAAAGCAATGAAGTAAATAATCCGAGGTCTTCATCGTTTTAATAAACTACCAAAAAACTATATCAATTCAATAATCCAAACTTCTTTTGGCTGACTCCAAGCTCGTTCCACAAACAAGAACGAATTGGACTCCTCCAGCCATTGTTCATCCTAAAACCACCATTTGTATCTTTTTTTGCAGCTTTAAGTTTCACCTGTAATCGCGAAGAAGCAATAAAGGGCAGGTATTCCTGGATGCCCTCCATATCGAAAAACCTAAAGGAGTTCTGAAAGTTCCGAATATCGGTCGGCACTCACTTTTCAGGGAAATCCGCACCCTCAAAACCGGCGGCCTTCCTCGAGTTGATATATGATTGGAAGTGCTGCAATTTTTTGTTGTTTTTATAGATAAAATTCATTGCTGATTACCTTTGTAATTTGTTCCAGGTCTCCTTGATGTCCACGGATCCATCTGACAAGATTAAGATCAGTGTCAAGATCTGCGGGGATTCCACCGGGTAGCTTCTAAACATGATATGTAAGAACTAAACATAACAACAAGCGCAGTTTCTAACTTTATCTTAATATACTTACTTCATCAAGGAGCACTCGAAGCTCTTCAATCTGGGCCTTTTCTTTTTCCGAAGGGCCAGCTGCAGGCTTCGGACAATTCGAGGCCGTCATTCTGAAAAGTAAAACAATTTTTGCAAAAATTTTATACAGCTAGACATAAGGCCCGTGAATATTTATCGGGATCAAAAAAAAACGAGAAATTTCCAGCCCGAAAAAGCCAAAATAACATAAAACCGGAAAAATGCACGGACTACCGCATTGCATAATTGCGCGAATAATGAGGGAAGAGCCTTGACAATGTGTGAGAGCGTCCCCGAGCCTCCGCACTCTCCACCACCTCGAAGACTGACCTCAATTCAAAGGAGCACCAGGGTTTGAGAAAGAAGGAATGGGGGAAGGGGACACAACACAACCGAATGGAAGGATCCCGATCGAATCGACCCCGTTCAGGTCGGGCCAAGATTCGGTATAGATAGGTTGAGGAGGAGAACTTGGTCACCCGAACTTGGCGCCGTCGCTAAACAGTGACGTCATCGGAGAGCCAATCAGTTCAGCAAAGGATCGTGGCATGCGCCACTGCTCAGCAAGTTTTTTTGGGAACGAGCCAGACATATAGCTCTTCCTTTTTGGGATATCATTTTTGGCGTTTATATAGGAGCGTACAAGCCTCAAATGGATATAACAAAGTATGAAAAAGTAATCTACCGTATCTCTAACAAAATTGATGTAGCTGTTTCGGCGTTCCCCTGGTCATATTAAGGTGTTTAGGTAATTCGAAGTCGCAAAACCGAGGGAAATAGTAGAAAATGGTAACTTTCATTATTAATATGAAAATATGAGACGTCCTTCTATCAAAACCCCACTAAGGAAAGGTAAAGTTTAGATGCTAACAATTCGGTAGTTGTTATCAAGGTCAATAACCGAGTACATGACATTGATCCATGCCAGAAATAGCCTCAGGGTACTTTACGTAGTTTCCCCAGTTGGCGATCGGCCACGCTACGCGCTATCTGCTCGACCCATCCACTCGTCTAGGGCGGCGCCGGCGGTGAAAAGTGGCTGCCGGCTGCCGACGATGTTCAGATCTCATCTGACATACCCACACTTTTCCACACGTTGCTCAGATGCTGCTGTGAGCCGGAGCCACGCTGGACTCAGTCGCAAGAATACCCATCCACGAAATAAAGATACGGATCTACGTGAGCCGAAAAACTCGCGCTTCCTCATAATGCTAAAAGCCAGAGGCGTGTCGAATTATCTAACCGTTCTGGATGGACAAGTCCGAGAATATTTCTCAACCTGTGCGAATAGTGCGAAAAGGTGATCGCCCGGCCCGCGCCATGTTGATCTATTTCGAACGACATGAATCTTTTGGAAATTGTGCAAACACGAGTGGCTGCCCGCTGAATTGTGGCTCGGGCCGCACTGGAAAACAAGAATTGTTAGGCGACAAGACCCTATATTAGCGTACGTCAACGAAACATGCTTTTGCGGAGTACGGTATTTTAGAAAGCGTGGCTTTTCCGCTTCTACGACGTAGAAACCCTAAAACACGGATTTTTGTTGCCCGAGGACATGATCAACTGCGGCAAAGTCTTCACCTGAAATGAGAGCATTAATGATCATGGAAATTATCAACGAAGTCACTTTTTCAGGGCATCCAAATGGCTCAGCATACTCCAGTTTTGGTGCTCAAAAAAACATGCTATCATTTTTTTAGATCCTCGCTCCGGGACCATACCCGGCGAAATTTGAACTTCAAAAATACCCTCGCTTGTTCCAGCGGCTTGACCATGGGAGCTCATTGTCATATTGCATGCTTGCATTGCTTGCAACCCACATGTCCGATATCCGAATGAATCCATGTGAACAAACAAAAGACCCCGACCAAGCCATCGTTTTTCATCTACAAAGCTCTTTATGCATTCCCAAAACGAAGTCTCTCCTATTTTATTCAACCAGTTGACCGCGCCGGGCACCCTAATTAACCGTGGTACGCGCTTGCCGAGCGGCAGTCGTTTCGGATTTGGAACGGCTTAGTCAACGAATAGGACAGTTCAACAAGGCCCTCCCATTGATTCCGGTTCAACCTGCCCTTTTTAGCTCAATGATGAAGCCATTAAACATCAGATGGAGTTGGATTGCTCTACTATTGACATATTTCTTCCTAGGAATCTTCCTTATTTATCATTATCAGCACAGGTACATCATCTAACATTCTTGGGAATAATTTTTCTAGTCCACATGTGATCTCTACAATTACCGATCAAGAGCTCCTTGAAGGCAGTAAAGTAAAAATTCGCTATAATTCCGAGGAAGAAGGTTCTCAAAAAAAACCACATTTCTATGCTAAAATCCTTTTCAGCGAAGCAGCCAATAGAACTAGAGAATCCTCCGGAGGATGCTTCTAATAAAACGCGTCGTATGATTTTATTACAATTATCATTTGGTAGCGATTTCAGCCAACATCGCGCCCTGACCCGAGCTATGCCCACCTGGGAAAAACGAGCTCTGTGCGCCACCGTTTAAAGGTTTCCCTAGCAAATTTCGGGTAAGAACCGAGGATCCAACTGAAAACTATCCATGCAGCCCACAAAAGATGACAACGTTTCAGATATCTCAGAAATACCACCTATCTGCATGCGTCATTGAAAAATCAATGTCTACAGTTCTCGCCGCTGTGATGTGCTATCTGTACAATACCAGTGAATTCCTAGCTGCTAACCGTACTCTAGCAAACGAAGACTTCGAGCAACGGTTAGCCAGCCATGAGGCCGATCGACCTTTACAGATTTTGCCAAAAGAAAAATGAGGCTGGATCCTTGCGGGCAGTTCAAGCCCTTGAATCCGGAGCAAAGTAAGTCTTTTTGTGATCCCCAGATATTTTTTAGTTGGACCTATTTAGCCGTTGCGCGTGAGCCGATCGATCGCTTCTTGAGCGGATTCACTGATAAATGTATAAAGTAAGGAAACATTTTTAGCGCCACTGGGATCTTAGAGAGCAGAAACGCGGACCGCATAAGTGCTACAATTGTATGGGAAATCTTACATGTTTTATAAACAAGCAATATGAAAGGACGCTACGTGGGGCTTCCGTTCAGCTATTGACAAGGTTCTGATTAAGAATACGCGCGTGGAAGTCTAACAGCTATCGGATATGAAGATATACACTTCTACCCTCAAAGCTGGTAGGCCTTTCTCAAAGCTAACAATGTAATTGAAGGCGTTGCGGATTCAACCACCATTTTTCTGACTACAGTATAATTCATTACGGTTCTTCGGGACAATCTTATGAAGCAATGGTAAACAAGCTCTCAACAACTCTAAAACAAGCCGGCGTAGAAGATGCGTGAGTCAGTTGTGAAGCCGTACAAAAGTCACTGATCTCAAGTTCTCGATAAACCCGCCACCGGAATCAAAAAATTTAGGCATGTGGCTTGGATTGCTACTCAAATGCGAGATGGACGAACCGGTCACGCAACCCATCGATCCCTCGAGCGACAACGGGTAGAGGCAGAGCTGAAGGCCGATCCGAAGCTAATGACCATGCTGACGCGGATGTTTTACTACGATTTTTTGCTGTTCGGATTTCCATTGCCCGAAATCCAGAGCTGATCTAGCGAGATAAATTTATTAACCAGCAATAATGTGTTTTCTAATCGATCAACTAAAAAATCAACGAGATGCATTCAGCCCCATAGAAGCGAGAAGAGCGTCAACGGCACGATCTTAAAAAAAAACGTGAAACCGTAAAATCTCAGTAACCTGTCCATTAGGCAACGGTTCCGGCCCACTGCGGAAGCCAAGGTAGACAATCAACGGCACCGCACCCCACCTAGAATAAAAGGTAAATGCGCAATTGACCAAAGCTACCGAAACGTAAAGGCGCCGGTCTCCACAACGAGACTGACGAACTCTTTTTGCTTGTTGGTAAGCTTCATTTAGCCTAAAAATTGGAGTATCGAGCCAGCGTTCCTGTCTATTTATATATGTGCTTCGAAATGACGACCAGCAAAAACAACACAAATCGATCAAACAAGTCTTTATTCAGCGACAGCGATACTGGTAGATCTGTCTTTGGGTTGTAAAATCACAGATTTGCGGAATAGATTATGGAAAAGTTGTAATAGCAAGCATATTATGAACAGATATACAAAGATTAACTTCAGTGTCTTCTTTAGCAGCTTCAGGCGCCAACTCGGTCCCGGGGAATCAGCCGCAACTCACTGCCGTGCTTCAAAAAGACATTTCCTGCCGTCTGAGCGGGATTAACCCCGACGACATCGTTTGTGATGATTGCGGAAGTAGCAGCCGGCACCTAAATAAAGTATTTATATATGCGGTTTTCGGAAAACAGTTCCATTCCATTCGATCACACCGAGTAGAAAATGTCCGCTATTTCGGGTTAGCGGACCTACTTTGGGATTCTATCGAATTCCACCGTTTTTTCCACAGACCCTAGCGTATTCTGAGGCGCTGAGCTCAAAAAATACGAGCTCAGTGACAAACTACCTTAGAATTTTTTGGAAAATCGAGAAGGAAACCTTCGATCAAAGTGGGTCCGCTAAACCGAAATAACGTCCTGGTTTCGCTTTCCCCTCTACGCACAAAATTAATAAAACTCGCCTTAAACTCCTCAGCGGCATATTGTAGCACAGCAGTGAAAGGGGCCGTCCCGGGTACTTTCATACTACAAAAAGATTGTTTGAAAGAAAAGAAACATACACTTTGAAGGGGAGCTTCGGGTCGCTTGTTAGAGTGATCTTGAAGGAAATGAAGCCTCCAGCGCTCATCTGAAACAAAAATTTTGAAAAGATTCGGTAAGTGAAAGAAACAGGTTGGGAAAAGGCGTCGATAATGATAAGGAACTGTCAGGTTCAATTGTTTCCGTTAGAGCAACAACATGCATGCAAGCAGAAAATCCGAGAATATTAGGAGGATGTAATGCCGTGGGAAATTAAAATTGTCTTCCGAAAAAATCCGACTTTTATACTCAATGGGGGCTCAACACCCAATGCCTTCACGGCATACACCCGAGAAGCTGGCACCGGAAAGCTGGCGGTCAGCGTCGAAGGACCCGTCAAGTCCGAGATGCACTTTCAAGATCAGCAGGTTTGTTCTAACGACATCATCGACGATATCTAAAAGTCACAATATCAAATCCTTACCTCAACTTCAGGACGGCAGTTGCCGCGTCGATTAAATCGTCGCCGAACCAGGCGACTACCGAGTGTGTCAAATTCAACGAAGAGCACATCTATGATTCACCGTTCCACGTGAGCGCTGAGTATCACTTTACAACCAACAAATCCTCCAAATTCAATAAAGAAAAACACCAATCAACAAAATTCTTCAGGTCCAAATTGCGCCCGCTTCAGCGATGAAACAGACGAAAGGCCACCACCTGGAAGAAGCCAGCAGCTCATCGTCCGGGCTGACCGGCGAGGCATCCAGGGTCCAATACCACGGCCCAGGCCTTGACAAGTTCACCGTCGGCAAGCACAGCTCGTTCAACGATCTGCTGGTAGGTGTAGGCTTCTTCAATTCGATTCTTCAAAGCTAATTCTAAAACAGAAACTACGTGAACAGTAACTTTCACTCTCTTCTTTGTAGCCCCCAAACTATTGGTGGTCGCCGTCTCCACATCGAAAGGACTCTGTGAAGAAGTCATCGTCAAACGCATGGGTGCCGGTCATTTTGTCGTAAGTGGAATAGGCCTAAAAACAATACAAAATATCAAGATGAACTAAAGGATCCACGAGAAGGTGCGTAGGCTCACTTTGGTCTGACACGGCGACCGCGAAGTGCACGGATCCCCATTTCCGATCGAATCCAACTAAACACGACAACCGCCGATGCTCAACAAAATATTTATCGAATTCCTTGAGCCACCCCAGCTCTTGCCCCAATGGCACCGCTTCTTGTCGCTTTTTAAAGCCTAACTTCCAACTTTTTGCTGACCATCCGCACTTCCAACTACCATTCCAAACACCGTAGTTCCACTCCAATGCCGACCGTAGACAATAAATCAGTTATTCATTCTGATGTTCCCCGGGCAAAACGCAAATTAAAACTGGAAAATTTATTCAAAAAAAAGAACAACAACAACAATTATAGGTGAATCAACCAAATGCGAACAATCACTAGGCATTTGCGCGGTAGTTTCGCAGCTGGTCGGCGAATCGGTACTCGAGCGCGTGCTTGGCGTCGGTCAGCGAGAAGTTGTGCGCGTCGTTCTCCAAATCTTTCCTAAAACAAATCTATTAAATATACAATTAATGTCTTACAGATACTGCAGAAGGATGCGCTTGCCGCGTTGGCCATACTCCTTGGCGACGTAGAGCGGGACTGGTGTATGCACGGGCAAGTTGACAATTTGATGGAGATAGCACAGATCATAAGTCATCATCTGAAGAAAGTGACATTCTCAAAAGAGAGTATACCTCGAGGTCATCCATCGTCAAACTGGCGTCGTCGGCGACAACCGTGTAGCGTGGAGTCTTCGCGGTTCCTTGCAGTGCGACGTGCGAATTGAGGAAGAACTGGCGTCGGTGCGGGTGCATCAGGTCCCCGTCGATGACCGTGCCGGGCTCGACGTTCTGGCCCGTCGCATTGTCGTTTGGATTGGTCTGGAAGAAGATAATTGTTGGACGAAACAAGACCAAAAATACCTGGGACTTGAAGAACCGTGTAGAATGCTCCTTGTGCATTAGCAAATAGGTAAGGCGGTATTGGCCGACACGCTCCTTCAACAACGCCCGGATGTCGGTGATCTCCTGGGCCATCAGCTTCTGAATGCACGAGTCGACGAGGCCTGTCCGGTAAATGACGATATGCGGTGGCGGGCGCCTGGTGGTGCGGACCAGCGAGTCCAGACTGTAGCCAAGCAATTCGGCGCCGCGGAGCTACAAAAGAAAATTGTCCAAAATAAATTAGAAAAAACCCACCACCGCCTGTTTCGGAGGGCAGAAGTCCAATGCGAAGTCGCCCACGAAGCCCGTAACGTCGTAGCCAAAGTTTGCAGCATAGGGCAGAACAGTGAGCACAGACTTTTCCTTGCTACCGCCGATTGACATAGACTCTTCCTTCGTGAGATATGTGGGCGCGCCAACACCCAGTACAAAAATGGCGCCCCTCTCGAATTCGCTGAGGAATGGCGATTGCGACGGTGCCCTGGAAATTGCTGTAAACTACCAATAGCAAAGCAAATACCTCGATAGTTCAACGCAGGTGCCGCCCAGCTTTGTGTTCATCTTTTGAAGGATATTCTCGACAGTGGCGGCCTTTCCGGCGTCGAGTATTTGACGGGCGGTCTTCAGGCGGATATTTTGCGTCAGTACTTGATACTTGCGCTCGAAGTACTTGATCTCATCTTGGTACTTCAAGGAGTCGTCGCTGATGAATACCGCGAATTTGTAGCCGTATTGTTGCATCGTGCGGAAGGCTTGTTCGAGTTGATCAGGAGTAGTGCGCTAAAAACTTTCAAAGCACCGAAGCGGAAAAATACCTCGACACGGCCATTTGGGGCGATCTGCAGGCCAGTTTTTTCGGCGGCTTGTTGCAGGATCGAGGCCAGTCGCGCAAGGTCGAGTCTTGAGTTCTGATCGGTGGCAAGCTGGATGTAGATGGGCATCGGGACTTGTGCAGATTTGGCGAATTCGAAGCCGTTCGGTCGACGCCAACTGCCCCGGTTGGTGATGCCGCGCACCGGATTCGCCAAATTTCGATATCCAAATGCGGGCGCGGGAAGTTGTCGGGCGATTGTCTGAACGTATTTTAATAGTTAGCTGAAGTCGATACCTTCAATGGTTCTGCTGTTGCAATACGAAAGCCGGCATCGTCCAGAAGGTCAATTCCGATCTTCTCCCGGCGAATCATCTCCATAATCGTGCGCTGTCGATCCATGGGCAGAAGCGCTGAGCCCTAAATCCGAAAAATAATACTAACATCTAGCCCTCACCTTAACAATTATCGAAGAAATTTCTTGTGGCTGGTCGCCAAGATGCACAGAATTGCCCGCGGTAATAATTAGGCACTCGAGCGGAAAATGAAGCACCACATCCTTTCTCTTGCATTCGGCAAGGGGCGCCATCGGATATTGGAGGGTGATGTTATACTTCTCGTAAAAGTACTTTTCGATCGTCATTGTTTCTCCTCCCTCCTTTGGCGTGAACCTAAAGCAAATGACTGAAATCAAAAAGTTCAGCTTACTTCACAGACTGTGCAGTGCCGAAGATAATTTCTCCGATCGTGACTCTGCGGTGCGACGTTCCATATGAGGCATAGGCATGAGCACCTAGGCAAGAAATAAGATACGTCTAAAAAATCAGCACCTTTGAAGATCCGATTCAGCCGTGGCACATCTTCGTGGCTCCAAGTTGAAGATTTTATCCGTTGACAAAGCGCCATGGCCGATTGGATTACGGGCTGCGGGATGAGGAAACATTGCTTCTCGACATCTATCGTCATTCCGATGCGCATCTGGCGTTCCGCGCCCCGATAGAACTCGACGGCCTTCTTTGCGCCCGTCAGAAGTTGTTGCGAGTTTGAGGCCTAAAAGATATCAGTGGTTTTTAAAAAAAAGCTCTCACGATAACGTCGTTCCTGTGTAGTGGCTGCCGAAGGTACACTTTACGGCCTTTAAAACATAGAAATTCGCTCTCCTCTTCCAGCGAGTCCTCCAGGCAGACGCGCATCACAGCCACCTCGATGTAGTCGCGGAACGATTCCTCCGCCCGCCGCCGTTCTTCGGTTGTTCCATCGAGGCCAACAAGGCCCTCTTCGGAAAACTAAAAAAAATGGTTTGCACAAATCCTGAAAAGGGGGCTACCTCGAATTTGTCCATCAGAGTAAAGCGGACCATCGTATTTTTCTGAGGTGGCATGTTAGCATCGTCTTCCAGTTGAAAAATGCCATAAAGGCAGCCGAGTGTCTGTTCCAGGTCGACGGGCACGTAGAGGGTCTGGTGATGATCGTAGAAGAGACTGCGGCATCCGATCATGTTCGTTTTCGTGAAGACGTGGCGAAGGATGCGGCCACAGTATTGCTTGTTCAGCGTCGCCAGCGGGCTAAAGACAAATTGGGTAAAATTGGGAGAAATACCCTGAAGTCGAGCGTGTTAGGTTGATGCGCGTGCCAGCCGGATCTTCGAGGTCGACCCGGAAGCTGACGTACACCTCGACGTTGTACTTGTATAGCGTCCGTCCTTCTGGCGCCATCTCCACGTGGAAGAGGTTCGTGTAGAGGTTCTTCTTCGCGCCGAGCACTCCGCCCGCTATCGGGTTCGGGAGCTGCATCATGTCGCGATCTTCTAAATTGAAACGTGGTTACGAGAACAGCAGAATCCTACAAAAAGAGCACCACCGAGAGAAACGAGAACTAAATCGAAATTTATCAGCGCGAAATCTGAAAAATCCTAACAGGACGGGTAATTCCCGAAAATCGAAAGCACGAACCGCGTATGCTCGAGAAATACCGTAACATCGAAACGCCGCTGCAAGACCAGGCGTCGATAGTAGCCGCCCGGAAATGTCATCCTCAAAAATTTAAAATTTTACAGCTTTGCAAGTCAATAATAAAAGAAAATAAATAATAAATAGAAATCAATTTCGGGGCATGTAGAGACAAATTTTGCGTCTCGAGCGATGCCAAATCCCTAAAATTTTAGAAAACTTTATCGAGCGATTTCTTGCAACTAAAGGTTGAAAATAAAGGAACCGGAAGTGAATTTCAATAACGATTTATAACCCTGAAAATGCCTGAATCAATACCGGAAATGCTCGAGATTAGCATAGAAATCCATAAATAAAATAAAAACGGGCCCCCCGGATCGGCCACTTTCTTCTTTTACTCGAAACTGCTGATGGCGATGCTGCTCGACGAGCCCGACGAGGTGATGTCGAAGCGCTCCTGGAAGTCTAATCTAAAAGGTACGTTGGCACTTTTTTCGAAAACCTACCTTCTTTTTTCAGTTCTCGACAACAACTACACGCACTCGATTTCGAAAGCGGCCATCGGCGTGCACTTCAAGACGGCCGTCGCCGTGAACGTTTACGACCGTGAAGGATGGGACCAGTGGACGGACGGCATGGTGGAAATTGGCCGGGCCGTCGTGATGAACGAGCAGCGTAAGGGATTTTTTCGCGAAGATACGCTTTTTTTCCTTGCCTTGCTTTTCAACACTTTCTTGAGCAACGAGAAATTTCCTGGCGAAAATTTAGTCATCTTTTTAGGACAAGCCCGGCTCCGGGAGCGCGAAGCGCGCAAACTCGCCAACCGCATGCGGCGCCCCAATTGGAACGGGAAGTACGGCTTCGCCCAGCTCATCAACAGCCGACAAGACGCCGAAGCGCTCGTCACCAGCGTCGACAAGTGCGAGCCTCCAAATGTCGTGCAAAATGGTTTAGGGGCCAGTTGCCGCGCATGCTCGTCTCGCACTGCAACCAGATGCGCGTCCTTCGAATCTCGAACGCGGTGAGCAAGGGTTGTGATGGTTTTGAGCTTTTGTTTTAGAGGATGCAGCTGGCGCTTGCTGTCGAGGAGCACAAGGCGCTGCTGGCCAGGGAGTACGCCGAGGAGTGCCACGTGAAGATGAACCTGCTGCGGGATGAGAGCGCCTTCTACCGCCGGCAGCTGATGATGTTCCTCACCGACGAGGAAGAGGAATCGGACGACGAGCCGCTGGAAGCCGAAAACCACCTGCTCTTCACCTCGGTAAACGGAATCCCTTGATTTTTCGAACCCTTTTTATCCTAGGACACGCGCCGCATCAACCAGGCCCGAATGATGGCGCAGCAAAAGTGCAAGATGCCCTCCAAGCTCGCCACCGCCCACCACGACAAGCCGAGCGAGTTCAAGGCGGTCGTCGACAAGCTCGTGTACTACCTGCCCAAGCGAGTGAGCTTCATCCCCCATTTCAAATCGGCTCGCTTTTTAGATGAGCCCGCCAAAGAAGCCAGCCAGCCCGACTGAAACGAGCCCGATCGAGGTGGCGCGCAGCAGTGGACGGCTGCGCCTCCACCAATTGCCATCCCCGCCCTGTCTCGTCTACACCCCGGTGCTCGCTGAACGGACACATGCCGAGCTGACGCCGTCCACTTCCGGCACCAACACGACCTTCGACTTCCCCGGCTCGTCCCTGATTTCGCCGCCCCGTACCGCTCGCCCTCCATCATACGGGCCGGGCCTCGACGACCCCACCTCGCCGCTTCCGTTGGTACGTTTTTGTAATACTAGCGAAATCATAGCATGATTTTTTTTTCGCTTCGATTTGATATTTTCCTTCTATAGATGGAGATGAAGGCCGCGCTGCGCGTCGACGAAAAGGCCTCGATCGGCCTGGACGATGCGGTGGATCTGCTGGAGAAGGGCCAGCTCGAGCAGCAGCAACCGCCCCAGATCAAGCGTCGCTGCGGCCTTTTCCGCACCATCGGCAAGCTGCTGACGCCCAGCAGGAAGAAGACGCGCCCCGAAAACCGCTGAATGATCACCATTACTCGTTCATTATTTATTCTTGTCGTATCGAAGTGTTGTGTAATAAAGAGTTAAAGAGTTCAGCTTACGCGGCTTGTTGGGTGGGAAAGCGATTGCACTTTGAAAATAGATTTATTGACCTTACTACATGAACACATCACAATACATTAACTCGGCAAATGTGAGCACAGAAACTAGGGGAAAAGTTGTAAAACTACAGATGGATCACACCAATGGAATGGAGGCAGGGGTGGGGACATAAATGCAAAGGGGCTGTGTAAATTCAGAGGAACTGCTCGAACCAGCGGACCATGTTGATGGAAAAGTCGGCTTCAACCTCGACTTCTTCAAGCGGGTGGCACGACGGCGGGTAGGTAAGAACCCTGGGAAAAGGACGTTTACGTGTAAAGCAACTTTCGGCTTACTTGGTGGGGACCTTTCGGGCCTGCAGCGCGCGTATCAGCCACGGTAGTGTGGGACGACGCGCAGATCCTTTTGCCCGATCAGAAGCAGATATGGAGTTTTCACCTAAAACCAATTGAGGGTAAAACTCAGGAAAAGGTGCCCTACCTTGTCCAGGTGGTGAACCGGCGAGCATCGCACCATCGCGTCACGCTCTTCCGCGTTCGGGGCCCGGGTCCACTCCGTTCCTTGCCGAGCGCCTCGTACCATGTCCTGAAAGTGAAAATAAGCTCTCAGAATCGCAAATTCTATTATGGCAGTCGCGGGATTGTTTTTCACCATCCTTGAACGTAAAAACTTTACTAAAGTTCGTTTAAAACGCACTAAAAATGTTGATTTTCAAAAAAAAGATGATAATGTTTTTATCAATTTTCAAATTTTCCTACGTTTTTCCATGTTTATAAGTGGTTTTTACAAAGCAATACGATTTTAAATGACAAACTACATTAAAAGGAACACCAACCAGTCCGTAATGTCGGTGATCTCGTACATGGCCGAAATGTTGAGCACCGGGTTCAGGGCACAGCAGGCGCGGTAGAAGTCCTAAAACAAGGCATTTCATTTGAAAAAGGAATAATCCATACTGGATATTGTCCGATCAGATGGGAAACGGTGAAGCCTCCGTGGCTGCCGCCGAAACAGACGACTTTTCTCTGCTCTGCTACTCGATTTCGAGAGCGGCCATCGGCGTGCACTTCACGACGGCGGTCGCCGTGAACCTCTACGACCTTGACGGATGGGACCAGTGGACGGACGGTATGGATTGGCGCACCGTCGGGATGAACGAGCAGAGAAAAGCATTTGTGCGAAAATGCGCTTTTTCTTTCCTAACTTTTCGGAAGGTTCTTGAGATCTAGAGGTTAGCGGAAATTTATTTTGCTTTTTAGGACGAGCCCGGCTCCCGGAGCGCGAAGCGCGCAACGGCCGAATTGGAACGGAAAGCACGGATTCGCCCAGCTCATTAACAGCCGACAAGACGATGCACCTGTCGAGGAGCACAAGGCGCTGCTAGCAAGCGAGTATGTGCCACATGAAGATGAATTTGCTGCGGGACGAGAGCGTCTTCTACCGCCGGCAGCTGATGATGTCCACCCGTAAGCGCATTTTCTTGGGCTAAAGCTAGTTAGGCCAAACATGAAAGCATTTCGAAAGAAAGAAAAAAAGTAATTTTCCATTCTATTTTTTCTAATACTGTTCAAAACTAGTCATTTTCTAGGCAATCCCGTGTTCTTTGGATCGGTGGCCGACGTCTACGGGAAGGAAGAGGAACCGGATGACCAACCGCTGGAAGCCGAGACCCACCTGCTCTTCAAACCGGTAATTTGAATCGTCCTTTTCTGGAAGCCATTTTTTATTCCAGGACACGCGCCACATCAACCAGGCCCGAATGGTCGTAGTAGTCAAATGCGAGATGGCCGGACCGGTCACGCAACCCATCGATCTCCCGAGCGACAACGGGTAGAGGCAGAGCTGAAGGCCGATCCGAAGCTAATGACCATGCTGACGCGGATGTTTTACTACGATTTTTTGCTGTTCGGATTTCCAATGCCCGAAATCCAGAGCTGATCTAGCGAGATAAATTTATTAACCAGCAATAATGTGTTTTCTACTCGATCAACTAAACAATCAACGAGATGCATTCAGCCCCATAGAAGCGAGAAGAGCGTCAACGGCACGATCTTAAAAAAATCGTGAAACCGTAAAATCTCAGTAACCTGTCCATTAGGCAACGGTTCCGGCCCACTGCGGAAGCCAAGGTAGACAATCAACGGCACCGCACCCCACCTAGAATAAAAGGTAAATGCGCAATTGACCAAAGCTACCGAAACGTAAAGGCGCCGGTCTCCACAACGAGACTGACGAACTCTTTTTGCTTGTTGGTAAGCTTCATTTAGCCTAAAAATTGGAGTATCGAGCCAGCGTTCCTGTCTATTTATATATGTGCTTCGAAATGACGACCAGCAAAAACAACACAAATAGATCAAACAAGTCTTTATTCAGCGACAGCGATACTGGTAGATCTGTCTTTGGGTTGTAACATCACAGATTTGCGGAATAGATTATGGAAAAGTTGTAATAGCAGGCATATTATGAACAGATATACAAAGATCAACTTCAGTGTCTTCTTTAGCAGCTTCAGGCGCCAACTCGGTCCCGGGGAATCAGCCGCAACTCACTGCCGTGCTTCAAAAAGACATTTCCTGCCGTCTGAGCGGGATTAACCCCGACGCCATCGTTTGTGATGATTGCGGAAGTAGCAGCCGGCACCTAAATAAAGTATTTATATATGCGGTTTTCGGAAAACAGTTCCATTCCATTCGATAATACCGAGTAGAAAATGTCCGCTATTTCGGGTTAGCGGACCCACTTTGGGATTCTATCGAATTCCACCGTTTTTTCACAGATCCTATCGTATTCTGAAGCGCTGAGCTCAGAAAATGCGAGCTCAGTGACAAACTACCTTAGAATTTTTTGGAAAATCGAGAAGGAAACCTTCGATCAAAGTGGGTCCGCTAAACCGAAATAGCGTCCTGGTTACGCTTTCCCCTCTACGCACAAAATTAATAACACTCGCCTTAAACTCTTCAGCGGCATATTGTAGCACAGCAGTGAAAGGGGCCGTCCCAGGTACCTTCATACTAAAAAAAAATATTATTTGAAAGAATAAAGAAACATACACTTTGAAGGGGAGCTTCGGGTCGCTTGTTAGAGTGATCTTGAAGGAAATGAAGCCTTCGGCACTCATCTGAAACAAAAATTTGAAAAGGTTGCTTACAAAATCGAAGAACATTGAAAAAAGAGTCGATACGGACAAAGAACTGTCAGGTTCAAATGTTTTAGTTAGAGGAACACCATGGCGGCAAGAAGGAGATTTGAGATTATTAGGCGAATGTTTCAGAGGGAGAAATTAAAATTGCCTTCCAACAAATTCGCCGTCTATACTCAATTGGGGCTACGCGGCGCGGCTCTGCACGACGATTATATGCGCGGGGCGACGTGACAGATCCGGCAAGGTCCAGTCTCGATCGAAAGCGTGTCATTACCCGCAAAGCTTCCCATTTCGTCCAAGACCGAGTGCCTGGACCCTTTCGACATCACTGCCGTCACTTTGTCATCCGCCTACTTTCGCCGGAAATGATTATTAAAGAATAGTGAGTTTTACAAGTAAAATTTTGTTAGGATGCTCCGTAATCGACGAATTTCTTAATTCGGCGAATTGGTGGTATTTTTGCGTGAAAAGGGAATGTTTTCTTAAGGATACATGTGCATAAGGGTGAAGAGCTAATAACTCCTTGAGAATTACGGTTTGGTAAGCAGCAAACCCTCTTTTACCCGAAATATTGAGCCTTTTTACCTGTTTGCTGAACGGCGGATGAATGAGAATCACGCATTCATTTTAAAAATTAAATATTTCCATTCCAGCCGCATCGTACTGCCACTGACGGTCGAAGAGTATCAAGTGGGACAACTGTGGTCCGTTGCCGAAGCGAGTAAAAACGAGACGGGCGGAGGCGAAGGCGTTGAGGTGTGCTTTGTTGCCTCCAAATTGGTCTTGTATTGTGAGACTGAATTATCCTCTCGCGGTGCTAACAGGTGTTTTGATTTATGGATTATCCTGATGGATCGATCTTCATCTAGCAAATTAGTTAAATCGAATTAGATCAACTTCCAGCGCTACTTTCACACAGCTGTTTTTTGACGGGGTCCGTATCAATTCTATTTTTCAGGTCTTGAAAAACGAGCCGTACTCTGGAGTGCCACTGCACGACGGGAAATACAGCCAAGGACAATATACCCACAAGATCTACCATTTACAATCGTAAGTTTCCACTTGCCTATTTTTCGCTTTTTGACCAGCTGATAAAGTGGGTTATTTTCAGGAAAGTTCCATCCTTGGTTCGGCGTGTGGCACCGAAGGGTTCACTGGCTATTCATGAAGAAGCGTGGAACGCGTATCCCTATTGTCGGACCGTGCTAACGGTGAGTTTTCGTAATTTTGACACTCGTTTTGCCCGCTATGTACCGGAAATTACCGTGGTCGCGACGGGTGTAATAATCCGTTTGGTACAATTTTTGGAAACTGATGTATTTTGTTCTAGAACCCCGACTACATGAAAGATAACTTCTTCGTGAAGGTGGAGACGATCCATCTGCCAGACCGAGGCGAAACAGAAAACGTACGCAGTTTTTTTTTAATCGATTTAAGAATATTATTTATAGGCTCACAATCTGCCACCTGAGGTGCTCGCCAAACGAGAGGTCGTCCAATTGGATATTGCTAACGACAAAGAACATCTTGCAACATCGGACATCAAGGCGGAAACTAGTCCAAACCTCTACAAAAGTGCCAAGACTGGTCGAGGTATGTTTAATTTCGATTAAAGAATTTTGTAGTTTTGGGGATTTCCTGACGAAAGTGTGGCTCTCATAGTTGTGTTTATTTAGATGTACTAGAAGGTTAGTTAGGTAGTAAGCGGAATTCCTTTATGCTATTCTAGCGATTAGCGCCCATGTCTTCATCAACTGATGGATAAACCAGTCGCGTTAGCCTTCTTCTCATCCCAACTCGAATAGGCTTTTATCTATTGAGCCAAGCGGTACGGCGTTCAATGCATGTTTATAAAATATGCTTCCGTCGCTCTTTCCCTTTCTCCCGGCTGTTTGGCTGTCTGCTGGGGGCTGACTATCGATTCTGGGCACCACCCTAACAAATAAATGGGCACGGCGCCGCTCTGGTAATTGACGGCTTTATTACGGGGACAGGACTAATCAGCGATTTGGCGTTTCAAAAAGGGGGACTTTTACTTAAAGCATATTTTATATTATTAATTTTCGACATTTCCAGGCCCTCTCGCTCCCGGCTGGCGCAAGTCATGTGAACCGGTGATGTGTGCGTACAAACTGGTGACTGTCCACTTCAAATGGTTCGGCTTCCAAACGATGATCGAGAAATTCACACACACGCAATACCCGCGGCTCTTCTCCAAATTCCACCGAGAAGTCTTCTGCTGGCTAGATCAATGGCACGGCCTGACGATGCAAGACATTCGAGCAATCGAGGATCTCGCCCAAAGAGAGCTCGAGGAGCAACGTACAAAAGGAGCTGTTCGTGGAATGACCGCCAACTAGCAACACCCTCCCCCTCCTGTCATGCCAAAGAAGCTCTGGAGCAGCAAGCCTTGGAAGAGCAACTCATTGCTGCGCTAAAGCTCCTTTGTGTAGGATTATTAGCTGTGAATGAACATTAACTCTTTAGTAATTTCCCCCGTAAAATGTGTGATGATTGATGTTTTTTTCTCTAATCAGGGCTTAACATCCTTTTTAGAGCATTGATTTCTAGGTTAATCAATGGCAAATTTCGTGTTCGTCAAAGATTTACTACTCACCCTCTAGGCCTCTATTGCTTGTTTTGATTGAGAGCGGGCTTTATATGGCTGCTGTTTTTGGCCCCTTCCACCGGTCTCCCTTTACAACCTGGTGTTCCTCCCTCCCCAATTTAACTGGCTCGGATTAGCGCCTGGCCATGTGCAATGCATTCCGGTTCCACCCCGCTAAGCTTTGCAGAAAATAGTATGGATTTCCAACGTCTGCTTTTTTTTTGAGGAATTGCATCCCGGCCGCTTATCCTTTCATATAGAAAGCTCTGTTTGCTTCAACCGCGCGAAACTCTTCAGCGGAGATGCTTCAGTTGTACTTAGGTTCGGGCCCATTTCGTATACACATATCGATACAAAATATTGCCCGAACATCTGTGCCATGCATTCCCTGCCCCCCTCTCATCCGCCCCCTCTTCTCTTGTGATAGCATTTTTGGCGTCGATTGGCTCCCTGAATTCTTAACATTTTTATGTAATCTTACATCAAGTTCTTCCTGGTTCTTCCAGCACTGTGCCCTATTTAATCGACGACGATCTCAGAGCTTGTGACATTGGAGAGTTAGCGCTACTTAGTACCTGACAAATAAAGATATATTGATGGCATTTCGTGCGAAGATATGAAAATACAGTTACCGACTTTGCCAATTACCTACAGATTTGAAACGACCGTTATGTACAAATTTTTGTAAGCCAGTTACCGAGCATTTTTCAAGAATGCGGAAACTAAAGGCGAATTTAGCATATCTCATGACAAGTGAAGATTCCTCTTTGGACGCTCAACCCTCGGCGTCCGGAAATCCATCGGACGGGGATGAAGCGAGAAAGCTTCGCGATAACGCGAATGCTGTCATCTTTGGTAGTTGGGACGGCAATAATTCGCCGGACGCTATGGTACAATCAACCCCCTTTCAAGTAACTATTTGCAGCTCGATGAGATGCTGAGGCGAACAGAAGATGAGTTGACCAAGAATCGCCCACCTCCAAAAGCACCTCTTGCAAGCGTACGTGTCATTTGTTTTGTTTTAATTTTTTTTCAGTATCAAGAGCTGAAGGAAGAGGAAAAATATATGAAGGCTTTTCAACAAACCTTGATTTTTACAACAGAGGTAATTTTTGGCGATTATAGATTGTATCGAAACTTGGTTCAGAAAGCGATGACGCACTACCGAAATGGAATCAAGAAAGAATTGGCAACGCACCCGCCGGCCGTTTTTCTACCGATTCGACCGGTTCGTTTTACTAACCCTAAGCTTATTTTGCCGTAATAGTGTCGAGAGTCTATTGAACGAAGGAATTTCGAATTTTCTGAAACGTGCTGTTTAGAAAAGTCCTACACAAGTGCAAGATGAAGAGACGCGGTTAAAGGGCTACTTGCACATGATGTGTGAGCAGCTGGGAGAACAGAAAAAGTCGCTTGAATTTCTGAAGACGGTAATCGATTTGCTCTTATTGACTACTGTGTAAACAGAGTGCGGCCGGCTCGTTCCTTGAACGGTGGATTCTAAAAGGAATCCTGCAAGATGGCTATGACGAAGATGGGGAAGAGGTCATCCCGTAAGTTTGAACAATGGGTTTCCTTAATTATTGTTTCTTTTTAGAAGGATTGACCTCGAAAAGCTGGTAGAGAAGGCGTTTGCGAAGTATTGCGGCCAGGTCTCCGATGCCGAAAAGACGAAAGAGTGACTGGAAACCGGGTTTTTTCTTCCCAATGTGATAATTTTTGCTCCTGAACAAACGCTATGAAAAGTGCTGCCGTATATGTGATCCGAATTACCATTTTCATTTCTGTTTCACGCTTTTAATGTCAATGCCTTTGTAATGATAACGAAATTCTTCAAAAAACGTTTGGTTTTCCCTGAATGATCCTGTTTTATGATTGTGATCACTCTGTACAGATCTCACCCTCACGAAAATCTTATTTTGTCATTTCCTGCGTGCACTTCAGGCGGCGGGTGGATGCCTTGATAAACTTATGTATGAAAATCTATTACTGACCTCATAAAAGTCGCTTCACTATAATCTTTTGACATGGCTTGATGGCTTGAATTCAAGGTTTTGCAGACCTATGACCGCTAATGGGTGGTCAAGTCTCGGTGGTCGGGTCTGTGAATGAATACATATCATCAGAAGAGGTCCGCAATTACGGTATCCAAGTTTTTTTATTTTGATAAGCCGTTGTAGTAAGCGACGAGGAATTTGAACGACTGAAGAGAGCTTTTGCGCGCTTCAAGAAAGGAGGCCTTAGTCAGGACGACTTCAAATACCATGTGCTTGGCGGGGCTCCGGTATGCATCCTTCCTTTTGATTTGACGTCTCGTATCCGGAAATGCTATATTTTCCATTCTATTCTTCTGAGAGCTAAACATTGCAGATTCCGAATGGAACATTGCGGGAGCTATTTCTTTATTTCACGCGCGGTGCCGACATCCTGACGTTCGAGAACCTGGTCACAGCATTGGTTGGCGTATGCAAAGTAGAACATGTGCAAACCGGTAACTTTTTTGGTTGTAAACTAATGATTTTTCTAGCATTTATCCAAAATCATCCGCAGTTCATCTCATGGAGTTCAAAAACACCGTTGCTATCGACGCCCATTCGCGACTCATACAGCTCTTTCTACGAGGTTATGTCCTATGTCACCCATTGTGAGTTTTATAAGTTGCGACGGATTACCGTGGTTTAGTATCAATTGCCGAAGTCCGAGAATTGGAAAAGGTTTTTGCGACGATCAGTGACCGGGGCCGATGCCGGATAACGCAGAAAAACTGGGAGGAGGCTGCAGCAGGTAACTGTTGGAATGAATCTGATACATATGGTTTTTAGGCTGTTTTCCTGAATGGTTCGTCAAGGGATTATTCTTCATCTTTGATGACAATCGAAATGGCTCGATTGATTTCCGCGAGCTCGTATGCGGGGTGTCAGCTTTATGTCGAGGGCCTGTACCATCTCGCCTCTCTTGTGAGTTTTGAAGATGGATCTCTTTCAATTTATTGAAGCGAAGTGTCGAATCCATTAAAATGTTGTTTTAGTTCTGGCAAAGCTTTGGGACGTGGATTTGGATGGATCGCTCTCCCAGGCTGAGCTGGAAAAGTTATACGAACAGTTACAAGTGGTACGTGGAAGAAAATAGCTGTCACCTATTTTTAAGCCATCTACAAGTCGGACGATAGCGGCAAGCCATGGCGAGAAGAGTGCTCCTGTCGATTTCGCTACTTGGGCAATCACGGAAGGTGCAGAATATGTCAAGGAGCTTTCGGAGATTTCTCTGGAAATTGGCCACATTTGCCTCGGCTTGCGGCCCGAGTCTCCTGAAGTTGAGCACCAAATTATCTCGTAGGGATTCTCCAATGTTTTTCACTATTTTTTAGGAATTTGTTGGAGCGAACCTCAAACCGTCTATTGCCACTTTCGAATATCGTCAGCGCCCAATGGCATCGTGAATGGAAGAAAGCGGTGCCGAAAATGCTTGTTTTTCAAGTCTAGTTTTTAGGTATTAGCCGGGAATCCCCCTCCGCCTGTTGACAATCGAGATATCGGAGGCACAAAGGAGGATCGTTCACCGAGTTCCATGGTTGCTTGCATCACAACTGAATCTGCCTGCTTGCGGTCAAATATTACCCCGGGCGACTACATTGCTGTTCCTCCCGTTGTTTGGCGGGCGCTGTTGCGATGGCATGGCAGCCAACAGTCGGTCAGTTTTCCGCTGACATTGATTTGTACACTACTGTTTAGGTCGATGGACAATTTACTCGACGGCGCCTGCCCGCGGACATAGCGGAGGATGGCACTGAGCAGTTGGAGCTCTTTCCATTGGATGTGATTTTAATGCGTCATGAGCAGAAGGTTTGAGGATTTGCAGCTGTGTGGCCTTAATTTCAAATTTCAGAAAGCGCCCACCCCGCGTGAAGAATCAAGTTATATTCCTTGGGCGTATGCTCAGGTTTCTCGCATGACAACAGTTGGGGAACTCCTTAAAATGGCAAAACTGGAGCTGAGATTGGGAGAGGAAGAAGCGCGGCTATGGCTGATTACAAAGAAAGACGAAAAGGTGAAACGACCCCTTTTCATCGTGAATTAGCAATTTAGGAGGCTCGACGTGAAAGTAAAGATAGCGGTAGCCGACGGAATGACACCGGCGCTAATTCTAAGGTTTTGTTCCCATATAATTCATAGATTCGCTTTAGGATGGGCGGATTTTTGGCCCGACGGAGAATTTATTGCTGGATGAACATGACTGGCCGCTTGCTCAGGTCTCTAAAAGCGCCACGAACCTGAAGGTAAATGCCCGATCTGATTTGACGCAGATTTTGCAGGTGTTCATTGAAATCCGCGAGAAATTCACTGGAATTTGGCCGGAAGAAGCTCGGATGGCTTCGATTGGCTCCGGGACTTTTGGGACAGCACACACAAATATTTTCCAGAAGGGGACGGTCGGATTGGTAAATTATTAACTGGACGAATATATAAACGTGCCTTTTTAGGTTAACTCCGGTAATACGTGCTACCGCAACGCCGCTCTCCAATGTCTGGCCCATGTCGCCCCATTAACAGAGTATTTGTTGGAATCTACAGAGGATGTTGAACGGTACAACCCGCGTAATATTAAAAAACGAATCTTTAGGGTGAAACACGCTTCCGGCTACGTGATTACGCAAGAATATATTAAACTCTTGAACGAAATGTGGGCTACCGCCGGCAAGATCATCTCTCCATCGTCATTTAATGTCTGTCACTTGTTGTTTTTTTTATCCTAAATTCGACATTCAGAGTGCAATCGATGAGACCGGCTATTTCTCGCCGGGACAAAACGACTGTCAAGAGTTCTTGGGTTTTTTGATGGACCAAGTAGAGACAACATTGAATCAAATGGTTAGCCAGATTAATTTTTCATATATGGATTTTAGTCCTTGGTCGAGCGAGGCTCACAGAACCAGCAAGGTCGTACACCAGCTAGCGACCAGAATGGCGAAGAGCCGACTGAAGAAGAAAGTTTATCGGCGAAAGCGTCTACTGCCTGGGCCAATTATATGGAGGCAAACAACAACATCGTTTCCAAACTGTTTGCCGGACAATCAAAGGTTATATTCCTTAGCTGCATTTACATATATTTCAGTCGACTGTGACCTGCCAATCGTGCAAAAAGACATCGTCCGTCTTCGAGCCCTTCACCGTCCTCTCGTTGCCAATCGAATTCGGCGAGGCCTTGCTTTTATGTGCCACTGTAGTCAAGCGGGACGGTACTCCACCCACTAGATATGGATTCCGTTTGCCAAAAGATTCGCATATTGGCGCATTTAAGGTAGCTTTACTAGTTCCTGAGGCTGATTATAAAGTTAGCTTTTAGAAAATTCTGATATTGTATATTTCAGGATGCCATCTCGGAAATCTGCGGGATCCCGAGCTCGCGATTCATACTATGTACAGAAGTCGAGGAACGAATCTATGTAGGCTATCACTAACGGTCTTTTTATCTGTTCCTTCTAGTGCTTCCGTGAAGATACAATGCGCGTTGCTGGGGCGATCAAGCCTTCTAGCACGGTGTTTGCTTTGGAGCTACCGGAAGATAATGATGGTCATTGGGTTCTCGCACAGCAACGATTTTTGGTAGGTTAGGCACCAAAAGCTGTTCATAAAGCTCTGTTTTACAGCAAGTCAACCAGGAGCCGCATTTTATCGCTTCCGTGAATGGGCTGTCGATGAAGAAATTCGGACTTCCCGTTATTTTGAAGTGTACGGTAAGAAACGTTGTAATTGGCTGTAATATGAGCATTAGGAAAAGACGACAGGCCTCGATCTTTATGCGGATGCGTGGCGACAAGTTTCTCGTCTGATTCGACCTCGTACTACACCGCTATCCCGAGCCACCGATCCGTAATCAGCCGGCCATATCCTGAACCTGTATTTAGATGCGAATTTTCGGCCCAAGAATTTTCCTTCACGCTAGCGACTGTTGATTCCTCATTTAGATGGTAAATATAATTTTATATTTATATGTGACCTTTCCTAGGTGCTCGAAATGTCCTCCTCTGAATTTTTGCATGGGTTGTGTCGTGCCCGGGAAAGACGATCTGGTATATACTGTCGTTTTTCCGGGATAATTTTGCGTTTAGGTACTTGGTTCTTTAACGGAGACAACTTGCTTGGCCTTCGATTGGGGTGCGACTGATCTCTACTTGCGGTATGATCTAGAAGGAGAGTTGGTATGTCTATGGTAATTTAAGCGAAGGTGGGATTTAGACAACTATCGAAGATTCGTCGGTCAACCTTACCTGGCAGGTCCACTACAGTTCATCCTCTATCGAAGCACTACTTGAAAAATATAGGTTCGTAGCTGAAGTTGTGTTGATATCAAGCGTAATGTGGCCTTTTCAGCCGACCTGAGGTGCTAGATTGCCCGTATGAATGTAGCGGCTGTCACAGAAAATCCGAAGGCCATCGTGTGTTTACGATCTGGAGCCTTCCCCGCTATCTAATTGTCCAACTAAAGCGGTTCAAGTATCTTCGCGAGGAAAGACGTGTCGCGAAGTGCGGGTGAGGCTTTTTAGCCTGCAATTCAACTCGTTGCTTTCAGACGGCCGATCGAATTCCCGTTCGACGACTTTGATCCATCTCCCTACACCGACCCTGAACGCCGATCGATCGAAGGAAAATCGACGCGCTATAATTTGATCGCGATCGCTGTAAGCTTTTCGTGAAACTTGTTTGCCACGTTTTCTAGCGGCTCCATACCGTATCTTTCATTAAGGTGCACTATGGTGAACTTTTCAATGGACACTTCGTGGCGTTTACTCGGATTGAAAGCAACAAATGGCTGCATATCAACGACACCCATGTAAAGGTATACCGTCGTATCTCTTTTTTTGCAAAATCATCTCTAGGAAGTATCCAGCAGCGAAGTTGACCGGGATCACGCTTATCTGCTTTTCTACGAACGAAAAGGTGCTTGATTGCAATGCTACCCCCCTCTTGTTTGATGTTTTTCTCATATACATATGCTAATTTATTCGTCCCTTAGTTTCAACGCGTGCCTATCTGATGTATCTAGTCATTCGCTCGTCTTTGCTCTACCTGCCTGCCTCATAGCACGAAAACAAATTCAATTCCAAATGTTTGCTGTGTAATATCCCTCTGTACCTCCTTCACTTAATCGGCAATTCCCAGAGATTTTTGCTGATCCAGGGTACCCACACTTGAATTTCGCTTAACCCCGCTTGTGATCCAAAGTGCTTACTGTGCTTTATGCTTTTTTTATATATGATTCAATTCTGCAATAAACTACAAAGCCATGTTTATCGTCAACCTCGATGCGAAATATAATCCTAGGTTAGCTGTTTCCAAGTTCTATTTTTGTCGTGTAGCTTTAAATCGTTGTCCTAACCAATTCATGGCCTTTCAAATGCTAAGTAATTTATCGTAAAGCCCAAAAAGCCGTCAATAAAATGGAAATAGAACAGAAAGACATCTTAATCCCGAATGGAGAACAGTGCGTTACCCGTACGCAGCACTTAACATCATAGTCAAAGGAGCTATAAAGGGTAAGAAGTTGTAGACGGTGCTTGTGCAATATGAAAATTCTTTTTAGGTGAAAAGCTCGCCCTCTAGTCATTCATAGTATCTTTTTGATAGATAAAAAAATCTTCTGATTTTAGTAAAGTAAATGATTTTAGTACTCTGGGTGGCACTTCATAGCTCCTTTAAAAACACGTAACATACACACAATTGGCAATCAATAATTGTTTTTATCGTTCTGGTGCCTGAAGAATTGGTTGTTCGTCTTCTTCCTCGATTTCCTTGGCATTTGCATGGTAATAGAGACCGACAATTCGACGCCAGTCGATCACCTGCAAATTTGAATTAACAACTATAATTTTTTTTGGTCGTTACCGTTTCGATATTCCAAGATGAAGAAGCGCCCAATTCCTCGGCTCGTCCATCTAAAAAGTTAGCATAGAAATGTAACGGAATTTTAATTGGTGTATGTTTTGCATTTAAAATACTTACCATCATCATCGTCCCTCATGCCATCCCCTCTTCCCATGGCTCCACCACCCATCGAATAGGCATCGATATTTTCCTCATAGCGCAAATCAGATTGAGCTTTTTGGGTACAGACACGGACTGTAATTGGCGAATGAATTAATTAATTATGCGGAATTTATCCTACGTCGATTTCGCCATGCCACTTTCAATACCATCCACAATTTTGTTAACATATTGATCGGGGATGGCGTCGCCGAACGTTTATTCATTTGTCGAATCAAGATGGCACGTCCAAACTTCCATTCCTAGGGGTTGTTAAAGTGAGAATTCTTTTGTTAAGCTAGTTAAAAAATATATTGGTGTTTTTTTACCGTCTTGGTCCCTTTAAATGTAATGGAGTCTTTCAGAATACACTAAATCCACTACTGTATACCTTATCCGATTGTGCTTGAATCCGCTGGTAAGTATCAGACATCATAGCAATCAACAGATTGATCAACACCTATATTTTTTTAATTTATTTTGCCATTTTTTGTTTTAACATACGATCAACGTCACGAGCAGATAGATACCGAAGACGAGCTTTAGTATAATCTTGCCAAAATCGGGCACCAAATGTAGAGGCGGCATTGAATCGGGTTCAACTATGAGGAGAAAATAGGCTCTTCAAACTGTGCACGTTACCTAATCCGAAAAGCGAGAAAAATAGCATTTCGAGGGTTTGTTCTGGGGATGAGAGTCGCATCAATTCCGCAGAATCATCATCCATTGGTTGGTAGGCTGGCTGAAAAAAATTTTGAATCTGGTCGGAACCGCTTTTTAAAGGGGCAGCGACAGCACTTGATTGACTAAAAACTGCTTTTAATGCAAAAAGGTACAAAAATTTAATTAAATGTAATGAAATGTGTAGATAAATTTCGAAGATTTTGAGAAGTTTTGATCATCCTTAAAGATATTTCAAATTTAATTTTTCCTTTTCGATCCAATATTTTAGATTGCGTTGATTACGGATCTTTCCGGTTTATTTTAAATACAGGATTGCCTTAATGTACAAAATCATTTGGCAAGAGTGGAAGCTTCCAAACCGCTTTTCACGGCGGTCGTTCCGGGACCGCCCCATCTACCTCAATGGGTGGTCTCGACACGAGCCCTTTGCCCACCCAGCTTGAAATTTGGAACCGTAGCATTTTTTCGAGCGTTCGGTTAATTCATTAAACAGTATTTTTAACTAATATTAATGGTTTTGACAAGGTTTTAATTACAAAGGGAATTAAAGCTTATATTTAAATTGACCTGAAAAATGCTGGTGACGTGCAGGGTGAAGCCGGCGATGAAAAGCAGCAAGATGACCAGAAACCGCGCCAAATCGTACATCAGATCACTAGGGGGAAATATAAAAGTTTTATTTTAGATGAATACCGAATAATGATAGCCCATGGTCCGAAGAGGTGGTGTACGGTAAGGAAGTCGAGGTATTGGACGAAGGCGAATAGTAATGCAAACGCGAAGAGTTGATTTTTTAAATACAACATCGTTCGTGCAAAGTGCAGTTTTTCTTCGCTATCTAAATTAGCCTCAGTTATCTATACGAAATATCGAAGACTACATCGAAATAGAGATAAATTTGATATGCAAATCAGTTTTACCCACCCAAGTGCGTCATTACAATAGCTGGCAATAAAAATGCTAATACATGAATTGCTGCAGCTGCCGCGGATAGCATCAGGATCATCACCTAAAAGCATTATTAGCAATTTTTAGTATAATGATGCCATTATTATATTTATTTTCATTGTGAAGGTCATATTATTGTTATTATTTAGATTTATTCGCCTTACATACGCACAGAAAGCACTAACCTTTACAATACCCAACCCAGATCCACCTCCAACATTTGACAACTCGGACACCAGATTCCCGGATAGCCATAGCAGCAAAAGCCATTCCACCGGATTTGGGATTATTGACGTCACCTAGGTATTCATTTTTAATGTACCATCACCGAAACCCACCTCATACATCTTATGCGTAATATTCAGAACAACCGTTGTCAATAGTACAGTAAAGTACACGTGGGAAACGATGTGGCATACGAATTTGATGATTGGGGCACGGCCTAAAGGTTTATACACTTTTTTAATTAAAGAACCCACCAATCCGGCTATCAAGTGGCAAAGAAAAGTAAAACCATGCGGGCGGACAGAACAGGACAAGGAAAGAAAATGCAATCTAAAATCCTTCTTACTAGCTTTTAATTATAGTTACCGTTTTTCCAAAAGACCAATCCACACGTGCAGTCCAGATTTCCGTAAGATACCTCTGAACGGATGCGTAGGAAACGACTTCTTTCTAAATTACACTTTTATTATAGCCATTTAACTTTAAACCTGCTCGTTCTCAATCAACACATCCAAAAGCGGCTTTCCACGATTATCCTTTGCTAAATACATCAATATAAAAAAGATTTTCGAGATTATTTTTAACCTTTTAACAATAACGCAGAGTCATATTCCTGTGCGGTTAGTCCAAGCAATTCCACAGCCATGTTCTCGGCAAAAACAGCCACATTATACAGATCACGTGCTCGTTCTTTTTCCTAAATTATTTTTCCGATTACACAGTAAGGACTATCACCTTTTCACTCATATCTCTATAGAGGCTACTCAATTTGACGGCCGTCTCAATTGGGGCTGGGCTTTGGAGGATGAATTCTTGAAGTGGTTCGTTTTTGTGCGCTTTTCCGCATACCTTCAAAACGCTATCACGGGAAGTGTGAAATTTACAAACCATTAGGTCAAAAACAAATCGTCGGTCTTCCATTAATTGATGGGTGTCGTGTTTTTGTTTGAGGAGGAAAGCAAGGCAGTCGACATGGTTGTGGGCGGCGGCGAAGCAAAGTGGGACCTAGATTATTTTAAAGGAGTTGAAAAGGCATTTTTATGGCTTTTTAGATAAGACTATGTTTTTGCAAGACGGACTAATCGGTCGTTATAAAGCAAACGGCCTTTCTAAACTTTTAAAGGGCTTTTGAAGGCAAGTATTACAGCTTCAAAACCAACCTTCCCCTCCTTTGTCTCAGCCAGCGGATCGGCCGAACTTTTGATGAACAATTTGACCACATTCAGATGACCGGCTTTTGTAGCGTAGTGCAATCCGGTCCACCCGTTTTGGTCCATCACGTTGATATTGCTACCCTGGGCAATTAGGAGCGACACCATCTCGTAGTGGCCGTTCATAGCAGCCAGATGGAGGGGTGTCCGGCCACGCCAATCCTAGATAATTTTGAGCTTTTTGAAAATGCGGAGATAATTGCTTATTTATAAAATTAGTAACCGTAAATTATCCTAGGCTTTTAACACAAAATAGATACCTTTGAATGTTGCTGCTGTGTACTTCTACTCAACAACATTCCCACAACAGCGATATGGCCTTGTTGAGCAGCCAAATGGAGGGGAATAACGTTCTAAATTTTCTTATTGTATTATTCTTTTTTTTAATACCATAGTTGTAGAGGTTGCATCCACTTGAACCCCTTGATTGAGCAGCATCCGTACTAAAGCGTCATGTCCGGATTGGGCGGCCAAATGTAGTGGAGTGAAGCCATACTAAATTTCTTAGTTTTAATTACAAAATATCATTTCTTATCTTTTTTTCCTTCATTGTTAAATACTACTTACCTCGGTCGCAAATTCCTTAACAACCAAATGATTATAGATTGGAGGCTCCGATCGTATACTGGCCGGCACATGTTTTAGCATTTCATTAACAAAGTCGGAATTCCCTATAAATAAGCTAAATATTCACATTTTGAATTTACCGTAGTAGGCAGCGATGTGTAAAGCATTTAAACCCGTCTAAATAATTGATCAAATGGCTAATTGTTAATTAATACCTTCTTTTGAGCATTTTTTCCATAAATGATGATCAAAGGCTTCTAGTATAGAAACGTAGCCGTTTTTGGCTCCCAAATGCAATGCTGTCATGCCATGCTAAAGTGCGGATAATAAAGTTAGTAATAGAAAAGTTACAGCGTTTTCGTCTTCAGCGCTGGCCCCATTTTCCAAAAGAATTTTGACGATGTTTGCATGCCCTCCGGCAGCTGCCATATGCAAAGTGGTTGCTTCCATGGTTTTTGTTTTTGCCTAAAATGTGTAAATATTTGTTATATGAATTATAATTCTAAAAGGTACTTTAAACTACTGAGGATATTTAAAATCAAATTTTCTATTTTTACCTGGATGACCATAGCTTTATCGATCATCATCAGCTCTCGGACCACAGCAAGGGATCCCTGTAATTTCAATTTAAAATGTTTGTTATTGATTTAAATCCAATTTTGATATTCACAAACCTTCATGGCAGCAATGTGAGCACATGTAAAACCATTGTGATCAATTGCCGTGAGCACGGCACGATTGTTTTGCTTCATTTTCAAGAATAATTTCACCACATCAGGATAGTCATTCTAAATTTGGTATATTTAATTTATATCTTAAGGGTTCGATTTTTTAAAGTTAATACAATACCTCGGCAGCTAGGTGTAATGGTGTCTGCCCCTTGTCATCCCTCGCATTCGGATTTGCCCCCAAAGCCAATAGCGTCTGCGCGACGGCAAGTTGGCCGTGTCTGGCAGCAAAGTGGAGGGCAGTCTATGTATTTATTAAAATTCTTTGAGAGTTAATTTACCTGATTATCCAGAGTAATGGCTTCCTGTGCAGCGCCATGATCTTGAATCAACACATTCACCACTTTCACATGCCCATTCATTGCAGCCAAATGCAGAGGGGCTTCTCCAGTTTTCGACTTGCTAAAATCCTCAAAAACATGTGCTGGTGTTAATCCTTACCTATTCACAAAAGCCTTATGCTGAAGAAGCAGATGACACAGCTGTAGATGCCCATTGGCAGCCGCCAGATGCAAAGCTGTTCGCCCATTTTCGTCGAAAACGTCTGAAGACGCCGTGTTAATTTCGGTAGCCAATATCCTCTACTGACCAATACGAGCATGATGTTGCAACAAAATTTGTGCAACTCCAACATGCCCTCTCGCGCATGCTTCGAGAAGTGGGGACCATCCGTTCTTGTTCTGTTTATTCTGGACGATCTGCACGGCACCGGCTCCGATTTTGTTGACCATAGCGAGGAGGACGGCCTGGGTTTTTTATAGCAAATTTTGATATTTTTACCTGATTGCCGGATCTAGCCGCCATATGCATTGCAGTTTCTTGGGTGTTTAAGGATTGGATTTCGGGCTGAAAGTATTGCATAATCCGGTGCATTAAAAAAACCTGTCCGCCATGATCGATCAGTAGGTTGATTAGTTTAGCATCTTCGCCGGGGAAATGTAGTTGATCTGGGAGTATTTCAGCTGCATAGTGAACGGCGGTAAGGCCATCCTGAGAAGATAAATCATTTAGAATTAAGGTATCTCACCGCTGTTTTCATATTAACATAATCTTTGATGGATTGGGCATCCATTTTCTCGGCTAGATGGCTAAAAAGGGTTTTTGAGTTTATTACCATACAAATTGAAGAAAATCTTAAAAAATTTTTTACTCACGATAAAATCAAATTTGCAGCTTCATAATTGCAACTGATTGCGGCCACATGCAATGGCGTCTCCCCAGCATTTGATGGCAGCAAAACATCGGCTTGTTCCGAAAGTAGCAACCTATCAATTAAAAGTTCTATTTTTAATTTTTAACTTGCTTCATAATATCCTTATTCCCATTTCGAGCAGCAATATGAAGACAAGTTTCGCCATCCGATTGGGCAACATTCGGTTGGCCACCACTTTTCAATAGCATCATCGCGCACTCACGGGCTTCAGCTCCGTTGAGGGAGGCAGCTAAATTACGGCATTATACATAACATCAAGGGGTTTTTTCACCTATATGTAAAGCTGTCTGGCCTAGATCTCCTCCTCGGACATGGACATCAGCGCCGGAACCGAGCAGGGTCTATAGAGTTGAGCCAATGAATCAATCCTTGCTGGATTTTGTTTAATAATGATTTTTAACTTTCATTTAATGGTGTATAGTTTTATGTTAATTATTACGAATTAAAATTTGTTTTAAAGCCTGACCTCAACAACGCTTGCTTTCCCAGACTGAACAGCCACGTGTAATGCCGTGTAGTTATCCTAAAAAAAATAAAACGATATCGTTAATTTTTAGCGGTAAAAGTATCAGCAATTTGTAATAAGTCGAAGACTAAAATGAAAACCATAAATACCTTTGTTCGAATATCAACATTTGTCCCTTTCGATATTAACATCTTGACAACATCGTTGAACCCGGCAGCTGCGGCCGAATGAAGACCCAATGCTCCTTTTTTGTTTGGCATAAAAAGAGGGACACCTAAAGGATATTTTAAATTTAAAAATCAGATCTATACCTCGCTTTAAAAATGCTAATGCGGTATTTGTATGGCCTGAGCAAGCGGCTATATGCAAAAGGGTCGAGCCATCCTAAAAGTGGGGAATTTTAACAAAGCTTTGTATGATAGATACCTTAGTCCTGGCCCGAATCGACCCTCCAAATTTATCAATCAGCGACTCGACACATTGGGTATGCCCCTTTTCAGCGGCCACGTGAACTGGGGTACGGTCATCCTTAAACAAGACCAGAATTCAGAGATTTTAATAGGCTTTTACCTTGTCATGTATATTTGCGTCCGCTTTCAGTTTGTACATGATTTTGAGGAGTTGGAGGTCGCCGCGTTGGGCCGACTATAAAGATATTTAATTTAGATGTATGCAGAATTGCCTCGTGGAGTGGGGTTCTGCCGATGGTATTTTGGGCATTGGCATCATCACATCCGGCTTCGATGGCTAGGCGTACGGCTTCTGAAAAAGTATTTTTAGCTAGTAATAAGTTTTTTTGATTGCGAATACTATTAAAGAGTCAGAAATTTAATACAAAATGATCCATCTACAAATACAAAAATACAAGCTGCGACGCTTAGTACTTAATATACTGTAAATATTTACCCAAATTTCCAGCTCTGCAAGCCAGATGCAATAGGGTATCTCCTTTTCCATCCACCGCAGCTGCTTGTTGCGAGCGATGGCGTTGTAGAAGCAGATCAGCCACCGCAGTATTTCCAAGCTAAAACAAAACCCCTTGCTGCCCCCACTTAATTTTAGTACCTTTAATGCCAAATGTATCGGCAAACTATCCTCCCCATCTGGCTCCATTGTCAAATCCATTTCATCCAAAATCCGCTTGACAACTGGGACCGCTTTCCTCGATCTCCTCTCACTGGCCACATGGATTGGCAGCTGGTTTTTGCTCTAAAAGATTGCTGTGTTGCAGTCGCCCTCCCATAATACTCCCACGCCCTGGGGGTGCTGAGAGCACAGATTGTGTCCAACCAAGCGGAATGGGACGGAAAACTTACGCCGGCCGGTCTTTTGAGGAGGTCCCGATTGCATTTGATGACTGCATCAAGCATTTGCCATGAACTGTACATGGCAGCAATGTGAGCTGCGTTACGGCGATCCTAAAAATTATGATAGTGATATATGGAAATTTAAAAGGTAATAATGGTAATATAATAATGATAAATATGGAAAAATTGATCATAAGAAGTTATAAGCAGGCCGGTAAAGGTTATAAATAAAGTGATAAAGTTAGCAAAGTGCCTTAAAATGCTAATCTAATTTAATAATAGGGATTAAAACGACGAGATTCAGAATTTTTCTATGTCTTAAAGCTTCAAACCTTTGTCGTCGCATTAATATCAGCTCCTTTCTTCAACAACCCCTCAAAAGTCGCTATTTTCCCATCTTTTGCGGCTAGCAACGGTACGGTAAAGCCATTCTAAAATAATAGAAATGCTTCAAAATTATAATCCAATCAAATACCTGATCCGAAGTGGCAAAATCAGCCCGATTAATATTAACCAATTCCTTCTCCACCGCGTCCCACTCGCTGTGCTTCGCCAAATACAGTAGCCGTGTTTGAATATCGGCCTGTAGCAGATCCTCAGCATTCATATCCATTGGATTGTCGGCCGGCTATAAAAAGAACAATATATTTGTATTTTAATAGGTATCACTCTTCGCTCTCCGCCATCACTACTTGCTGTACTTTCGCGTGAAGGCATTTTCACTCTAAAAATATGAAAAGGCTAGACATGGTAGAATACCTAAATAATCCTCTTGGTAAATCCCTTTTCAAGCCGCCATCGTGTTTCCCGGATGGTTGTGGATCAGATGGAGGAGATCCCAACCGTTCTAAAGCACTTTTAAATCCAAAGCAGTACAACGTACGTATCGTTCCATCAAATGAATCTATTTTCATCTTTTGGAGAGGCGTCCGTGGCTCGCGCTCCTGCTGAAAAGCAACTCTAATTTCGGGTATGCTAATCGATACCTTATCAACATTTTCGTCAACAACTAAATCTTCGACGCCTAACATTTTGCCAATCATTCCTGGCCGTTCTTTCAGCTGCTTCTCTCTAAGCTATAGCAACAAAATTTAGGATCACTTTCAAGCGGGTACCTCATTAGCCTGTATCCGATCCAAAGCCGATCCGATCATCCCGGTATATCCGGGACTGGAGAGTGGTTCTCGATGAAGCTAAAACTATCAGTTTCTAAGTAAATCCCAATACTTGTTTATGTGCTATGCGCTCGGCTTCTCCATTTTCTAGGCCGCGTCCAATCATTCCCGTCCGTAGTTCTTCGGCTTCGGTGTCTTTCTAAAGTAAAACATTTCAACCATTTAAAAACATCACAATTCTTGACCTGATTCCTCTAGCTTAATCTATTTGAGTAAAATGTTATGAATATTTAATTTCTGCAACATATTAGTTTTATTTCTATACCTTTAATTCTTCCAAAGTAGCCTTCATCTCCCCAAGAGCTCGCGCCAGCATTCCTGGTTTTTCATCAAGCGATCGAAAAACGCTACATCTTTATGATATCAACGATTATACCTAGCAGATTGGGTGCCAGCCCATCGTGGATGCTTTTGCTCCCATAGCCCAAGAGCAATCATTCCGCGTCTCGGACTATCTGTCTTTCTCTCTGCCGTTTCATCGAGCACGCTATTTGTATGGTCGGCAGTCCTCTTTCTTCTTTCGGGTATGGATCGTGTAGGTGATCCCATCTCGACCCTCAGATGGGAGAGGCTGGCCCGACTGGTGTTGATATCTCCTTGAAACACGAGAATTTATTAAAGGGGCTTTGAAGTCACCAATTGGTTGTGAATAGGGTCTGGAGGGGATGTCGGGTTCTGTTGAGTTGGGTGACGACGTCGACGCCGTCTCCATGGTTTCTGGAACTCAAGTTGTATTCAGGTGGTTTTTCAAAGTTTTGAAACATTTTTAAGAGCGGAAGTAGTTTGCGAGCTATAAAATAGAGATGCTTTCAGGTATAGAAGTCGTACGGTATGGCACCAACTGATCGGGCCAATTCATTAAAATCTCGGAACTTATTAGACAATAAGTGCGGTGCATATTTGCGTAAAATCTTGACTGAAATTTGGAAACTTGAGTCTGAACAATTGACGTGGAAAATTGATATTCAGAATTCAAACGAGCTTTTGAGGTCTTTTCAAATTTTTTTAGGATCTTAAGTTAAAGCTGAAAAGCGAAAAACAAAAACAAATGGATTTGATTTGGACAGCTGAAGCCTTATTTAAGTGAAATCGCGAGACTCATTTCGACGGGTGCAAATTAGATGTGCGGTGGAAGAATATCCCTACTAATAGACCCATCAGATGCCTGAAAATCGAGGAGAGACGTTTAAAGAACATCATTTCAAAGCAAAAAAACTCTTGGTAATACGGAAGAGATGTGTGGCCTCAGAAGAGGTAAAGGTGGATGTGGTGTGGGGGACCGGAAACGGCTGCCGAATACAACCTCTTCGATGGGGGTGCCCACCACCACCACCCTACGCTTTTCGAGCAACGGGGGGACACACAGCTATATAGCTCAACCCTCAATTTGCACTCTCCACACCAGCGCCCAAAAATACTTTTTTTGGGGGCTAGGAATCGGTAGAAGGTATAATGGCATCAAACGAGTGTAGTCAATACATTTAATTTTGGCAATTACTGGGAAATCAAGGGAGCGTGAGGATTTGCGTATTTAAAATAGTTTCGTAAACAGTTAAAGGGTTTTGGAGTCCGAAACCTGAAAAAAAGGTTAAGGAATCAGTGATTAATCTGGCTAAAACCTGCTACTGAAATTTTGAACGATCACCATTATTTCCGTAACGCTCCCATCGCGGCTGAAATATATTTGACTGGCAGATGTCTTATACCATAAAAGAGCTGAGAATACGGAAATCATTCACAGTATTTTAGTTTTAAAAAATTGTTGGAAATTATAATAAATTTATTAATTTTAACGGTTTCCGAGATTTTCTACAACACAACCATCCTCAAACCAACTCCAAACGGACAGACTAAATTAGCATTACAGCCCGGTGACAAATCATAACTTTATTTCTATACGAAATTTTTACATTAAGTTACATTAAAATATCACAAAATTGCCATATAAATCAAAAGCAGTGGGCCCTAACGTGCAGCCATCCTAGGACTTGGCACAATGCGGTAATTGTTGGCCCTTAGAAGGCCCCCTGCTGAACGCTCCGTTGCCTTAAAGGTTCAAAGTCTTTTGCCAGTTATTTTTACCTTATGACGCAAAAAGTGGCTCATATTGTAAAATACATAATACTTAAAAAAGTACGTACGTAACGTAGATCACGTGCTTTGCCCCCCCTTCATCCCCCATTCCTTTGATTTCTAGTGGCCATCACGGAGTTGGGGTGCCGGCGAATTTTCGTGAAGATCAAATTTCATACGCGAATTCAAAGGTCATTGGCGGACTCGAGGTTGTTAGTTTGGAGTTTTAGCCTATTGCTCTGCATCCAAAGTTTCTCGTCTCCCTGCAACTTTGTATAGCCATGCTCCATCTAATATTTCCCCTATTGATCGCGCTAAATTCAGCCAAATATACCGATTGGGCAAAACTGCGTGTTAATGGTTGGTAACATGCTATCGGTACCCTAATTAACATACAGCCACCGAATCCGCGTATTTGGATGCGACCGCCGAGCTTCACAAGGAATTATTTCAAAATAGATATTACAGAAAAGAACTGTCGCCCGTTTATTCGAAGCAGCCATCAAATCTTACACGTTGGTTTTGACGTAAACCTTCAAAATAAAATATTTTTTAGAAACCAGCTATCCGCGTTTTAATGTCGAAATTGAGCTGGCATTTATTAAACTTTTTGAGATTGTGAGTGCAAGTAATATGCTTGTGCTTGAGCTAGACATAGGCTTAGCTTATGCTCAGATTTGGCTCATCTCGTTTTTATCCAAATTTAGAACGCACAAAGCCAAACTGTGACAATGGGCCTAGAATTCATGCAGGTGCGCGGATATCTAAAATGCAACTTCCCGAATTTTTAGTTTTGGGTTGATCCGAGGTTGTCTTGGTTACCTGAGGAATACGATGGCATCGAAGTGATCTGGCTGGGTTTCGATACGGTCTGGATACCGGAATATTCCGTTTTTGATGTGTTAGTCGTTTGGAACTTTCTTACGTATTTTAGGAGCGCGATTACTGAAGCGTGGCCGGACTATCGGCGGCCAGTAAGGGTTCAATCTACAGGCCTTGTTTATCTGGATACCCAGCAAGTTGTGACTATTTCATGCCCGATGGATGTAAGGAATATTTTTAAGGGGTTTGGAAATGGATTACTTTGAATTATGCCTTGCCGTTCCCTTTAAACCAAAAAATTATAAATTCCAGTTGGGTAAATTCCCCTTCGACTCACAAATTTGCCCCATCCTTTTTGGACTTGCAAGCTACTGGGTTAATCAGGTCCACTTTATCACTCGTTAACCATCATTTTTGTGATTTAAGATTACATCAAACGGCACGCTCTTTGATTTTGATTATAAATCGATGTCGGTATGAATGGACTCTATAATATGGAGTTTTCATGATTTAGGGCAACGGCGAATGGACGGTGGAAAATATTTCTTTGACTGCGTATCAGGTTCCCAGCAAAACCATGCCACAGGACGTGGTGAGGGCATGAAAACCATTACAACTTTTATGTATTTTTTTGATAACTCTTCTTATTCCAGCTATGCTTTGAAATGTACGTAAAACGCGAGCCAAATTTTTACATCTACGTGATCGTTCTGCCGACATTTCTGCTCACATTTCTTTCGGTTACGGGCATGTTTTGGACGCCAAATACTAAAGATGAACAGTTGACAAAGGTAGATATTATGTAAATGGTTGTAATAGATCGTCTAAGATATCATAAACGAATAGATTAATTATAGATGAGCATCGGATTGACAAGTATGATGTCAATGACCATATTCGTCCAAATGGTTTCTGAACAGATACCTCGCACAGTCACTTTTCCATTACTTGGTAATATTTTAAGGCTTAGCTTAGGTAGCTTAATTATACATCAGCTTATTAGATAGCAAAGCGTTTTCCAGGTATTTTTGTCATCGTATGCGTTGCGATAGTTTCGTGCGCCTGCGTAGTGCTGATCATGTTTTCGACAAAACGCAAGGAAAAGGAGCAAAAAACCGACAAGTAACTCATAGAATTAACTGCGCCCAAACTCGTTCAAGAAGTGCTGAATCAAAATTAATAATATTCTGTTTAGAAGTTGCCCGCGACTCCGGCGTTTCCTTTGTTCTCAACATTTTGCCATCCTACTACTCTTCCAAATGGCAAATATCGCCAATTTTTGTGCGCTACTTTCATATTGGAGATGAATGCCAAGCAGTTTTTTACCCAAATAAATTATGTAAAGTTTGTAGATTTCAAATTAAAGCGGAAGTCAATGACAGTTCCAAAAAATTCATGGTAATTAGCCATTACAATTACAGTGAATCGATTTGTTTTCTGGCGTCACGTATATAAAGAACAAGTTGCCTAGTACTTCAAAAGAAACGAAAAGTCAAGAAAAGGCCGTGGTGGACACAAAGGGATAATTGTTGGCCCATAAACGGCTCTCTCTCTCTTTTGAACACCCCCAATGCCCTACAGAGGGTCCAAAGACTTTTACTAGCTACTTTTTGGCTTATGGCCCTCTGGATCTGGACATTTTATATTGTACTATTTACCAGTTCTACAAAGGGGCAAATATGCGGTAAAGGTAGAATGTTTTTAAGACTCAATTTATTTCTGTCACTAGTTTGTCAGGTTGGAGAGGTGCTGTGTGATGCTTTTCTGGGGGATTGCGGCAAATGCGTCCCGCAGAAAGAGAGTAGTATACGATGTATCGATCGAAAATGTGGGTATTGATTTCACTTTCGAGAATTTGATCATTTAAGATGTTTCGCTATGCTCTGAACCAGGGACCGTGAAGTGTACGACGACCGAAAATTGTGTATTTGAAAAATGGCTAGCGGACGGGCAGAATGATTGCGGTGATGGAAGTGATGAGGGTAATTGGCTCTTAATTAAGTTTATCTGGTTTTTCAGCCTTGCAAAAGTAACTTTTCAGCCAAATCAATAATTTTTAGAACCTTGCGCTTCCGGAATCCTAAAGTGCAATTCTGAAACCAGCAAAGCTACAACAACTACAATCACAGAACCTCCTACTACAGCTTATGTTTCTAATACGAAAAATGTAACAACCCGACAACCTCAAACTACAGTACCCAACCTTGGCTCAGGTATAGAAAAACAGTGAAGATCGTATACTTTTTAAACTCCGAAAAAATGCCTTAAAAACTAATTAAAATGCTCGTTTCAGATATAGACAAACCATGCCCACCTGGCCATTTCCAATGCAGTAATGGAGACTGTATCAAATTCGCAAAAATTCTCGATGGCAACAATGATTGCAAAGACAAAATGGATGAAAGTAAGTGTCACTAAATTACTAAAAATAACGTTAAAATATAGTCTATTGTACCGTCGAAGACGATGGCTGCCCGTCAAACAAGCCATGCTCTTTTCAGCCTGATGTCGCATCATTCGGGTAAACACCACGTTTTAATGAAGCGTATGTGATTTTAGATGTGGCTGTCCACAGGGCTACGGCCGTACAGAAAAGGGGCTATGCTATGAAATCACCACCCCAGGTTCTACAACGATAAGTACAACTACTATCACAACAACTATCACTCAACCTGCTGCCCCAATGCCAATCCAAGCTGTCAACCAAGGATAATCCTGCTTTTAAATGTATCCTACTATATGTTCTGTAATCAAATCGAAAATAAACGTTTATCAGGCAAAAGCACTTTTAAGGCAATTTAAGCACAGGTGGCAGTTAATAAGAGTAAGGCATTTGGTTGGAAAAAGAAAAGTGATAGCTGGCGTCCAATATCGTTATTATCATTTACGGGGCACCAATTCGGATTACGGTAGAATGGATGCCCCGTAGGGTGGAAGATGTTTTGAGGGAGGGAGGGAAGGGATACGGGACGCCGGCCTGTCCTAGCAGGTCTGCTTTGTCGTTTGGCGGGACACTTTCCGGTCCTTGTTCCGTTTCGGGGGAACCGGGGTGTTGCTTACTTCCTGAAACAATGGGTTGGCATTCATTTTTAGGCATTTACCTGGCGTCCGTAGAAGTATTTGTAGTTTTCGGTTCTGATGAACTCCCAGACTCCGATGCAGCCCCTTTCGTCGAGCTGTTCCTGGAACAAGATCATACAGTAACGGACAAAAAGTTTATCACCCTCGTTTTTCCGACCTTCTAGAGCGATTTCCCGGAAATTCCCGGCCATAAGACTTCCAATTTACTATTTACTAGATGTAAAATTACACGCTGATTCCGAATTTGACACTTTTAGAGCCGAAAAATTTTATTTTAAGGGTCAAAATCGCGAATAACTTTTTACCCTAAAACACGGTCAAAAACAAACTTTTTTCTGTGACGTTTTCGGGGTGCGCCATTGTGATATTCGGAATTTCCGATGTCAAATTAGCCGGAATAACTGTTTTCCGGATTTTTATTGGGTGTCTAGATACCATTTCCGGAAATCGAGCAGTTAGCCTTCGACGGGCCTTTAAAAGAGATTTTTGGCGTATTTCAATAGCGGATCCGGATTCTACAGGGTCGATTACATCAGGAATAGTGTGTTTAGAATGCGAAAAAAAACAAAATGATTTTTTCTAGAAGCATTTGTTTAGAAAGCGCAACCGCGAAAAGTCAGGTTGTGGAAAGGAGGGCTCGAAACAGGTCAAAAACGATTTTTCACAAAGTTCTCTTGTATCGCATCGGAAAGAGCACTATCGAATGTGTAAGAAAATATTGTTTATGGTACGAAACGGAGACTTTCATTTTTGGCCATTTTGTTAAGCGAAATCGCAGGACCGGGGGCCACATTTTTTCGGCCGTCGACGACAATTCTTCTTCTTAATTTTCTCGACTGTTAGAATCGTTAAAAAATTTGGAACGAATGTATCTTGGGTAATTCGATAGCGTAGATTCCGAATTTGCTAACGAAAAGTTGCGAAAATCTCAGATTAAAAAGTTAGCATTTTTTGGTTTTTGGGTTTCTGGCGGCTTCCGATCAATAAATCTCGGATAGTTCAGAACATTTTCTTCTTTGAACAATGTTTTTCTACACATTCGATAGTGCTCTTTCCGATGCGATACAAGAGAACTCTGTGAAAAATCGTTTTTGACCTGTTTCGAGCCCTCCTTTCCACAACCTGACTTTTCGCGGTTGCGCTTTCTAAACAAATGCTTCTAGAAAAATCATTTTGTTTTTTTCGCATTCTAAACACACTATTCCTGATGTAATCGACCCTGTAGAATCCGGATCCGCTATTGAAATACGCCAAAAATCTCTTTTAAAGGCCCGTCGAAGGCTAACTTCTCGATTTCCGGAAATGGTATCTAGACACCCAATAAAAATCCGGAAAACACTTATTCCGGCTAATTTGACATCGGAAATTCCGAATATCACAATGGCGCACCCCGAAAACGTCACAGAAAAAAGTTTGTTTTTGACCGTGTTTTAGGGTAAAAAGTTATTCGCGATTTTGACCCTTAAAATAAAATTTTTCGGCTCTAAAAGTGTCAAATTCGGAATCAGCGTGTAATTTTACATCTAGTAAATAGTAAATTGGAAGTCTTATGGCCGGGAATTTCCGGGAAATCGCTCTAGAAGGTCGGAAAAACGAGGGTGATAAACTTTTGTCCGTTACTGTATATTAAAAATCATTGGGAACAGGTCCAGCTATTGCGAAATTGACTGTGAAATTTAGGAAATAAATCAACATACGTTGGAAGTGGAAATAGCCTATATACGTACTTGAATTCCGGGAACCCATGGATTATGTTGAAGACGAAGGACCGATTTCATCGAAGTCAGCTCAAGAGCTCCAAGTTCCGGCGGCAGCGTGGTAAGACGATTTCCTAAATCACATTTTTTTCAGTTTCATATATTATTGTTTACTAACCCTGCAGATGCAGCTCCTTCAGCTTGACCAATTCTCCAAGCTCTCGCGGCACCACCAAAAGATCATTATCCCTGAATAGAAATTAACAGGAAAAGAAGGTCACCAACCTGAGCACCAGGATCTGAAGGTTCGTCAAATTGCGCACATCACCGGGCAACATCTCGAAGTCGTTGTCTCCAAGGTAGAGTGCGCGTAGGGTGCCTGATAACGATATATTGGAGGAAGCAAAAGCTTACTGATGAAGAAGAAGTTTCCAGGAAGACTCTTCTCCGACAGGTTGTTGTAGGTTAGGTCCAAGATTTCCAAAGATGGGAACGAGCCGAAACCGCGGGGAAGGACGGTTAAACGGTTCATTCTGAAATTAGAATGGCAATGGAGATCCAAAAAAATATAAAATGTATTGACAAAAGAATAAATGTAATCCTCTTAAAAACACACCCGACATTGAAAATCTTGAGCCTTGGAAGAGTTGAGATGGAGGTGGGAAGCTCTGTGATCTGGTTGTTCCAGAGGGTTAGAACCTAAAAAAAAATGGAAATCGCAGGGTTTTTGCAACCTCAAGGTTGACGAGATCGGCAATCTCGGGCGGGATGTCGGTGAGTTTGTTATGGGAAAGGGAGAGTCGAGTCAACGCTTGATTGTCCCCTAAAATTTCGATGATAAAAATATAACATTAATAACATTTGCTAGAGCGGTGTCAATTGACATGACAACATTGAGAAATCACTGAAAACTTACAAACATGAGGAACGGAACGGATATTGACGACGTTCCGGTCAACGTAGTCAACCTCGGGGATGTCTTCTTGCTTCTTTTCGCGTCCCATTTCTGTCATCATGCACGGTTTTTACGGTTTCGATAGGGTTACGGAGAATGGACGCGGAAAAGAACGACAGGGATGAATCAGCGTGGGGGAATTGAATTCCAAAGAAATTGATCGATACGAGCTGGCAAAGTGGAAAATAAATTTATTTTTTATTTATTTTATTTTAATCCGACTCAATGCTCGTGAAAATGCTAACTAGCAAAAATTCTTGTTTATATGTACAATTTCAGCTAAATAAATTTTAACTTTTGCGCTGCGGTTTGGTTTTTTTTGGTTTGTTTATGAACATTAATATCTCACGGAAAAGAAACAAGATTTGGAATAGTAAGTTTGGATATTAAAGCTAGGAATCGCATTGCTACGGAATCCCGATAAAAATAAAGGAATCGTCGTATGAAAATAGATAGCATAGCAATCATTTAAGTTCTATAGTTAAAAGTAAAAGTCATAGCAAAACTGGATTGTGTATTACTACAACATTTCCTTTACATAAAATCGGGCTTCTGAGCTACTGGTGCTGTGTAAAATACAAATATGAACGTTCATACTTTGGATAAGGTTTTTATTTACCTATTTGAAAGAAATAAGAGCATAATTTAAATATACAGATAGTAATAACGTATTGTATGGTTGGGATAACGGATGCGGGGGAGTCGCAGAGGGTCATTTTGGCCCTCGAGGGCAACTGGGTGTAAGCAGAGAGAAGGGGGAAGAATAGGAGATAACAGACAAACAGATGGACAAAGAGATAGACGAACAGAGAGTGAGGGGGGACCTCACAAACAGCCACGCTTCCTGTGTGTGTGTGCGGCTGAGGCGGATCTGCTGCATAAGAAAGTAGCAGGAGAATTTGTAGGAAAATGCAGATCAAACAATGTTAATTTTGGTGTGTAAATGTATCGTGGTTATTTAAAATAAGACCAGGGTTGAAAAGCCGCTACGCGACTTTTCAACCCTGGCCCCGTTTGGGCCCATGATATTCTTCACTTTGCATAATTCGCCCGGGCTGCGATGAAAAAATAATGAAAAACGCTCCCTCTGCCCCTTAATATAGACCACCACCACTTCCGGCGTATGCAAATTGTTTCCTAACAAAGAGGATGCCCGAAAATTTCACAAAAACCTAAATTTAATGTCGAAAATAGCATAATTTGCAAAATCTGATAAGCTTGCAGTCATCCCAGAGCCATTACGCACCTAATGACGTATCATACATACCTAACAATTCATCCCCTATCGAGATATCCTCCGGACACGCTGACGGAAGTTGCATGCAAAGTGTCATACACACACACACACACACAGACACTATTTTTTTATATATAGTAGGATTTTGAAACTGAATGGACTATATTAGCAAGGAAGTGAAATATAATTCAAGGTTTGTGGGAAAGAATTTTTTTGGGAAATACTGAAAGAGGTTTGTTGCCATTAAAGGAGATGTAAGGAATGGATATCTATGAATTTTGTCGTGTGCAAATTGATACCTGCACCATTCTATAGATGGTAAGCTTGCTACATAAAAACTGAAGCTATAAAGAAGGCGTTAAACGCCATACTGTTGGCTGAGCTTCTCCTTAGATTTAACGATTTTGCTGGCAGATTTGAAATGTTCTTATTTTAAAAAGCCTGCCATCTTTATTTCTGGTTTCTAAAAATTTTATGAATTTAAACATACACCATCGGTGAACATTACGCACCTAATCAACTATAATAATTTTCTTGACGCGTCCGTCTGTCTGTCTGTCTGTCCGAAGCCGAATTCAACTCGAAGGGGAAAAGAGCTAGAGCTTAGCTCTCTTCGGATTCGGATAGAGCGTGGACAGAAACCCCCAAACTGATAAAAAAATTATGAAAAAGTTTTAGTTTAAATTATTAAAATTAACTTTGAAAGTTTTTTCCTTAGTAAAAGGGGTGGGGGATGGAGGTTGGGGTGATTTTGGACATAGTGAGCCAGGTCGCGCGCGTTTCGTGGATGAAAATTTTCACGGGGGATTTCATTTCTTTTTTGCTCTCATTCCATCCGGTCGGTCGTTATTTTTGTTTTTTTAAGGGGATTTCAGCCATGGGGGGTATCTAAAGCCATCAAGAAGGTATTTAGGTAGTTTTTGAAGGGGATTTGAGCCATGGGAGGTATCTGAAGCCATCGGTAAAGTATTTAGGTAGTTTTTGAAGGGAATTTCGACTAGGGGAGGTATCTTAAGCCATCGGGAAGGTATTTAGGTAGTTTTTGAAGGGGATTTCAGCCATGGGGGGTATCTGAAGCCATCGTGAAAGTATTTAGGTAGTTTTTGAAGGGGATTTCGACTAGGGGAGGTATCTTAAGCCATCGGGAAGGTATTTAGGTAGTTTTTGAAGGGGATTTCAGCCATGAGGGGTATCTGAAGCCATCAGGAAGGTATTTAGGTAGTTTTTTAAGGGGATTTCGGCTAGGGGAGGTATCTAAAGCCATCAGGGAGGTATATAGGTAGTTTTTGAAGGGGATTTCAGCCACGAGGGGTATCTGTAGCCATCGGGAAGGTATTTAGGTAGTTTTTGAAGGGGATTTGAGCCATGGGAGGTATCTGAAGCCATCAGGAAGGTATTTAGGTAGTTTTTGAAGGGGATTTGAGCCATGGGAGGTATCTGAAGCCATCAGGAAGGTATTTAGGTAGTTTTTGAAGGGAATTTCAGCCATGGGGGGTATCTGAAGCCATCGGTAAAGTATTTAGGTAGTTTTTGAAGGGGATTTCAGCCATGGGGGGTATCTGAAGCCATCGGTAAAGTATTTAGGTAGTTTTTGAAGGGGATTTCAGCCATGGGGGGTATCTGAAGCCATCGGTAAAGTATTTAGGTAGTTTTTGAAGGGGATTTCAGCCATGGGGGTATCTAAGCCATCGGTAAAGTATTTAGGTAGTTTTTGAAGGGTTTCAGCCATGGGGTATCTGAAGCCATCGGTAAAGTATTTAGGTAGTTTTTGAAGGGTTTCAGCCATGGGGGTATCTGAAGCCATCGGTAAAGTATTTAGGTAGTTTTTGAAGGGTTTCAGCCATGGGGGTATCTGAGCCATCGGGAAAGTATTTAGGTAGTTTTTGAAGGGGATTTCGGCTAGGGGAGGTATCTTAAGCCATCGGGTAGGTATTTAGGTAGTTTTTGAAGGGGATTTCAGCCATGGGGGGTATTGATGGAGGTGGGAAAGGATGTGGTGGAGTGGGACATGTAGGGTAGCCCGAAGGCCAGATGGTTGCAGTCGCGAAGCGACTGTAACCATCTGGTAACCTATAACACGCCTTAAATTTCACCCATCAATGGCGGGCTCACGGAAGTTACAAGAAACGGAAGATTTCATTCGCTACCCTAAAACAGAAGGCTTCACCTGCTCCCCTATGCACCCTGGAACACTGATGGACGAGCTGTCATTTTGTGCGGTAACTGTCTCGAGCACCAATCCATTGTCCGTCTTCCGACCCCCCTTCGAAACGACCCCAGAATGAATCCGAGAGCCCATAAATTAGCCGCCGTCCGATTGATGGCCGGACGATACGGGCTGGTGAACGGTTCTCCCCCCCTTCCGAACGCCTCTCGGTTACCAGAGTTTTTCAGCCGGTCGTGTAGCAAGAGCGTGCTCCCATTCTGTGGTTGCGAAACGGTGCCAGCCGGGCGTTTCTAAATTAGCCTGCGCTAGTCAGATCAAGTTTCTCCCCCGTTTTTTGAGCTCCAAGCTCAGCAATTTAGCACAAAGGAGGTGTCAAATTTGGTTACTACTGGTATTTGGTTGTCTTATAGAATTGCATAAATAGTGCATCTGCGTATCGGACTAGCTTTCAAAAATGGTTTTCGTGGGCCACCCTGTATTCCTCATGGCCAAAAGTCAATTCCGTTGTACCCATCCTATCAATCCTGCTGGACCTTCCCCTTTTTTGGGTCGTTGAGACAAGGACATGAGCTGGAAAGGAGTGTCGGCCCTCCTTTTTGCTAGGCTTCATCCACTTTCCCCTCGGGGATCGGTGGATGAGAAGGGGATGTTCTCTATGGAAAGAGAAGGGGGTGTTGAGTGACGGTGTGAAAGGGGGATTCGCTTCTTTCATTAGATGTTCTTCCACTTCGACGGGCCCCTTGGGGAAGGAGGGTGTGTCTAGGATCTACTTCCTTTTAACTTAGATTTTATAGAATTTATAAGGGTATTTTGTTAATCTAAAATAGGTTTTGTAGCTATTTTCTCTCAATTTCCGAATATACTAACATAGTCATCATTAATGCAATTTAATTACTATTTCTATGGCGACAATATTTACAAGCTCATCCCGTCCGCCAAGCAATGTTATTAGGTGGCTTTCTCTTACAAAACAAACCAGACCCTTCCTCAAAATGTTTCCATTTGTCCCCCGCATCCACGATAGGCCTTCAGAATGCCCTTGCAGGGCTGTCATGAGAAGCAAGGAAGTGAAGAGCCCTCGTCCAGACGCAATTACACCCCCCTACTGATTGCCTTTTTTTCTGGCGGCTTCTCTGCTTTCTCCCCGGTTTTCGTCATTCATCCACTAGAGGGAATTTGACCCTTATGGGTTGGGCGATTAGTTTGGTAGTTTTTGGTTTCATATGGTTAAAAATTGGTGAATGGAAATTCAGGAGATACCGGATGCAATTTAGCATATTTTTAGGTTTAAATTTATTTTGTATGGCGTTGAGTCAATTCGGATTGAATATAACGGCTTAGTAATAGAATTTTTGTTTATACCTAGATTTTTATGTAATCTAGATGGCCCGGTAAAGCAGGTTAAGTATTCCCAGGATTATCGCGTGGTGGGTGGCGCGTTTTCTTTACAAACAACCCACACCTTTCGCTTGTCATAAAAATCTAAAAATACCTTGCCACTTTAAAAAGTTTATTAGCATTCCCCAGACGCCATTTTTTACGAAATTCTATTCCCCGTCCTAAAATCCACCCCGCCAATGGCCCGTTGGCCATTTATTTTTGCCCCCTTTTATTCAGGGCGACAATCCACTTCCGCCGTTTTGCTGCCCCCTTC